TCTCTTTTAACCTTACTGATCGAGTCGTTCAAGTAGCTTAGCTTCCTCTGCACGTACTAGTGTACGTAAAGTTTCGCGGCACCCCAAACAAAGGGTGCCCCGTCACACCTGGTAGCACTTTGTAGTCCGTTTAACGACTACTTAGTGTCCGTCCAACATGAGCATGTTGGACGTAGAAGATGACAGCCTTCACATCACACGTGAAGGCTACTGCCACCTGATTGACATAGAATGAGAGGTAGTCGGCCGCATGAGTGTGCTCATGGGCGAACCCGCCATAAGCGGTATGTTGGAGTTTCTAAGCAGAGACCAGCAACATGCTGCTGTCAACAAGTTCCTACAAGGGGAACTTGCCGTCGAGCAACAGAAGATAGCCTTGCTACAGCAGCAAGGCTCTCATCAGTCGATGGGCGGGCCGACGCACATGCGTCGACCCGAAACCTTGAAGATAGACATTTCACGTTACAAGGGAACCGATGAAGATTCTCTTTTGAGATGGTTCGTCGAGTTAGACGATGCTATCAGGGCCCGTCACATCGAGGGTGACGAGATGCAAGTCACCTTTGCCCTGTCAAATTTGACAGGTAGAGCAAAGACTTGGGCCTTAGGTCTCGCCATAAACGTGTTTGAGTCGTTGAAAATCTTAATATCTAGGCTTTAGGGGACGTTTGAGCCGCCGAGGGCCGAGTCCAGACCAAGCTCTGAACTCTTGAGGCTAAAGCAAGGTAAGCGTGACGTGCACGCTTACGCACAGCACCTGCACTACCTTGCAAGTAGCGTTACGGAGAACCGTGTTGATGAGCATACGCGTATCAACGTGTTCATCTACGGCCTTGTGGATGGGCCGGTGAAGACCTACATGTTCCAAAAAGGTTTTCCATATGCTGGAAAGGGCGATACCGTAAGTGGAACAAGAAGACTTTAGCCTGAGACAGTCTCAGGATAACTTGTCCAACTATCGTCCGACGTGGCGACAGGAAACAGGAGGTCCCGAACCAATAGACCTTTGTTACATCTAGAGCGAGAACTCTCGCTCTTTGAGTCACAAGCGAACGGCAAGATGCCACCGCTGGCAGAAGATTGGACCTTGCGCTCATGAGTGCAGTGTCCCGAGCACTGCGACACGTCCGAAAACAGGACGTGATGACCGCCGTTGGCCAAGAAAGGGTCCGAGGCGTGGGTCCGACCATGTCGCCAAGCCGCGACAGCAAGTCGGACCGTAAAAAAACGGTCAGGGCCTTTAGGGGCGGAGCACCCTGCTGATCCAGCAACGTCAAGAGAATTTGCAGGACTTTTGATGAAGATTGCTCCCAACGCACAGTCGCTGTGTGTTACTGCCCTTAGTTAGGAGGAGTCTCTCATCACTTTGAAGATCGAAGTGACAAGTGGAATGTCACTTCGCTTCCTAGCTGACTGTGGGGCGTCGAACAGTCTAATTCGACGCCAGTCGCTAAGGGATAGCATTCTCAACTATGTTGAGCGAGAGTTCCCTCCAACGAGGATAACGGTGTGCCTTGCTACAGGCGCATCCGTAACAGTGAACAAACGTGTAGTGGGAATCCACTACACGCTAGAAGGAAAGTAAACGATGATAACTTTATCGTAGTAAATTTGGATGACAAATTTAATGTCATCCTTATTCTGTAATGGCTTAGAAAGTACCGGCCATGGGTCAGCTGGCAGCATCGATCCGTAAAGATGCCTGCCGTTTGTTCATCAGACGGCCATCTGATGAACGTCTTGGAGCGCCCACAAGCGTTTGGATGTACTACGAGTGACTGCGATGGCCTTACTTGTGGTACGGTCGTTAGTAGAACTGCACAAGATCACAGTGTAGAAGGCCACTGCACTGTGGAACCAGCTTCCGGCACCTGTGTAGAGACACAAGCTGCGCCGAAGGTTCACCACTTATATTATCGAGTGGACTGGAACACGGATGCACACCAGTAGGGTTTCATTCGAGAAGAGATACTAGTGTTGTTCAGGATGGACAACACGTTGAAGCGAGATCGACTATCAGAGAGTCGATCGTAGAGCAAGCCCGCTCGACTGAAAGAGAGTCGATCGAAGAGGACGTGACCGTGATAGTACCCGTAACGGAAGATAAATCCAGCGTTCCTAAGAGCAATAATTCCCGAGAGAGTTATGTTGAGGGTGTGGATCCCCAACCACCTGCGGATGTGTTTTCCCAGGAAATCACCGAAACAGTTAATGTCTTGGTGAATGAAGGATCAATTGTAGGCGCTTATACGCTTAATCTGGTGACGCCCCCGAAGTCAGCTTCGGAGGTGGTCAAGTTGCCAACGCTAGAATCTTAAAGATTCTTGCGAGATCTGCGCAGTGACAAGATCAAGCAGATCTGCGTACTCGTCACAGAGGATGATCACGTCGCCGATATTCGGTCGACACAAGTGTTTACTGAGATCGAACGTGTTCTCATTAGCTCATCGATGGACGAGAGTGTCCTCGATGAGAAGACTCGGATTGCGCGATACACGTCCCGATCTTGGAAGTCTTTGAAGACAAATCCTTTGTATAAGGATTTGGTAGAATTCAGGGATGTTTTCCCGGAGTCCGTGCCATGCGAGCGGCCTAAGGACAAAGGCACTCGGCATGAGATCGAACTGAAACCTAATTCGAAATACTGTGTCATGAAGCAGTGACCACTGCCTCGTGAACAGGTTACAGCGATCGACAAATTCTTTGCCGATCGTTTAGCTGCGGGCCATTTGAGGGAATCAACTTCCTTACATAGCTCTCCGACCTTCCGTGTGCGAAAAGCAACAGGAGGGCGGCGGATAGTACAAGATTACGACAAAATAAACACTGCAACAGCACCGGCTCAGAAGCCGATACCAAGGAAGGACGTCATCATAGATAGTGTGGCAAAGAGTACCATCTTTTCATCCATGGATTTAATGGATGGATTCTATCAGATCCGCATGCGTGAACGGGATTTCCATTACAAAGCATTGAGCACCCCCAGTGGTATGCTCTGGGAGTGGCTAGTGATGCCACAGGGGCTAAGTAACGCCCCTGCAACGTTCAACAGTTGTGTTACTAATCTGTTGCGCTCGGTGCGCGACTTCGCATCGAGTCGCTTTGACGATGTCTTCATCCATAGCCGGGCCATGGATGGAAAGGCGGACGTGGAGGTTTATCGAATACACGTCCGGAAGGTTCTTACTCTAATGCGAGAGCATAAGTTGTTCTCGAACCTCAAGAAGTGTACATTCGCATCGAACGAAATACCACTTCTTGGCTGTTTCGTGGGTAAAAACGGTGTACGCCCTGATCCGGAAAAGATTAAGGCGATTAGCGACAGGCCTGTGCCAGTCGACGTCAAGGAACTTCGAAAGTTCCTTGGCTTGGCAGCGTATTGCACAAATACTCGCGCAACTATGCCGAGATGACTGTACATCTCTCTCGTCTGCTAAAGGAAAAAAGAGGTGATCATGGAGCGCTGAGTGTCAGCACTCTTTTAAAGGCATCAAGAAAAGATTGGTGCAATCGTCTGTGTTGGCGACTAAAGACCAGGATATACCATTCCATGTGGTCTGTGACGCCAGCAATTTTGCAATCGGCTGCGCGTTAATGCAGTACGACTCAGACGGCGTTGAGCGCGTCGTCTGTTATCAATCGCGTCAGCTGCAAGCAGGTGAGCGTAAATAACCAGTGCATGACAAGGAACTCCTTGCCATGAAACATACGCTGGCTAAGTTTCGGGCGTATCGCTTAGGAGATTTGCCCTTCATCGTTTATACCGACCATGCGTCGTTACGCACGGCCGTAAACAGTCTACACCTCTTGCAACGAATGGCGAGGTGGCTGTCTTTCTTCGCGTTGTACAACTTCTTCGTCAAGTATAAACCAGGACGACTTAATGTCGTCGCTGATGCTCTATTGCGTCGGCCTGATTTCGAGCCGACTGTCCAACCCAATAGTAAGGGTGATCCCACTGTCGCAACACTATCAGTGATTATTTCGTCGTTTAGTCTGATCGACGACGTGCGAAAAGCATACACAGAAGATAAGTGTCTTCTACGGTTGATGGATTACGTATCCAATCCGTGCAGTCAAGCTTTGAAAATCTTGTCGTCTCAATACCGCTCTTCAACCGAGCGGTATTCTGTCCGTGATGGACTGCTGTACTATACAGCAGTCAACGGCGACACACCTCGTGTCGTCGTTCCGGCTCAAAATGATTTGCGATTGCGCATCATGTATGAGTGTCTCGATGCCCCAACAAGTGGACATCGCGGTAGAGAAATGACTTACCTCATGGTGAGTCGTGACTTCTACTGGCCCCGCCAGTATGAGTCGGAGAGCAAATGCATCTGCGCTTGCGAAGTTTGTCAACGAGTGAAGCCTAGTCTTTCATCCCGCGCAACCTTACAGCCTCTTACGATTCCGGCAGAGTGTTGGCAGTCCGTATCGATGGACTTCGTCTTCGATTTTTCCAAAGACGTTCATAAGAATGCGGTATTCTTGTGTTTTTTGATCGGTTCAGCAAGATGGTACATCTTGTTGCTGTACCGGAGTCAATTACCGCCCAGGGATGTACTTGTGACTTCATCAAAACTATCTTCCGACTTCACTAGTTACCCCGTGAACTCGTGTCGGATCGAGACCCCCGCTTCACAGCGGAGTTCTGGCCATCCGGGTTCCGTTCACTTGAAACACGTTTGACGATGTTAACTTCTGACCTTCCCGAAACAGATGGTCAAACATAACGCTTCAACCGCGTTCTAGAAGAGATACTTCGAGGGTATGTCCACTTGTTTACGAGCTGGAGTGAGTTCTTGCCGATGGCGGAATTCGCCATCAACAACTCGGTGCACGCGTCGACAACGCATACACCGTTCTTCGTGAATAGCCTACGCCTTCCACTTTTACTCGCCTTTTTAGAGTGTGACTCTAGTTAATAGGGGTAGTGGACTCGCTCGAACAAAAATTGATCTGGTTCTTGCTCATCACCCGTCGACAATGGTGTCGACGTGATGGACGCCGATGTCGATGAGATCAATATCGATGATGACGACGATGCTGGCATTTTCAGCATCGCCAATGACCGCCAAAGTGAGGACGATGACACCCTCAATGGTGAAAAATACTTGCTTTCAGCAGTGAACAATGAAGCGCATTGCTGTTGACAAGGATTAATCAGCAGATAAATTTCTGCTGACTCGCGAAGCGGTTGTCCGCTTCGTTCAAGACTCTATTGCAGATGCATTAGACAATCAGAAAAGAAACGCAGCCAACATGGAAGAGCAATTGTTCTTTCATTTGATATAGGAGAACTAGTTTTACTGTCTGCAGTAAGCTTACCGAAGCACGCAGTGACAAATGTGGGCAGCAGTAATTACTGCCCAAGTTTATCGGGCCGTTTCGTGTGCTGCGCCGAATGGGCCACGCATACACGATTGAACTTCCCCGTAAGATGCGCACGCATCATACATTTTTCGTTGGTCGTCTCCGCCCGTACTATCAGTACGAGCCCGTTTCGAGATGCGAAGAACACCTCCACGTTCGAGAGCCAAGACCACCCTTGAGTGGTCCCGTTTCAACGAGCCAGTCTGGTCGACTAGCGAAGAGACCTGCTCACGCAGTTGAGCGATGTCCTGACGAGCTAAAGTCAGCTCGTCACGAAGAAAACGAGTCGAACGTTCGTGCGCTAAGGAATTGCAATTATCCCTTACACGATCATGGAGCTCATAAAGCCGAGTCCGTTCATGCGCCAGGTCATCTTGCAACTGTTCTGTTACACGGTTCAGATCTTGAACATCGAGCTGATCCGACCCTCGAGCCGGATCAGGTGTTCCCGCCACCACCACATCCTTTGGTGGACTCAAACGTTGGTCAACGCTTTCTAGTGGAGCGTATTTTGAACCACCGCGATTTGAATGGCGTCCGGACGAGTTACCTCGTTCGCTGGTGTGGATATACACAGGCGTGGGACAGCTGGGAGCCTCGTGCTCAGCTGATCGCTGAAGTTCTTGGTCTCATCGAGCAGTACGACGAGACCCACCCGCTGCGTTTGAAGAAGGGCCGTCGGAAATCGACCTCCCCGAACGCGAGTACAAGGACTGCAAGGTGTCAATCAATTCGGCCATCTCGAAAGAGATGCGCCCTCTCCAGCAGGGATCATTAGGGAGGTAGGCCTCCCTGAGGGCACAAATTGCGTTGTCCAGTAAACCTGGACACGAATCATACCACGAGAGACAGGGTAATCCTGCCTCCTTCGAAAGTTGGTGCAACTTGTATCGCGCCCCGACGGGGTTGCGTTTCTCTAACCTGATGCGAGCTGCATCAAGTTTGGCGAGCCAAGCCTCACGGCCAATACTCTCGATGTTGTAGATGCTGGCATTCCATCCCTGAACCAAGGCTTTGCCGTCTTGTACACAGCTACCATTGTATAACCGATGTTTGAAGAACGCATCGGTGAAGAACTCTTCCTCAGCACGGATAGTTTCCGTGCTGGAATCAGGAGGGCGAATCTTCCTGCAATCGAGCAACGGGATTCGATCCCGTTTGGTAGGCGTGCCGGCCAACCGGTCCAACTCTTTGGATGGCGTCATTTACGGAGACTCCACTTGAGGAGATTGGTGCAGGATGCTGTGGTACCCGGCCTCTTGATTGGTGTCAGCATGAGCGCTGACACCAGTGACACCCCGAATCCTCGAGTTGCTTCGCTCGTGATGATGAATAGGTGCATCACCACCATCTCCACGCGTCCTATCGTTGGATGGACTTGAGTGAGGCGGAGACTCATCGGAGTGATCACTCGATCCGAAGATCTCGGGTATGATGCTGCCGCGCTGACCAGAGCCAGACAGCCTGGCTTTTGCACCGTCCGCCCCGAGTGATCCCGAGGCGTGAGGAGTCACCTTCGAGTTGGATGCATCATCCGAATTGCCAGAATAGATGATTTCTATCTCAGACTCATCTGGATTACGATACGAGGTATCCGCTGCAGACGCAACGGATGTACCTATTCCACGTGGTGACTCACCACGTGAAACATTCACGACAACTGGCGACGAATCGCCTGCTGCTGAGGTGTGAGAGGCACATTCCACGGCCGCACGCATGCGTGCAGCCGCTCTTCTTGCTGCTGCAGTAGCAACTTTCGAAATTTCGTAATAATGCGTTGAATTGGCAAAGAATAGATTTTTTCCTACAAGTAACCCCTTTTCTAGGGTGATCCAACGGTGGTCACCCTGTCCCAATCAATTTTAGTTCAATCAACGGGTGATTGATGGTTAAGGGGGGGGTGATGTAACGGGGTAGCCTGTTACATGAATTTGACACCAAACGGTGTCAATTGGAATATTGTCTAGTATGACAATATTCTACCAATACTATCCGGGATGGGTAAAATCGAAGGAATTTTATCCCCTTTTGGATAATTTTTATGCGCTGCTCCGAGATTGGTTGATTTAAGAGATATCAAACATAGATTACCACCAATCGCTGCTAGACGCGCGCAATGAGTGGTGAGCAGGCTGTCGTCATACGACGGCGTAGTTTAATGTAGTTAGATAAAGATTAAAGTTATATTGATAGCTTAACTATCTTAAATACAGTTCTCTTTATACCTTAATTGATCGAGTCGTTCAAGTAGATAGCTTCCTCTGCACTTACTAGTGTACGTGAAGTTTCGCGGCACCCCAAACAAAGAGTGCCCCTTTACACTTAGCTAACAGGGAGTCTTCTATTTCATCGCACTTGCATAGTAGTAAAGAAGGAGATTGAGGACGACACGCTTGTGAATAAGGCTTGCTGTTCGCCCCGGCTTTCGTGTCAGAGCGTACAAACATAACGTTGTAAATAGACGCTTGATGTATCATCGAAAGTAGTGCGAGGAAGTCCGACGACACTCGTAAAGTTTGCGTCTGTCCCGATCATGTATATGGTGCACCACAGAAGCGGAAGGGTTGATTAGCGCATGTGATGCTAGGTAAAAGAGCCCACGAAGTGATCCCTGGATGCGAAGCAAAAAAATGGATGTCTTCGCGACGATGGTCCTCATATCTGCTGTGCTGCCTCCTCTTCTGCAGTATGCAGAGAAAGATCTAAGGCTTTATAGGCTTGGTATCGAGGACTCATTAACGGTGACAGTTGTTTTATTAATAGTATAGTAGTTGGTAGTGCTATTGAAATACAGTAGTTGTCGCTATTGTTTTTGGTGACCGAAAACCTTTCAACAATGCACTTCACACAATTATTTTGAGCCTTCACGTATAGCGGTTTTAATGGCCTTAGACTACTTCTGCACGTACGTGTACGTGGAGTCCACTCAATGTCCCAATCCACTGTGTCCAGCATAAGTGCTTTATGCCGAGCCAGTACTTGCGCGCGGTTCCCCATTACGGTTACTTATTACCGTCTGACCAAAATTAGTATGGCAATGCCGGACAAACTAACCAAATGACACCTCGCTTTCTCAATGCAACTCGTAGCAACCGTCATGTGCTTCTCTCTTTTTTTTGAACCGAAACCATTGCAGACACAGCACGGACTACACGAGTAGAACATACGGAGGTAGGCTTGGACTAAGCCGAGCAGCGTGGTCGAACAATCTTAAACTATTGAGTCGAAAGTCAGACCCACAGATCGATGTCAACGTAGACTAAAGATTGGATTCACCCACCCAGACAGACAAATTATGAAATCTGCATTTTAAAACTTACAATAAACTAGGTGGTCTCACACAAAACATGTGACGCTAGTAACCGTACGAGAGACTAATTGTCCACACAGATAACCCGCGGTAATCACTGTAGTTCAATTCATTGAGTTGCATTCTGCACTGTCGGCCGTGTGATTCACGTGATACCTATTCAGCTTCTTGGTCGCTATACGATAACATGTCCACTGGCGTAATTCCAGACTCAGGAGGAAAGTCAGTGTGATGCGTATGTGCAGCCGCATAGTGCCATCGGTACATGATCGCCTGTGTGTCGAAGCTGGAAAGCCAAACCCCGGGCGTAATTGACGTTGAAGAGTCTTGGATGCTTGACTGATGACCGCTTTCCACTTTAAAGCATTGTCCATAGACTCCGCTACACTCCATGGAAAACCTTGGCACTTCGGATGTACAAAAAAATCAGGCTGTCTTGGACCTTGCTTCTCCAGTGGCTGTACCCGTGCTCGAAGGAGCTCTAATATTGTGGCACCTTGAAGAGGCCAATCGATTTCACTACTACCTTGTAAAAGCCCGAATTCTGACGATGCTCATTGTGACTGCCTGCGTGTTGAAGAAGTTGAGGTAGACATTCGTCTCGTTCATGCAAATGATACTCTTTGTTTTGCTAGCATGTGTCACTCGCGATTGACGACAATTTGATTTCGAGCTTGTTTGCCATGTGTCAAATACATATGGAACTACCACGAACAGCTCTAAACTTGCACACAGGTGGTTTGCAGGAATACAGACATGCAGCAACAGATGTCTACAAGCTGACGAGGCGTGGAGTCGACATTGATGGAAAGTTTTAGCCGGAAAAGGCGGCGTTATCGACACTACCACACGGTATTACAGCATGTACACGAGGAAGGTTCATCATCTGTATAGGGCATCCTTCACGCACAAGCGCCTGCTCGTCGCGCATCCGGCTCTGTCTTGCTGGACAAGATATCTTGATAAGAAATGCAACGTCGGCGCGTTCGACAGACAGATAGCACGTTGCAATGCGCGACGTTGGCTTGGCCGATATACGCGCTTTCCTGATGCCCTATCGCTATTACTTGGGAGAACAATCACTAGTGCTAAACGAGCCTTTCAAATGTTTACACCCTCGAGAGCCAACCTTGACACTAACTCTTGGACTTTGGTAGTCATACTCAGGCAAGCCAATGTTGTCAATATTTGAACCCATGGATCATGGAGCGGTGCACGCGATAGAGGGTCATTTACATGCCTACTTCACGGTGCAATTTTCAAATCCTTTCGTCTGCTGTCCTTTTGGAGTCACTGGACATGCTGAAGTGCAATATCGTTACGGTTGCAGACGTCGGTGATGCCTTTTCTAGAACACGTCCAGGCAAGTCGTTGCACTCGCTGCAATCAGAAATCAGTCAGTTGAGAACCATACGCTTCGACTACAACGTGTTGCCTTGACGATCTGATGTCCTAAAACGTGTCTGTAATCCATCGTCTTGGCAGTCCTGCGACAACTCGCAACACGCACTGCGTAGACAGGTGTGCTGCTTGGCTTCAGAAACTTCTACTGACAACCATTTAATTATAACTGTATCCAAGGCAAGCAGCTCCTACAACATGTAGGTACCGAGTGTCGGTGGCTAAACAGGCGCATCGCTCACAGATGTTCAGGGGCGCTCGGTTGTTGGCTACTCGTTATACATTCAGTAACCTCCTGTTAACCGACCTCTGGAGGTCCACCTGCCAGATAGCCAGATCGACCGGTTTTACTCACGTCGTCTATTCGCGAAAGGTAACGTTTCGTTGTACCTGGGGCCGCCACTTTGAGCTTAGTGCCCTTGCGCAAGCGGCCGATCGCCTCAGTAGTCATCGACCACACTCCCATTTATACTCGTATCGGGTCCCATATTACTGTCGGATTGTATCGACTGTGGACCAAAAATATGGTACCGCGTTCGTTTCCCGATCCTCTCGCTGAATCTCAATGAGTGGAGTATCAGAAGGAAATGCATGGCTCAATACTGACGACTTGTTGATGCAGCGACATCCGTTACCTCGTGCAGTAGAAAGCCAAGGACTGGAGGAGTGAGATCGCTGGCTGCATAGTGCATGGAAGCCGGTCAGCAATTGGATTGAGCGGCTGTTACTGGTCATCTCTTTCGAACTACAGTCCGTGTAGCCACAGAGGCATCAATCAGGTCAAAAAAAGGTCTCGAGAAAATCCGGTCTGATCTTTTGCTTGCGTCGCAAACTCGCACGAGCTGACCAATCAAATTGCAACTGTTGGTGCGTTCCATGTAATCGTCCACTATCCGGACGTCGAAGGTCCTTGATCTGTGTGCGTGTTCCCACACTTTTGATTCGCTGAAAGTATCAGCTGCTCAGAGCGCGCCAATTGCGACCGCGGAAAGCCGAGAAGCGCAGGTTTTTGGCTTGCATCCTGTTCGTCTATTTGATTGGTCGAGAAGCCATCGTCCAATCTCTGACTTCGCGCGCTGAATATTTGGGTGCCGTTGACCCTACCCCCACCGCCTGCATTTCCCCCTCTCTCTTTCGCTCACAACGGGAAACGCAGCAGTAAACTAAGGCACGAAGTGAAAGCGCGGTTGCCATTGCCGTTGCCGTTGCTTTTTTCGTCTCGTTGTAGTGCGCACTCGCCCCTGTCGCTTACGACACCCACTTTCCGCTTCCGCGCGCGCCGTTCCCTTTGGCACGTTGCAAGCACCAGAAAGACCTCTCAAACAGCATGGCGCAGCAGGGACCGCCCGAGATGGACCGTCGTCGGCGCGCGAGCTCCAACTACTTCGAGCTCGACGCAGACCGTCGTCGCAACAAGTCGGAGCGCTCTGCGCGCTTGAGCACGCGGCTCAATTCCATGGACATGACGCAGTCGGGCATCAAGGGCACGGCCACGCCGTCGGACGACGAGACGGCCATTGATTACTGTTGCGAGGTTTTAAAGGCCAAATTTGGGTTTCAAGAGGGTTCGGTGAGCAACCAGCGCGAGCACGTGCTGTTACTTTTAGCCAATGGCAAAGCGCGCTGCGTCGCCACGGACCCCGTGGACCAGCACCTGGTGCACTTGGCCGACAAGTTGTTTACGAATTACCGTCCGTGGTGCAAGTTCATCCATACGAAACCCGTGACGTACACGGGCCATGGCATTCCTACGGCCACGCCGTCTGCCCACTTGTACATGGACGTCATGTTGTACTTTCTGATCTGGGGCGAAGCTGCCAACATTCGTCACATGCCCGAGTGTATGTGCTACCTCTTCCACCAGATGTTGACGGACATGAACGCGGACCCGCAGAGCTGCGACAAGCAGCCCGAGGGGTGGTACTTGGACCAGGTCATCCGCCCCATTTGGCGCGAAGCCAGCAACATGAAACGCCGCAATGCGTTGGGGAAACCGCTGGAACACGTGAAAATTCGGAATTACGACGACATTAACGAGTACTTTTGGAAACCGCATTGTTTGAGTATCGATGTCACTCGCGTGGGGCAAGAGCTCACGCAGAACCACGGCAAGACGTTTTACGAACACCGCAGTATCTTCACGATGATCTTGAATTACTACCGCATCTTCCAGTTCAACATGATGTTCCTCGTCTTATTGACCGTCCTCGCGTTTGCGGTCACGATCTCACCGAACGGCGGCGAAAGCGGCTGGTCGGAATTTGCCGAACTAGGCAGCGTCGTGAGCCCGTACTCGACGCGCGACTTGAAGCTCGGGATCGTGTCGATTCCCCTGAGTCTGAGCCTCATGGCGTTTCTCAAGTGCGTCATGGAAGTGTGTCACGGCTGGCACTTGTTGATGTCGAAAGAGAGTTCGGCGACGAGCTCGCGCTCGTTGTCGTACGGCTCGGCGCTGACGAGTCGGATCGTCTGGAACGGCGGCTTTGCCGTCTTGTTTGGCATTATGATTTACGTGCCGTTGAACGAGGACAGGGACACGGTGCTGCTGGACAATCTGTACCCACTTTGTGGCGCGTATATACTGCCGGGCGCGCTCGTGCTTTTGACGCAAGCTATTGCACCGCAGCTCATTAATGGCACATTTGCTGCTAAATTCGTGCGAGAAGGCGCGAGTTGCTACGTGGGCCAAGACATGACGCCGCCGTTTGCGTTCCGAGTCAAGTACACGATCTTCTGGCTGCTGTTGTGGATTGTGCAGGGGGTGACGTCGTACTTCATTTTGGTTCGTCCTCTCATTCTGCCGACGCTGAGCATTTACGCCATGTCGCTGAATTACCAGAATTCACTCGTATCGTTCTACAATGTCGGCATTCTCATTGCCTTGTGGCTACCGGTCGTGTTTATTTTCAACTACGCGCCGCAGATTTATTTCACGATTTTCCAAGCACTGCTGGGTGGTTTCCAGGGCGTTCTCATGAAGACGGGTGAGATTCGTGGCGCCAAGGAAATGACCAAGGCTTTCCGTGTGGCGCCCCAGCTGTTTGACCAGAAGGTCGTGACGGTGCTAGCGCGCTCGAGCGATGCGCCCCCCAGTAGCGCTGACTCCACTCGATCTAGCGTCGTGGCAGCAGCGTACGAGTCGCAGATGATGTTGCGGTTCGTGGTTGTCTGGAATGAAATTGTGAATTCGTTTCGCGAAGGCGATTTGCTCGACGATAAGGAAGCTGCGATTCTTCAGTATGACATTCGAAGCACTGGGGAAGTGTTCGAGCCGGTGTTTCTGTCGGCTGGCAAACTCACCGAAGCAATGGGGCTGATGATCAAGACTGCGAAGGATGGCAAGGGCGAATCGCAGCTCCGCGTGACGCTTGTGGAGAACGACTGCCTTTCAGCCATTCGTTCTTTTTTCACGGCTAGTATGTACGTGGTTGGCGCTCTGTTTGGCAACGACGATGCCGATGTGATTGACGGGTTTCGTTCGGTCGAGGAGATTGCTTCGAGTGGCGGTTTTTTGAAGTCGTTTAACGTTCGTGAGGTGTTGAATCTGCGGACTGCAGCCGTGGACCTCCTCGAAGAGATTTTGGACCTGCCGGATCCGGATGTGCAGTCGCAGCACATTCCGAACGCTCGTGTGCACTCGATGGGTGTGATTCGCAACTTTGTTGCCAAGATGGAGGTTTTCTTACAGAGCGTGCAGTCGTTTTGCATCGATCCCGCTTTGCAGCGCAAGTTTAACAACTCGAAGTTCTGCTCTAGCGCCAATGGATACATGTATGCATCGCGCGGACTCGTGAACCTGTTTTGCAGCGATACGGCCATGGGTGCTGCCACACGTGCCTGCTTGCTGTTGTCTCTGGACCGCTCGGAGGCCATGCCGCGTACCACGGAGGCTCAGCGTCGTCTCGGCTTTTTTATGAAGTCACTTGTCATGGATATTCCGCAATTGCGTTCCATCAAGGAGATGCGCAGTTTTTCGGTCGTCACTCCGTTCTACGCCGAGACGGTGTTGTTTTCATTGAAAGACTTGAATGACCCTCTTGTGAACCACCCGATCTTCCAGCAGGTCGAGGAAGACGGTAAGAACTTGACGATTCTGAAGTACCTGACCAAGATTCATCAGGAGGAATGGGACAACTTCTTGGAGCGCGTGGATGTTAGCTCTGCCGAGGAAGCTCAGAAGAACCATCCTGAAGAAATTCGTTTGTGGGCGTCGTACCGTGGTCAGACGCTGGCCCGTACGGTGCAGGGTATGATGATGTATGAAGATGCGATCAAGATTCTACATTGGTTGGAAATCGGCTCCAGCCCTGGCAAGTCCGCCGAGCAGAAGCAAAGTCAGTTGCAAGACATGGTTCGTCTCAAGTTTTCGTATGTTTGCGCTTGTCAGGTGTACGGCAAGCACCGTGCCGAAGGTAAAACTCAGGCCGCAGATATTGACTATCTGCTGCGCGAGTATCCTAATTTGCGTGTGGCTTACGTGGACACGGTGGAGAGCGTCGATGGCGAGAAATCTTTCGACACCGTGCTGATAAAGAGTGAAGCCGATGACATTGTTGAAGTGTACCGCTATTCGCTACCGGGAGATCCGATCTTGGGCGAAGGCAAGCCAGAGAACCAAAACAACGCTACCCCGTTTACGCGCGGTGAGTTTGTGCAGACGATCGATATGAACCAGCAGCACTACTTTGAAGAGTGCTTGAAGATGCCGCAGCTTTTGTGCACAGCCGACTTGCACCCGTCGAAGAAACCAGTTTCGATCATCGGTATGCGCGAGCACATTTTCACGGGTAACGCTAGTTCACTTGCAAAGTTCAAGACGTGGCAAGAACTGGTGTTTGTGACACTGTCACAGCGTGTGCTAGCCGACCCTCTGTATGTGCGTATGCACTACGGTCACCCAGATGTGTTCGATAAGGTGTTGGCCATCACGCGCGGAGGTGTGTCGAAGGCTAGTAAAGGTATCAATCTGTCCGAAGATGTGTTTGCCGGTTTCAACACGACTCTGCGTGGCGGTGTCGTGACGCACGTGGAGTTCATGCAGTGTGGTAAGGGCCGTGATGTGGCTCTGTCTCAGATTTCGATGTTTGAAGGTAAGCTGGCGAATGGTGCTGGCGAAACTTCACTAGCTCGTGAGGCCCATCGCATGGGCCAGTTTATGGATTTCTGCCGTTTGAACTCGATGTTCTACTCCCACACTGGGTTTTATTATGCGACATGGATGACGATTGTGACGACATTCGTGTACATGTACTGCAAGGTGTACATTGCGTTATCTGGCGTGCAGACGCAGATTGTGTACAACATGAATACGACGGCGGTCATTATGGAAAATGCATACTCGCACGGTTTTGACGAGCGCGTTTTCCACGACATGGATTCCGTGTACAACACGCAGTATTACATTCAGGCTGGTCTGTTCTTGTCGCTGCCGCTGATTTGTGTATACTTCGCCGAAATGGGGTTGCGACGCGGTCTTGTGCAATTTTTGGAGATGGTCTTTACGGCTGGTCCAGCATTCTTTATCTTCCAGCTTGGAACGACCATGCACTTTTTCGACAACAATTTGCTCCACGGCGAGGCCCAATACAAGGCTACAGGACGTGGGTTTAAGATCACGCGTGAAACGTTCGTTTTGCTGTACAAGGCGTACGCTCTGAGTCATTATCGCAAAGCTATGGAGCTGATCGGTCTGTGTTTGATCTACCTTGCATTTGGCCAGTTCAACATTTGCGACACTTCCGTTGCTGGTGATGTCAACTCGTTCGCTTATGAGTACTGTGAGACGTCGCAGAGCTTTGGTGTGCAAACGTTTGCTATTTGGGTCATTGCCGTGGTGTGGTTACTATCTCCGTACATTTTCAACACCGATGGTCTGGATTGGGAGAAGACAAAGGTTGATGTGTCGGCGTGGGCAAAGTGGATGTACGCTTCCGAAGACTACACGGATGAAGACGCGGTCATGGTCGGTGGGTGGATCAGCTGGTGGAAGGGCGAGCTCAAGTTGTACCACAACACGAAGCCGATCGCCCGTCTGACTGTCATTTTGCGTGAGTGCCGTCACTTCGTGCTCATGTGGTACGTGGTGGCGCTCGAGTGGGAGTTTGTCACCGTGGCTCTAGTTTTTGCTGCCGCTGTCCTTACGGTTGTGGCAATGGGCCTATCGCGACTCACGGGCAACTGTTTCCGCAATGTACACTCATCGATACGCGCGGTCACTTACCTGTTCATGGTGGTGTTTGCGCTTGTCGTGTTTTTGGTCGCTACTATGGTCGTCTTCGAACTCAGCTTCGTTCGAACCCTTTCCCTATTCTTCGGCTACATGGCGGCTCTGTACGGCATTAATGAAATGGCGCGCATGTATAGTTTCGCCAACTCGTCAATCGCGACGATAGGCACGTTCCAGCAGCTTGCGTTCTTCTTCGACTTCATCTTTGCAGTGGCTATGATTTTCCCGCTTTTGGTGATGTCAGCCGTCCCATTTCTGAACATCGTTCAGACGCGAATGATGTACAACAAGGGTTTCTCTGAAGTCGTATCAGCCTCGTCACAGTACGCGTTCTCTCTTGCTGCCTTTATGGGAGTGCTTGGCGGGATTGGATGTGGTTGGTTGTTCCACTTGTTTACAACTCTGGAGAGCACTGCCGGTTTCCTGAGCTACGCTACGACGTACAGGCTACTTGACGACTATGTTGGTCATGGTATGGTAACGTATTCGTTCTACCTTTCTTGCGTGGGTGGGACGTTTGTCGCTGGCATTATGAACTACTTCATTGGTCGTCGTCTGTCGATCGTTCTCGGCGGTTTGTTGACGGTACTTGGCATGCTTGGCGTGAGCGCCGTGCAGTCTGGCGGCGGAGGATTTCTGATACCGGGCGTATGCTTACTTGGTGTCTCGGTTGGCGTGCTTCTACCCACGCTGGTTGCGTACATTTACGAGATTTCAACTCGTGACATGCGCGGCAAGGCTCTTCTTCTGCTCGGAAGCGGCTTTATTCTTGGCATCTTGTTTGCTGCTTGGTTCTCCTCCTCGTCGAAAGATCTTGGTTGGGTTTGGCAAGTGTTTATTGCCACTCTGATTCTCTCAATCATGACACCGGCGGTGTACATCTTCCCAGAGAGTCCGTACTGGGTGTACATGCGCGAGGGTTTGGATTCGTGTGAGCGATGCCTTGCCGTGTTGCGTCGTAAGGAGGGAGTGTCGGAGGAGCTACGCATGATTCGTGATGAAGAGACTGGCGGCGATGGCACGAGTGCCAGCCCCGGCACTTTATTCTTCAAGTTCTTGACGGGCTTGTTCTTGATGCTGGTATCCAGCGTGTTTCTCGGATGTGTGAACATGTACTTGTCCGACACGTTTCGTGGTATAGACGACGCTACCTACATGTTTGTAAACTGCGTGGGGATTCAGTTTCTCGGTGCGCTCTTCTCGTTCTTCTTCATGGACCGCATCGACCACAAGCGTATTTTGTTCTCTACATTGCTGCCGATTGCAACTTTGGTTTGCGTCTTGGGAGTGTACTGTATGTCGGATTCCATGAGCGGTGACAGCGAGTATGTGATGCTGCAGATTGTGGGTCTACTGCTGTACTTCTTCGCTGGTTTGGGAATCACCTCGGTGCCATGGGTCTCGTCCGTCGGCCTGTTCACGACAAAGCAGCGCGCGGTCACCGTGACCGTGTACTTTATGGTGTTTTTCCTGCTGCCCGTTTACGCCACTTACGTCCGGTCCAATGATACAGCCGGCGACGAGTACTACTACCTGTTCGCATTGACTGGCTGCTGTGTCGTGTCAATGGGGCTTCTCTTCACTGTGGGCACTCTCAAGAACGGCATGGTGTGCACAAAGAGTGAGATGGAGATCGAGCGCACACGTCTGCGCCGCATCCGCGCGTCTCGTCGCAGTGTCCGCACGCCAGGTAGCGCGCGCTCCAAAAACTTCAGTCGCTCGCGCGCGAAGTCTCATTCGAACTACCAGATGTTCGAGTCTCCTGCCGGCAGTGCGCCGTAGATGGTGACGCGGAACGCAGGCTCGTGGTGCGAAGTGCCGGACTCAAGTACTCGATTCGAGTAGAATGGCGCCGACGACCACCAGCAGGCGTCTATATTTTGCACATTCTTTGCTCTTTATAATACATGATGTTCACACTTGAACTTGTTCATCTTGTCAGTTGTCGAAATGCAGTGAACACGTACTTGACCAGAGTCTGACTATGTGGTGCCGTCGTGCATGACACAGTGAGCAAGCAGAACTGACCGTATGCGTTTGTGTCTTGTTCGTACGTGTTTGTTGCGAGAAGTACGCAATCGGCGGAATACAGCAGCAAAAAGTTGTAGAGTATCGACCTGATCAATCAAAAGCGTCACCGTGACTGACTAAACAAGTGATAGATGTCGCCACGGCAGCCAGCAGCAGCTAAAGGGTGAGAATTTGCCAAATGCTGAGTGAAGAACGAGTAACACCACACATTCACGCACAGTAATCGACACGTTTCGCTGTATGGTCGTGCTTCTTTCACGCCGCCTGCTTTTAAATAATGAATTACTACAATTGCTGGCCAACAGCATCAGCAGTCTAGTCCTGAACCGACTTCACGCGTCGTCGCAAAGCTCTTTCACTTCCATCCGGTGATCTAGAGCTCTTTCGTTTTCTAGCAATAGTGTCCAACGCCGAGATCTGCCTCATTCTTCCGTGTACAGCAGCAGCGACTATGACATCCTCAACTGCTTCACAACCTGCTTTCGGACGGCACACAATCGACACATCCCGTTCATCTGCCACCTGCTTGTGCACTTCCTCTTCGACACGCTGCACCTTTCTCGGTACAACAGAAACCTCCGAGTTGTTGCCTCGTTTCAACTCCAGTCTACTTCGTGCTGTTGCTGGTATGCCTTTCACAAGAGCATACCTCGAGATTCAATCGCTGCTGGCCAACTCGGTCCTTTCCAGTTTCCCGCACACTCGCGCTGCCACCGAGTCACTGTCGATGCTGTCGTCCGTAGCCGTCGCCTCATTCAACGAATCTGAAATGATCTCAGGTGGCTGGCCACAAAAGTGCACGCGCTTCAAGTCGCCTTGCTGCTCGTCGTTCGGGTCGTCCATACAGACGCTCAAGTCTGCGGTGCTACCACTTTGGTCCGATGACCCCGATGCCTGCGAGTTGCCAGACTGGCCACGCGAGCGCTTCCTTACCGGTCCAATGCCTGCAAGTTGCAAGAGCTGCGCCCCGTCAGCACTCTCTCTCCTGTCGCTCTCGGGTTGGGCCAGCAGCATCGGTGCATCTTGATCAGGAGCTTGAGGCTGAACGTGAGGTTCAGGTATCTGACACACCACAGAAGCCATTGGAAACATGGGCGGCAGACTACGTCGAGTCGGCGACAATTCCAATCGGTGGGTGATCTGACAATTCAGTAGCGTATTCTGCTGCAACTCCAGCTCCTCACGTGGCAGACCCACGCGGTTATGAACACTCTCAACAATCTGCTCGCGTGAATCAAACGACTGTAAAAAACACACGGATGACCACGACGAAAAAAACGTTCAAAACACTTAGAGACGATAGCGCACAATAGAGCGCTTTATAATCCGATCAAAGAGCAGCCCAAGGACTGACGTATAACCGCACCTTAAACGTATAAGAGCGCGACGACGCCCCAAATCGAAGCACCGCGTCGTTCATCACCAACGTCGGCTGCAAAGCTTTGAGGCGCAAGCCATCGACAAACGTGCCGTGCGCAGATCCAAGATCCACGAGGTACGTCGCGCCTTTTTCGTGGTGCACGATCGTCGCATGAAGTCTCGAGATCGAGCAATGGCTCAGCACAATGTCACACACGGCAGCGTTCCGGCCGATGAGGAAAGAGGCTTTTTGGTCCACAATGTGCTACAAAAGGCAGCACAACAACAACAACAACAGCAACAACAACAACATCATCAAGTAAACCAATGCCACACACACACATGAGTCGTCTGCTCCTTTATCGCGACTGCCAACCGTGCAAAGTAATAGCGTGTCGCAAAAACTCACCGTCTCAATCAAAAGGTGGTCTTTATACACGTCCAATAGCGCAATCGAACGCGGCCGTTCATGCAAACACCTTATTTTACAACCACAATCAAACAAACAAACAAACAAACAAACAATCAAACAATCAAACGAATTCATGAGCAAAAATAAGAACCGTCAAAAAGGAGGTAACTAGACGGGAGCAAAAAGAGTTGATCGAGTGCGTATACGTGTGTATACTGGTGAAACCCTACCACGTCGGTGGCGGAAAGGGTACCGTCGGTGGCGCAATCGGGTCCAGAAACTTGGGGTGGTGCGTTGCAAACGCGTCCAAGTGGAGTCTCGGCAGCTGCAGAGCCTGTTCCATATTTTCCCTTGCTCTTTCCCTCCGCGGAAGCAAAAGTGGCAGTGCGAGCGAGGGACGTTGGCGGATAAAAGACGCTGGAGAGGTCCGTGTCGGCAGTCGCACACGTCGCAGGAATGTATCAAAGTTACACTAGGAAAAAGAGCCCTCGGGGCGCAGCGACGAGACGACGAGCTCGTCGTTTATTCCTGTTGCTGCCAAGTCGCACGTAACCACAACGAGACGAGCGAGGGCCTTGACTGACACCAGAACTGGCCCCACTCGTTCCACGAATAGATAGGTGCCAACCTCGGTCGGCCCGCCTGCCTGCCTCGTCTCTGTCTCTCTCTTTTTTTTTATCTGCTTTCTCTATCGTTGTCTATCGTTGTCTATCGTTGTGTATTTCTTTTTATCACGTTCGTGAATTTTCTCTCTCTCTCTCTCTCCTTTTTGATTGGGCGACGGGCTTGTCTCTTGTCCACGTCGAGAGAAAAAGAGAGAGAGAGGGGGCGCACGATGTGACGCAATTGGTCCGGACGCATCGAGCCAGTTGGTGGGGGCGCCAGCTGAATGACAAAAGGTGCGTAGCAAGTATTGAAACGTCTTTTAAACCAGTCACGAGACACGAGCACGCGTTGACGTCGGAACTCCTACTGGTGGACACGACGACACGTATGCTAATGGACGAGTGAGTGGGCGTGTGTAAAGGACTTTGCTGCGACTTTTTGAGCTCTCGCGGACGTCACTAACAAGTGGTTCAAACGGTTGTTTGTTTGTTTGTTTGTATGTGATTGTTTCTCACGTTGAATGGCAATAGAACCTACACAGCAAGTCAATTGCAGGAGCACGAGATGAAGATTTATCTGAGCGAGCAGTTGGTGCAAAGTGGCGAGAAGGAGCGACTGAAGGAGATGCTGCGTCTCGAGCTCGTGCAGTGCGGCTGGCACGAAGAAATGAAGCAGTTGTGCAAAGGTCCAGTGGATTGTAAAGTTGATGGACTCGAGCAGAGTCGAGCTTATAGATGGACTGATGAAGGCGGGAATGGTTGATGTGTGAATTGGTTAATTGGCTGGTCAACGGGTAGCAGACGTGATTCGGAACAAAGGCATCGAATGCGTGACAGTAGAGGAGTTGATTGAAGCGATCGTGCCACGCGGAAGAGGTGCATAGTGTGCGGCATTGAAAGATCGCAACGGACTGATTGACTGGTTGTGTGTTGTTGGGTCGTATGATTGATTGCGTTGTATGTCGTGGACGATCGTGTGTTTTTCGTGCGCTTGTGGCCGTCGTCTGTCGCCCAGCGTCAGTGCCCGAAGCCGTAAAGAGCGCCACTCTCGAGAAGATCAAGACGTTCGTTGCGAACGAAATTAACGACAACGAGGCGACAACGACGAGCGGAAGAAAAAAGAACGGTCAGCAGCTGGTGGACGTCGACGATGGTGCGACCGACTAGCGCTCGTCCTCTCGTTTTAAACGACGGTCGTGGATGCAACAGCTGAGCTTGAGCCCTCGAGTCGATGGCGTTTATTTCAAATGCTTTTCGAACGAATGAACGACCGAACGACGTTTTCTTTTTTTTGTTGAGATCTAGGCAACACCTGAAATGGGTACACGGATTCTAATCGCATCAGATTTAGTTGCATGACTGCAGTGAAATACCGACTGCATACCGGTATTATCACGCTCCGTGACGACGACGACCACCACCACCCACTGCTTACTTACCGACTAGACTCATGGTAGTGAGACTGCGCTTGGCTCGGTGGGGACGGAAGGACTTGCCGTTCTACCGCATTGTTGCAGCCGACGCTCGTGCGCCGCGGGATGGCAAACACCTCGAGATCGTACGTCGTTTACTGCGTCGCTGTTCGGGCGATCTCGTGCAGGTTTGTAAAAGTACTGTTTTGTGTTAATTTGGTTGTTTTGTGTGTGTGTTGCGGTTACTATGGTCCAGCTTGGCACGTTCAACCCCCTTGCAGCGAGCGATGGGGTCAAGGAGCTCCGTGTGAACAGCCAGCGCGTGCGCTATTGGATGTCCGTGGGCGCGCAGCCTTCCGACCGCGTGGCGCACCTCCTGGGGCTTGCCAACGTGCTGCCCATGCCTCCTACTCGTCAGTACACGAAGAAGAGTGTCCCCAAGAAGGACCGCGAGGCCAAGACGGCGTAGTCGTCTCGAATATCCATCCACTCGACGACCCGTTTTATCCAACTGAATGAATGAATGAACACGAGATAAAAAGCCATCGTTTCTATGTCTTAATGTTCTCTTTTCTATCTGGTCACCAAATGGACCCAAATCGGATGGGTTCTATCTCATCATACACTGATCGACCTTAAACAAGGTAGCCCAAAAACCGCAGCCACACTTCGGCACAAATACAGCACGTTATCACGTCGAATAGCGCCACCGATAGAGCGACCTACGACTTTATTACTGCCTCGATAGAGCCCGTGCTCGAGGGGCGGGACCTCGAGCCGACCCTCCTCCTTTAAGCATATTGCCTCCTTTCCGTACTTGTTGGTTAAATGTCGCATTCTGCTCGTCCAGCCAGCGTCGAATCTCCTTTTGCTTCTCGGCTTTCGCTTCAACTCGCGTCTGCTCTTCCTTCTGCTTCTCTCGGTGTAAAAACTCGGCATCACGTCGCAATTCACGAGCTGCGCCTTTCCTCGCTCGCTTCACTTGCCGTTGCAGTTGCTTGAGCTGCGCCGTGTCTTTCGGTGCCATTTTGTCCTTTCGCACCGTGTAATTCTCGTCGAAATGCGGGGCAAACGTGGGCAACCCCGTTGGAGCAAACCGCTGAAGTCGCAGCGGTTCGCGCTGCTGCCAACAAGCAGCCAAACGACTGTGCGCCAGTGAAATCGCCGTATGCACTTTCGACGATAAAACCTCACGTCCGAGCCCTTTCGCCGTCTCCAGCTGTTTGGCCAAAGCGTGAAGTAGCAGGTACAGCGGGTAAAAGAGCTCGTCAAAAGACGGCAGCTGCGCATACTGAGCCGAAGCCACTTGAAGTAGCACCAAGAGCGAAGTCAAGACTTGACTACTGCCACTTGAACTTGAACTTGAGAGTGACAGACGGGACACTATTGGCGCGTTCTTGTCCTTTGTAGCTGCACAAGTGGAGACGGGACCACGCTCGAATAAGTCTCGACGTAACCAGTGACTTGTCTCCTGTTGCGTGTCGTGTCCACTTGACGTCTCTGTACTTGGGACCACAAACGCACGAAGATGACGCGTGAGGAACGTGACAAGTTCCGGCATAAACCGCACTTTCGACCGCGTCATGTCGAGGGACAATGACGCGGCAAACAGCGCTTGAACAGCCTCTTGCGGGCACTCGATCGTGCCTCGAGCCAAACTAGAGCCAAGCAGCGTCTCCATGGGCGAAATCACATTGTGTCGCAAGTCCGACGTGGGGAAAATGCTTGTCAATGCTTTGAACAAAAGCAGCTCGGGCAGCGAAGGCCATGCACAGGTTGACGTGCGTTTGTGCAAGCGCTTGTAAAGCTGCGCGAGTAGTTCTCGAGCGACGATACCGGCCGTGTCGCCCATTTGCTGCGCCAAGGTGTACATGGACTTTGCTAGCGAGTCCAGCTGCAAGGACAGGCAGCAACGACAACAACCAGATACGTTAGCATTTCAAAACAATGGTGGAAGCAGTAGTTGAAAACAACGAGTGGATGTACGTACGTCTTGCTTGTGGGCAGCATACCGAGCTGCAAAGACCAGGAACTGACGCGCCATCACGGCAAAGAACGTCTTCATCTTGGTCTTGTTCTCCACGCTCAATCGCGGATTGTAGTACGTCACAATGCGTTCCAGGATCAGTCCTCGCTTCAAAGGCGAATTGCGTGCATGCTGCTTGAAAAGCGCCACTAGCTCGTCGGGAGATTCGGGGCATGTAAACACAAACGGAAGCTCCTGAGCCGCTTCTTCAGCGTCGTCCAGTCGCTTCTGCAGCTCATCGTCACTGCCGTCAACCTCTTCATCTTCATCCAAGTCAACTGCTTTCTCAACACCATCTGCCTTGCCCTTTTCATCGGAAGCTCTGCCTTCATCATCCACCAACTCTTCCTCCGACTCCTCTTCAGAGTCCACCTCGTCACTCTCGTCGTCCATGTCGTGGTCCTCATCTCCTGCCTCCACATCTTCCTCTCCATCCTCATCTCCATGAGCAAAACGGTCATCAACAACATAGTCGTCCATCAAATCGTCATCTGTCGGGGGCACCACAATCGCTTCCGACGTCTTGTCTCTCTTGTCCTTCTTCTTGCCTTTCCTCCCCTTCCGTGTCCCACCACGCTCGCCACCTCCATCATCACTATCGTCCCCATCTGCACCATGCATACGCGCCACGCGTTTCTTCTCCAACTCCTTCAGCCGATCCCGGTCCTTCGCCGCTGCTTCTTCCGGCGACATCCGCCGTTCCGTCGCCTTGACTTTCGCTTCAAACGCAAACTCCCGCGTCAACGTGTCAAACTCGTCCATCGGTGCTTTCGACTGCACTTCCTTGCCGTTCGCACGAGTAGGACGGAACTCGAGCAGATCGCGGAGACCTGCAAACCCCGCATCCAGCTGGTCCGTCGCTTCTTCTTGCGCGCTCTTGTTCTTCTGCCGCTCGGCCTTGTACAACTTGGCCTTCATCATCACCTCCTGCATCACCTCCTTATGCGTCTTCCGCACGCCAAGCGTACTCCCTCCTTCCTCCACAGCAGATGCAGCAGCTCCTCCTCCACCAAAGTGAAGCGTATCAACAATCTCTCGATCCATCTTCCAGTCCTCTTCCGTCTTACTCCGATCGTCTTCACTAACGTCCCTCCCACCCTGTCCAACCTCCTCCTCCTCCTCCTCTCCGTCCGTAATCCGAGCCCCTCTGTGCGTCAGAACCAGTCCGCCATACCGCCTCTTCTCTTCCTCTTCTTCTTCTCCTCCTCCTCCTCCTTCCTGGTCCGAATCGTGCAGTGCGAACGCTCCTGCGTGTCGCATCTGCCGCTTGCGCTCCGTCTGGAAACGCGCCATCATCTTGTCCTCCAGCGACAGCGTCGGGTCCTGCTCGCCCAATCGCTTGTCCTTGAACACGTTGCTCTTCTTCCGCGCTCGAAACTCGACGCCCAACGTCTTGCGTCGCTTCTGCTCGGCTGCGGCTCGAGCGGCCGCGACGTTGCGACTCGCGCCTTTCACGCGACGGCCGAGGACTTCGTACTTGGGTGTCGCATTGTTGCAGCGCTGGTCGAACGGGTTGTGGCCGCGGGAGCTGCTGGAACGAGCGACGACACGGAGGCGCTGGTAGCTGACTCTTGGTCTTGCGCTTGGTCTTGAATCTTGGTCTTGGCGCTGGACGCGCGCGGCTTCGTGGTCGTGTGGAGCGCCATCGAGACGACGGAGAGCGGATGGACGACGGCTGCTGGCCAGTCGTTTGTGACGTTTCGCAGTGTACTGAGATAGGGGATTGGAGGAGTGAAAGGGCAAAAAAAGAAGGGAAGTTTGATGATTGTGTGGAAGCTCGATCACTCGTCGTCGCTTGTTTATTGGGGTGGTTTGGGAGTGTCGGATTGGGACCGGTGGTTGCGGAGTTGCGAGTTGAGAGGGGGGGTGGGTGGATTGGTCGTACGAGTTGTACAAGCGAGGAAGGGAAGATAGATGATGGTCGAGGCGGCGAGGTTTTTTCTTCTTCTTCTGTCGGGCAAGAAAAGCGCTTAATTTAAAAAGAGCAAACACGCGACCTCTTCTTGAAGTGCGTGTTTGGTTTTCGGTGTCACGGTAGCTATGCAAGTCAACTACTTGACTGTCATGCCGTGAGCAACTACCTGCCTACCTACCAACATCTCAGCAGAAGTCGCACCTTCCCTTTTCCTTTGACTCGAGCATCCCATCCACGTTCCTCATTGCGTCCTTCCAACAAGCTCTTCGGATGACCAACGACTCTAAATATCAACTTTCTCAGTGGGTGGAGCCCCACTAGACTGCCCGCTCGAGCACCGACTGCGCAAAGGTGCTCTTGCAAGTCCCTCCATCAGCTCACGCAATTCCCTGCTCTCATCACGAGCCCTTTCTGAACGACTGGAGCTCGGTATTGCAATCAGCGACCGTTCAGCTCGTCCCGTACTTGGCCTTTGGCTCTGCTCGTCGCATCCATCAAAAGTGACCAAGTTATTGTTGCGCTGCAGTCGCTCTTCTTCACCGTTGCCATCGTTGATCCTCCTGGTCAACACCATTGCTGCTGCCTCGGCTTCAGTACCTTTTGGAGGTCCATGATCGAAAGCGTTTTGTAGTGGCACTGGGACAGTCAATGCCATTGAAGCTCGTCGAGTTGAGTGAGATACGTGGACAGCTGAACGCGTTGTTGGTAGTGGCGGTGGCGGTTGTGCTCCAGGGTACGACTGGCGAGACGGCGTGAACGCAGTTGATGTCGAGGTCGTTTCGAGTGGTGAAGCAGAAGAGGTCACGCTGCTGATCCTTGGTCGTCGACGCAAAGGCGCATGCGAGAGCTCACTCGAGTTCATGACCCCACGCAAACTTGCGACGAGGTCGGATGGTGCTTCATCAAATAGCAGCGATCCACGCGCACTGGATCCTCTCGAAACAACCGGCAAAGCTGGTCGAGGCAACTCAGCCCACCTGCTTCATTGTTGCCGCACGCCCGCGAGATGGTGTTAAAGCTGACGGCTGAACAGGTCGATGCTGTATCGAGCGCTTGTCAGCGCCCAGCTCGCTGTTCTCCCAGTGTTCACCTCGCTCATCGACGACAATGGGTTCGTCTACAAAGGTTGGCGTGACGGGAACAAGAGCTCCAGTAGTAGGTGTCGAGCCAATGTTGCTGCTTGCATCATGTTCACGCTGCGTGGCTTCAAAGCGTTCATGGAGACGCCCGATCTTTTGAGCAAGTCGTTCAATCCCACGATTGCTACTTGCACGATCAACTGAAGTCGGCAGTAGTGCTGATGCTGATGCCAACGTCTCTAGCTCAACCTGGACTCCAACCTCGTTCGGCCGAGCGATCCGAGATGGTCGTCGTAAATTTGCACTCGGTTCCGACTGACGGACCCATTGCATCGCTTCCTCGAGTGCACGAGCTTCTTCGATGGCACTTTCCTGCTCCGGTGTCGATGACGGCAGCGGTTCCCCAGCATCTTGGTGGTCCAGTGATTGCATTGATGCTGACAAGGATGAGCACGACGAGCGGAGGTTGAAGCTTTCATTGATGCCTGGATGCTCGCTGCCTGTCGCTTCGCTGAAGCTAAACACCAAGTCGCGATCACATTGATCAGAGTTTGCGTCAGAGGGACGGATGGGGTCATCGTGGCCGATGGAACTCAGCACCGCATCGAGATCGGAGCTCGAGACGTCCAAAGTGTCTCGGATTTTCATAATGCGATCGTAGATCTCATCATACTGCTCAACATCATCATCGTCAGATCCGATATAGCTACGCTCAAGCCACTCACCAGGACGTTTGTCTTCGCCTTCTACCTCGGAGATTGCCTGGTCAATCGTGTCACGAATATGACGAGCATGCTCCACGAGCTTATTGAGCGCCTTCTTCTTTGCTTTGGCCGACAAAGGCGTCGAGAACAGAGCTGATCGCCGCTCCGAGCTCACACGTTCGGACGACGCTCGATAGTAGTGTCCATTTCGACTCCCTTCGTCACGACCGTATGTCGCACTTGCTCGAGTGCTGCTGCAACTAGACAATGGCTGTTGACGTTGTCGTAGGGATGAACGCACTGAAGTTGCTTGCGATAACGATCCACGGAGGTGGCGCGGATCTTCAGTGCTACATTGCGGCATACCTGGATGCTTTGGATACCGGAGCCCTTCGACGTAGCTCTCCGTGCCGACGTTCGTCGTGGCTGAAGCCGTCTCGATCAAACCTAGGTCACCTTCTGTCACGCCACTTAGCAAGCTGCTGCCATGATGACTACCTGCTTGGGCCATACACAAGGAACAAACACGCACTGTGTGGCTCTGTTCCTTCAGTGGCTGCTCCAGCTCACGTAACGGGGCACAGCTCGAGCACACGACTTCGCCACACGTCACGCAATGCTGTTTCCGATGGAAGTAGAACCGCTGCAGACACACGGCACACGCTTTCCGGTCTTTCGACGCAATCCACTCCCATTCATCCAAGTGCTGCAGTCGCCCGATCCGCTGGCGTTCCAACAACCCTTTGACCCGATGCACGGCCGCAACGAAATCCACCAGAACCTCCTCCATCAACAGGTCAGAACCTGCTGCAGTAGATCCCGTAGCACTACCATCAACCTGTGCAATGGCCGTGACCTTGAGGATATTCGACTGATGCGTCCTTGTGATCAAGATCCCCGACCGCGCGACCTGTTTCCGATCGACATTGTACCTCTCCAACGTCGGCACTTGTCGGTCTGGAGCAATAGCTTGTTGCACACAATAGCCCACCAGTCCATGGTCCCGAGCACTTGCCGTGCTTTGCTTCTTCTTGCCTGCGTACTCCAGGTAACAAAAGTCCACACTCTTCTGCTGCTGCTGCTGCTGCTGTCCCTCTCGTCGCTTGGCTCGAAAGAACCTCCGCCACTTGATCGCTCGGTACGAGAACCTCGCCTCAAAAGAGACGCGGGGAACGTCAACAACGTCCGTGTATCCACTTGGTCGAACTCCTCTCGATGCAAGTAAGTCAGTGCACGTCGAGCTTCTCGCGTCTTGACGTGAGCAAGAGCTCGAAGGATCTCGTCTGCTTGGACGTCCACCATGTGGACACTGCACTTGAAGAGCGTCGAGACGTGCCGCGACGAGGGCTCGCACACGCGCCCCATTCGAGGCTGGATCGCTACAAACTGGGCCTTGTGCACTAATCGTCCGCTTGACGACGCTTTCAAGTCCGTCCAGCGATAGACGCAATCGGCGTCGTCAATGACCCGCACGAGCTGAGCTACGCACTCTTTGCTCGAGCGACGGTACTGCATGAGGTCGTCCACAGTGAGGACGAGTTGGGGGAAAAAGTCCGCGTCCAGTGGAAACGGCAGCGTTTCCGACGTCATGAGTGAGGCGGATTGGGGAGTGCAGCACAGCCGGCAGGCAGCTCGACAGGGAAAGCGATGGACGATCGAATGATCGATCGGTTCATCATCAATTGTATGACTGTGTGTGTGTGTTTGCTGCTGTCATGGCCACTGACGAGACAAAAGTGGGGAAAGGCACTGGAAGAACAGACGGTGGAGGAAAGTGGTGGTGTGATGGTGAACGAGCTGCACGGGTGCAACGTCGCGACTTTTTCGTGGTTGGGGATCTGTTGAGATCGAAAGGGAATTGGGCCGTTGGGTTAGATTGGATGGATGGTCGGATGGATGGATGGTCGGACGGGATGCAAATTCGACACGTCTGGGTCTTCTTGCTCTTGGTTGTTGGTGCTGGAGCTTGGAACGGTCAGTGATCAGCGTGACTTTGTACCGAGGTGGAGACTGTTTTAATGCCGAGTGAGTCAGTACAGGTTGTTGGTAGTGACCACCACTTGAGGGAGAGGCGACTGACTACCTGACGATGTTGAGGTTTCGATAGTGCTGGGGGTTGGGCTCAATCGGGTGCAGTGGATGTCGAGACGAGGAAGGGATGACTGTAGTAAGGGAGGGATCTGATACGACAGTCGCTGCGTTCAGAGACGGCTCTTTTCGGACGATAGATCGCAGCGTCGTTGACTTTTTGGCTCGAGGTTATTACTTGCCGACATGTGGTTGTTGGTTGGTTGGTTGATTGGTTGGTTGGTTGTTCATCCGTTATGGGCGACGGTACTTCCTGCGTTCTGTCTCAATCTCTCTATTGCTATTGTAGAACTCGAGAGTAATGTCAGGACAGCGCATGGTGTTTATCTTGATAGGTATAGATTGACTAGGTAGGTATTACAAGTTCGCCCCAACAGGTGCTCGGCACTCGGGGCAGCTTGGGTTGTGCCGCAGCCACGACATGGCGCAGTTTTCGTGGTAGACGTGGCCGCACGGCAACTTCACGGAGAAGGAAGTGGAGTGGGAAACAACAGTTGGCACGTCGGCAACTCCGTCATCGCTAGAATTGTCACTATCGGTTATGCTATCACTGCTGCTGTTGCTGTCGTCGCAATGGCTGGCACGTCGATCAAAGGGTCGGGCTGGAGCGCTCGACACCAGCAAGTCGAGGCAAATACTGCACGACTGCTCGTGGTGCATCGACTGGCATCCGTCGACGTCGTTGAGGCTGAGGATCGCGTTCGCGTACGTGCAATTGGCATCCAGCACGTTTTCCGGGAGCGAGAACAAGTCACGTATCAAGAGGTACACGCACCGCGCCTCGTTTCCCAGTGACGCGTGTAGAAACGGATGAACCACAAGCACGGGGATGACCGCTTCAAGCGCTCTCCAGCAATCCAACAGAAAAGCTTCCAGCTCGATTTTTCTTGCATGCATGGTACTAGCAGTTGCTTGAATAGCAAAGGCAGCAACCTGTAAATGTTCATAGTGCTGGCAAATGGTCGCCACCACTTGGAGGAACGTTTCAAAGGGTTTCCACTCGACGCTTTGAGCTGCAGTTCCCACTTGCACCAACTGCTTTTGGCGAAGCAGGAGGCATTGGGTCACGACGGGATCGCGCAAGATAGCCTGGACGTGGGCGTAAAAGCCACAGAACTTGGTCTGGCTCATTGCAATAACCCACGACGATTGGGTCGTGTAGCCGTCGTCTCTTGTCGTCACGCCGCTCATTGTGTCCGCTTTGCAAGTGCTCGTGATGGACAATGAAAGAGAGACTCGGTAGACGACAGACGTGCCCACGCAGAGCAAACGCGCTTGCACCGTAAAGCTAAAGCTCGACGGCTGGAAGTGCTCGCTCATCTTGCGCAGGCGGCGCTGCACAGTCGAGCTTCGACTGGTCCTATCCACTGCACTGGGCTGCAACTTGACGCAATGGTTGCGTCCGCAACGTCCATTTTCCAGCATGATGTGCTTGGTCATGTCGGACCTGCTGCTGCTGCTGCGTCTGAGCCAGAAGAATTCAGAATGACGACCAAAGCGAACGTTTACGTGCCGGAAGGGCGCTGAGCAGCAGACTGAACCTAAACTTTCGGACGTTGCGCTCTGTGGACGTTGAAGTACCCTTTCGGCAGACCCGGTTACGACGATGAGACTATAAGCAAACAACGAATGAGGTCCATGGACTCGTTTGCTGCCAACTGACTGACTGACTGACGGTGAATAGATGTATATTTGTCTTGGTGTGTGTATGGAAATGTGAGTGCGAGAGCGCACGCAGCGAAAGGCTCGCCAAGATGAAACGCTGGAATATTTGCGATTGAGCCACGTCGCATGAACGGGATGATGTGCCCAGGCGGGGGAGCTGAATGGTTGAGCTAACTGGTTGCGGGACTAGAGGCAAGCGCGACACCACCTCCTGTTGGGTCGCGAACGAAACACAAACACTGTTGTCCATCGGTTTTATCGTTCTTCGGTCGACTGACCTTAGGTTGGAGGCAAGCAAACATGCGTTGACGATCCCGCGTGCAGGCGTGTAGTCGCATAGTCCAATGTGTGCGCATTTGGACGTGCGGCTGTCCTTTCGAGAATTGGCGCCGTGCGAGTACGACCAAACGGAAGTCAGCTCTTGTGCTGCGCTCGCAGACCAATGGACAACGCTGAGGGGCTATTGACCTACCTGATATCTCAATCGCCACCTTGTCAGCAATGGATTCGTTGTGCCACGTTGCGTTGGGCCTGGATGTATACAGCACACATGGAGGTAAAGTTGGCAAGGCCCTTTCGGTAGAGAGGATCATCCGTTTCAGGACAGACGTTGAGTCGAACTTGTCTTGGATTGCCGCACCGGGTCGCATGTCAGCTGGGCTCAGCTAGTAATTGCACGACGTGGTCCAACTCTCTTCTCTCCGTAGCTGGCAGAAGAAACGGTCTGAACCCGGAGACACGTTCTCGGGGTGTAGCACTTTATGTGATGTTTCAAAGGTCATGTTTCGCGCGGTACCACTCACTTCAAGTGCACGGCTTGTTTGCGGTGCTCATTTCGTGGGTCCTCTGGGAAGCGATGATGGGGGTAGCCTTCTCAGGTTTCGAGGCTGCGGTACACAAGCTCGAACTTATCTCCTTCCTGCACTCAAAAGAATGCGATGCTTTTGCCACTCAGTCATCTTCTTGTGAAAGCTTGTAGCTTCGTGACAGTGCTCGTGGAGGAATACGGACACAGGCATTACGACCTTTACCACGTGTGAGAGACTTGTCGAATCATCAGTGATGGTACCCTCAGAAGTACGGCTTGCCTCAAGTCGAGCTGCTTGGTCTCGTCGAGGAGATTACGATAGACGTTATGATCTACCGCTGCTGTCGTGATGAAAGGACTCGCTCTACCTAGCATTCAGAGGGCTCTGGATACCTTTATGCGCTGTCGATCCGGCGTCTTGAGTTAGCTTTTGTCGACTGTCGTCAGCACAGTGTTCGATGGGTTCACTCCTAGGTCGAATGGATACCGTCGTTGTATCCTCGTCGGCTCCGCTTCACTCCGGCTAATGTCGCATTCTGGCTTGTCAGGCGCTTCACTGGACGATGTCGGATGGAGCAGCTGGAGTGGCTTCATCAGCTCTGCACTCAAGAGCACCGATGGTCAATTACCTTTTCCCGCTCATCATCTGGTACGCGCGACTTCTTGCCACTGTGAGATACAAGGTTCCTACCGATGCCAGGATTACATCGCCAAACTACGCAAACACCATTCGTCTAGATGACGCCACCATAAACTACAGCCTTGCCGCTGTAATCACACCGTCTTGCGACATCCACACTTCGTTATTCCTGGCTGCGTCTGAATGGGTAAAGATCGCTAGTCGTGCAGAAGTCGCTGCTGTCATTGTCATCACGCTACAAAGCCTCGACACTGCAATGTCGCGCTCATAAATCGGCTATTGCAAGCAGTCAAGTGTGGTAGAAATTCTGACAAAGGTCCATCCATGCTAGAAGATGCAGACGTTGTGCTTACGTCTTCCATCATGTGTACAAGTAAGCACCGACAAATGACCGCACAATGAACTGCCTATTCGACGTATATGATGCGCTAATGGATGTGATTGTCTCTACGGAAGTATCGACCACAATTGCCATCACGATCAATGCTGAGTTAAAGAGCTTACGATCCAATAAAAATGACACTTGTCACAGTGTCCACCTAAATCTTCCAATGTGTTCCAATCACCTGTCAGGGCAGGACGTGACAAGCCGACGGCGTTACATTCCGTCGATCTATTGCGATGCAGAAAAAAACGGAAAATGACCAGAAAAAAACCCTCATTTCACCCATGGGTCTTCATCCTCCTCCTCGACAAGTCTTGTCAAAAACACCCACATTTTGCGCTCCCACAAAAACCTGAGCTTGATAATCTAGGACACGATCGAGTCGAGTAGCGTGGTCCACACCTTCCACCACCAGCCGGCCCCACACAGCCAAATGACAGACCTAGGGTCCCCTCTCCCATTCGAGCGCGACTACTACGCGCTCCTCGGGGTCCCACGTGACGCCACGAGCGACGACATCCGCCGCCACTTCCTCTCCCTCTCCCGCGAGTTCCATCCTGACCGCCAGCCTCGACGTCACGGCAACGCCGCGCTTGTTGCGGCCGCTAATGCGCAGTATGCCGTGCTCGATCGAGCCTACAAGGTGCTCGTGGACCCAATCAAGCGGCGCGTGTACGACATTTATGGCGAAAAGGTGAGCCGAAGGTGACTGGAAGCAAAAACCGGATTGAAAACAAAAGAAGTTGATTATTTACAATCCGTTCGACGAAAAATAGAAGGGGTACATTTGGATACTTACGAAAATGTGGATAAAACGCGGTGGGATGGATACACTCGTGTCTTGTGCTGCTCTTGTTAATTGTAGGGCGTGCAGGCGTTCGAGCAAAATGGCGCTCTCCAGCAGCAAGTGGTCGGAGCGCACTTCCAGTCGCCGGACCAAGTCCAGCAGTGCGTGGAGAAGATGCTGTATCGCATGAACCAACAGGCGCTAGAGGCGCAGTTTTCGTCGTTTAGTGAAATGTCCATGAACGTCGATGCGTCCGACTTTGTCCAGGCTCCAATGCAGGGCCTGCGCAGTTTGTTCCACAGTGGAGCGCGGTTCGTGGACCGCACGGAGATGACGATTCACCAACGCACAGCGTTTGTGCTGTCGCCGAGTACAACGCTGACGCTCGGAGGTTACATGTATGACAAGAAGGGGCTGGGCATGGGCAGTTTTACGACGCAGGTGACACACACGTCGTCGGACCCGAGCGTTCCGTCGTTCACGGTGACGAGTGAGCTGGGCTGGGCGCCAAAGCTGCACTGCCAAATCAGCCAGCCCGTGTCGCCGCAGACGGTGTTTATGCTCATTCCAGAGCTTGATGACAATGGCCTCGAGATCTCGGTGGGTGCGAACCGGCTGCTGGCACCGCAGCTTCACGGTGCAATGATGTGGAGTACGCGTGACGGACTTTCGGGCTCCCTCAGCCAGAACACAGAGACGTACAATGCCACGGCGGCCGTTGCAGTGAACAGCGGAGGGCCCAACTTGACGTTTCAATGTCGCCGGGCTCTCGTAGCTGCAACGACAGCAAAACTGTCGTTGCGCGCGAACTTCGCGACAGGCTTGTCTTTCGCGGCAGGAGCTAGTCGTGAAATATCGAACCGAACGCGGCTTGGATTGAATGTTCTGCTCGCGCGCACAGGCGTGACTCTACGTTTAGGTTTCACTCGTGGGAGTGTTCGCTTTGTCATGCCCATCTTCCTGTCTCCGTTCTCCGTGCAGTCAGCCTTTTCTACCTTTTGTGCAGCCACATCGCCTCTTCTGGTGGCTGCCGTCGTCACGCAGCTTGTAAAGCCTGGACGGGAACGGCGGCGTCGTTTGGACCTGGAGCGGCGACATGATATGCTCGTGCAGTATCTTGCTGCAGCGCGGCAGAATGCACTGGAGCAGCAGAAGCTGATGCTTCGTTGTGCAAAAGAGAAGATGGAACAAGAGAGGCAACGACGAGACGGCAGAGGGCTGGTGATTATGCTAGGTCGGTACGGCAAGGACCCGACGAGCCCTGATCCACTTGAATCTCAAGAAAATGATCTGGATACGGCGTTTCAAGCGATAGAGGATCGCGAGATGGATTTAGAAGACGGCGTTGAAGCTGAAAGTGGCACCGGTGAACGCATCACACAACAGGAAGTAGATGATGATGTACTGGTGCAAAAATGGATCGACGTTTCGGTGCCTCTTCAGTTTTTCGTCAAGGTATGTATACATGTGTCTAGGCGTGTAAAACTCGTCAAGCTTACTGAGTCGTTACTGTTTTGATGGTATGTAGGATGGAAAGCTTGCCTTATCTTGCGCATCGAAGGCCGGACTGCTTGGATTTTACAATCCATGCATTGGTGTAAACCAGACAATCTCCGACGCACGCTCTCCATCAAGCTCTGGTGTCAAACCGTCACTGTAAGGGGCTTGACTGTTATTTATTGCGACTGATTATCTGTCGCATGTACCTGACGATTTCTGTATTCATTTGTGTATTTTTCAGCTATGTGCGATACGCGTACGATGGTCAGGTATTCGAGGCTTCTTTTGATGATGACCAATCGGTCAGTTTGCCATCCCGGTACGCCCAGGCAATGGGGGCTGTCGGGAGTGTCTACTAGAGTAGGGACTACGTGGCACGAAGAAGAGTCGAAGCGGTACCAATTAGGCGTCTGGGATGACGATGGTTGTGTCTCGGCCGTCACTGAGTGCATGAAGGTCCGACGGAATGTGCAAAGGTGTGCGATGTTTGCTTGCTTTTCATTTATGGTTCGGTGCTATGTGTTGTGTGTTTACGAACAGCCCGTCGACAACTGGATTCAGTACGATCGAGTATCGGGAAGCTGGACAAGTGCTATGTGTGTGCTCTTGTGTAGCCCAAGGAGCAACTCGTAAGAAGCTATGACACACGTGCTGTCTTCATGCGCAGCTTCATGTTGTACGAGCCAGCTTCTCTTTCTTCGAGCGAGTAGTGCACTTGGGCACCCACTTCATCGTCACACTGGCAGCTGCTACGTTTCCTGTATTGCGCACTAGTGTGCTGCGTATGACGGAAAAGGATGTCAAGGACTTTTTGTGACTACACAGTCTGCACCGGTATCTCACCTCGCGCGACGTGTGCCTCGAGGATTGCCACAAATGTCCTGATGCATTAATCTGCTGCACAGTCATGAGTGCATATGCGAGAATGTTAAATGCATAGAACACGTGGTAGACCGTATTGTTAATTTTAGCTTATTCTGAACCACTGAAAGGAGACGAAAATGGCAAGAGCAAGGGACCATTGCGAATGAGCTACCTTAAAGGGTCTGTGCGTGAGAATGGATGGAGAGTCGTCATCATTTTGAGTTCATTGAAGTTGAACGGATAGCCTGCAAATCATGTAGGTGGATGTCGCAATACGTCCAGGTGTACTTAGAGTCATCCTTCATTCAAGCCAAATAGATGGTCGATGTGGCATGTAAGTGTGTTGTAGGTGGACAGTCCTTCGATAAGGTATGGGTGTAACGGGGTGAATCGTTACATAACAATTTATAAGAAATTGTTAATAGAATATAACTATAAGAGTTATATTCTCAGAATATTGTCATAAGGACAAATATTCTGTAGCACTTACGAGTAGTTCCTAATTGGTTAATATAGGCCATTATATCAACCAACGAAGACGCGCCACGACAGACGCACGCAATGAGTGGTGAGCAGATAATCAATTTACACATTTGTATTTAGACATAGTTAGATGAAGATAAATAGTGATTTATTGCAGACATTAACTATACTAAATACAGTTCTACTTTTTACTCTAACCAAGTACTCGCTTCTTCTTACCGTCTTCCTCTGCACGTACCAGTGTACGTGAAGTTACGAGGCACCGCCTTATTCTGTCATCAGAATAAGTAGCTTGTACTGTCACCAGTACAAGCTTCATTGTGCCCCGTTACAATGGGAACTGTGGACGACAACACTATAACTTAGCAGAGGTTGTGACTTGATTATTCTTGTGTATCGTACATAAGGAAAACCAATCAATTGAGTAATCAAAAAAAGCGAACCTGGGCATGTGCGTCATTTGGAGTAATCCAGTTAACATCAGGAGTCTTGAACCTACCGCCTTCTAGTGTCTGACGATGTTCCTTGCCTTCCAACTCGCAAGCATGCCCCGGATCTCGTGTTTCACTCCTCAAGGCTTGAGTCCATCGTGTGGTCTTTTCTGTCCGCGCGTCCACCTATGCAACTATATTGGAAATGTCGAACCTCTTGAGGCCAGTCAATGTGCTCGTGTTGCCGATGGTGAACCGGCTGGGCGACTGGATCAAACCAACCCCCCCCCCACTTTCCTTATATACAATCCAAAATTCATCCATAAGGCTTTCACTGCCAGATCAGAACAAAAGTATCAGGCTTTTAACTAGTTTGCTACCTTCCGAACGGGATGAGACGCACCCATAGCTTCTTTTGTCTGAGCTGAGAATTAGTACACAGGGAAGGCCACATACACGCCTTTTTTATCCGTGTCTTGCCTATTGGTGTAATATCTGAGCGGTATAAAATGTTGCAGATCCGTCTGACCCATGGACAACGTCTGCAAATTTGCAAACACACGGATGAGAGCCCGGATTTATCGCAAACGGCACTGACGAAATGGGCTACGGTGGAGTTCGGCCTTGTCAAAACGATGTCACAGGCATCAATCAGCAAGATCTTTCGAAAGCGGTCAAATCTGGAGAATATGGATCCAAGAAGCCTAAATGCAAGACGACAGCGAATGGTTCAACATCCCATACTGGATGAAGCTGTGTCTCTTTGGGTCCTGCAATGTCAACACAGCGGAGTGATTATCACCGGGACTACATGTGTGCGAAGGCTCATCAGCTTTCTCAATTGCGTGGTACCCATGACGACGCCATCACTTTCTCGCACGGATGACTTCATAAATTCCGGTAACGTCACATGCTCCACGCTATCAACATCTGCGGTGAAAGCGAATCGGTGAAAGTGGAGGCTATCAATAAGGCTCTGCCTGATATGAAGGAGGTCATCGCAGAGTACGCGCTGTGTGATGTTTGCAACATGGGTGAAACCAGTAAACTTTGGTGTTATATTATAATTGAAACCGAGTCTGACAACATTAATTTGCAGGACTGTACTACAGCATGACACCTGACGGAACTATTGCACAGCAAGAAATTAGAGGACACAAAAAAGACAAGGTGAGTATATTGCTGAATGTGTTATGACATACTTACACAGGGGTATGCACTTACATAGGGGTATGCACTAACATTGAGGTATGCACGGAAATTATATACAGTAGTCGATTACAATTGCGCTCACTGAAAATGCTGATGGCTCTGACAGCTGAAGCCTTTATTTATCGGGTAGCCTAGAAACCCCGCTGCTTTGACAAGAAAGCAGGTCAAGCACATGGTTTTTTTTATCAGTAGCACAAAGGCTTGAATGAAGGGCGTGATCTTCCAGGAACGGCTTGCAAATCTCGACAAAACAATGAGGGTGCGTAGCCATTTAGAATTGGATACTTATCATTCTAATACTGCATCGTTTCAGATCAAAAGTAGAAATATCCTTCTATTGGCTGACAATGCTCCGTCTCTTATGACAAATGACCTTACGTTAACTCACGTCAAGGTTCAGCGGCTTCCACCAAGTACTTCCTCCATGATTAGTCGATGGATGCTGATGTCATCGCATCGTTTAAGCGGCGGTATAGTCGTTACCATCTGCAGGATGCAATCGACTGTGAAAAGCGTAGGGAGGGCTTGAACATCTATAATGACGGTCAGGTTACAGCCATGCGCTGGTCGGTGGCTGCCTGGTACGAGATTACAAGCACTACCATTACCAACTGCTCTTTCTGTACGTAGCGCAATTTGTGGGAACATCATATCGGACTGTTGGTTTGAGTGGTGGTGTGCTTAAATAGGATAGCTCTCGACACAGTCTTCCCTCCGATAAGTTTTCCTCGAAAAGTTATAACTTCCAGTGAGTTATCGAGTTCCGCGTCCACGGACCTCGTTCTATGGCCGCTGGGATATATGTTTTTAGTTATGATCAAAAAGGTCAATACAATTATTTGGACGAGAACTTGTTTTTGTGTTATAGAAAATAAAAATCTTGAACCATATGTTGAGGGTGGTTTGGGTGGTGGAAGTGTTGCGAAGGTCAAGCTGGAGGTTGCAAAGGACTTTATAAGCAGCTTGGTGACATTCCTGGGACACGTCGAGCAGGTAGCTGGCATCACGAAGGAGGTTAATCTTCTTGGCTCTACTAAATTTTCTTGCGACAGATGACGAATCTTCACTGTTATCCTCATCATCATCTGCCTCCAAAACCTCTTTTTTAATCTCGTCGGTTAGCTCAGGCTGAGCATTCTTATCCTCTTCGATGGGATAAGGAAGCTTGACGATCCTCGTTTGACCTCGAACATGTAGCTTCTTGAGCCGGGTTATCAGCTCTTGCTCCAGATCTCTTTCTTCCTTCTCGACCTCCAGTGCGCCATCTCTACTCCTTTCCACCCCCACTGCACTTGAAGTGACCGATTCAGTAGAAAAGGCCCTGTGTGGATGATGCAATTGATGCATCACGCGGTCGCGGCAAGCACTTAAGCTGCTAATTTATTTTCCAGAACACGATGACGTAGTTTCGGTGGGACAACACAGTCCATCGTGCAGCCGTCTATCGATTACCAGAACCGATGTCCACGTATACAGTTGTCTCACATTTATCTTGCGACTCGGTTCTTGTACGTTTTTCAGCTAACAATAGACGGTAGCATCAGCATCAAACGACGTTGATCACATATGAACCACGTGTACCGATAAATGGTGTCTTTGCAGCAGTAAATAGCCAATTTGCATTCCCAAACCTGACAATTCTGACTAATAAAATAGGACCTCACATATGTGAAAAGTAAGCCAAATTCGGCATAATTCAGTGCATTACGTTGGTCAATGATGGCTCTTGGTGTCGCACATTCCGCTTGCATGCAAAAAGTATTCGAATGCGAGGATTGGTGGCATTTTTTATGTATGTTTAACGCCCTGGTAAAAGAAAATTACTGGAATCGATACTATTCAGCGCAAAACTGGCACGAAATCAACAAGAACAGCCGGCGGTAGTCAACAAAGTCCAAACTCAACTTCGACGCCAGTGTGATAGGGCGATATGATCCATCTCACCTATCTCACTGGCAAGAGTGTCGCGATAAAGTGTGCTATACAGCGTTAGCTGTCACTAGTTTCATATCAGCCATATTTGTAAAGAGCCATTGTGGTACTTCATCCAGTTCGTAACAAACCTGTTTGTGCGGAGGTCTATTGTATCATGGGTTTAGCTTGATAAAGCGTTATTATCTACTGTTTTTGTACGCCTCCCTATCCACTTTCTCGCGAAACAGGTACATCCTTCGGTTTGCACAATAAAGCATATTTCTGTGTCATTTTCTTACTGCGTGTAAAGCTATTATCAGGTGTCCACCCGAATGCCGCTTCTGTGCATGACCTTTACGCATCCCATTCTGTCAAAAGGCTTGTGTCGAAAGGTATGCATGTAATTTTGATAAATGGCGTATACGAAGGTGCTGCCAAGCACAAGATAGATCAACTTAGAGATTATTTGAATGAAATGACCGCCTTGATGGATCGAACCATCAAATACATGCATATTACAGTATCAAGATAGATGGTTAAAATTGGTAACCCCTATGAATGATCCCGAATGCGATCACACAATACATTAACACTTTTATTGATTTAACACACACATCACAACCCATGTCCTCGCTGTCGTCCCCCCGAAAGGGTTCACGAAAATGCGCAATTTATCAAGCCACATCAACTCGATTACTTTAATCAAAGGACGAGCCCTAGATCTTACTCCCCTATCTTATTCTAGCCTATAGCCTCATTACTTTCGTCTGACCAATTAGAATCAAGAATTGTCGAAAGGATAGGAAGCATGGTAAACGAACTTCTGTACAGATACGCACGCCAGACGTGTTTCGGCCTCCCGCCGGGGGCCTCGTCAGTGGCTTACCCAGTCTAGAAGTGAGGTATTTCTGTATCATGTGCTGACCAAACTAAGAGACTTCAAGAATTTAGTGTAATTACACAATTTACTCATATGGACCACCAAACCTGGCAGCTGAGGAGGTGACTCAGAAGGGAGTATCGGCCATTACAACTCCACTTCCAACACTCCCCTCCGACGGCCAAGTTTTCGGCCCTCCTACCGATCCTCGTCAGCAATATTGACCTACTGCTCCACTGACACTGAGCCTTTATCCGAAAAAAATCTTCTTAGTCCTTTAATGCCTTCTGAGTGATCGACGCCTGCACTCACATGGGTCTGCTGATCTTGAGAGCTTGTTTCTTGGTCATGGCTGTTGGTCTTGCGCAACCTCGTGACTCCCCGTGCGTGCGAACCGTTCGTGCCACGCACAGTATCTAGTCATCGTGATCGAAGCTTCCTTTCTTCTAGACCGTCCTCTAACATTTCCCTCAATCACCATAATCCTCTGGGTTCCATAGCACCCACATATCCAGACATCATCGCGTCACCGTCCTTGCGCTTCACGTATCGCCTTCATCACGTGTGCCATATTCGTCGAATCTTAAGACGAGATCTTCGGCGCCTTGTGCACGACGTGTCATCACCGGAGGAATTTAAGTCGCACAAGTCAGTCCTTGACGAGATGGCTGGGGCGAGGTCGTGGGCTCACAACCTATCACGAGTTTCTATACACAGTGCAAGGAGTGCAAACTGGTAGGTGGAAACATGGCTTTTGACGACTTAGTGTTTTTGGGAACGGCTAACTTTGCGTAATCTGCCCCGCTTAACTCACTCATCCCCTTCCTACACATGTACGCACATCGGTCTTACCTTTGTCATCCGAAGCCTGGATGTGCCTTCGATCTTACCTCACTTCTGTCATGTCGAATACTGTTGTAATTGTAGGTCTTGATCGGCGTGTTGATCCCTGAACAGGCAATATTGGTTGAAGCGTCGTAGTACTACATGATGCTGCAACAATCATAGGTGCGGCACCCTCCTTGCAACACTCCCCCTGGATCAATACGCCACTACTGCTGGACGAGACCCAGTGACTGCCGAAGAAGAGTGATGACTACGTGCTTGCGTGTTCTAGTGAATACATCTGCAACCTGATCTGCCGATGCACACCACTCCATATCGACTCGACCGTTGTCATGCTGGTCACAAATAAAGTGGAACCAAATGGAAAATTTTTTTGACGCGTTCGACACTACCTTGTTCTTGATACTCCGTATAGCACTCTTGTTGTAGATATTGAGCTGCAGTGTAATTTCGATCACGAAAACATCTTGAATGAGTTGGCGAATCCATCCGCATACAGAAGTCGCTTGAGCTGCCGTGATAAATCAGCCTCCATGGTTGAAAGTGTGACCACAATTTGTTTTCGAGATAACCAAGTCACGAGACGCCCATTGACTAGGGCTTCCATCCGTACCAGATATATTGGGTCGAGTTGTTGTTTGACCCGGCTGGTCCGGGTCCTGGGTCGAGGTCTGGCCCAGATCAATGACCCATTGGTCTCTTTTAATTTTTTCACATTTTTTTGTCATTGCAACCAAGCCATTTTGCATCTTTTCTAACTAATTTGGGTGCTCTATTGAGCTGTGTATTCCAAATATAGCACACTATATACTGATTAGGGAGGCTTGTTTCGGTCTCTCATTATTACTGGTCAGCCCAATTCTAAATTGTATGTACTCCAGCCAAATAATAAAAATCATTCCATGAAAATGAATACAGGACCGATGCAAACAGAAATTGCATCGTCGATCGCCTCCACCGACAATATCACCCAGAAAACAGAGGGTCCGAGCCAGTAACTCAATGTCAGCAAGAAACAAGCTGGGTTTGGACGTACTTTTAAGGCTCCGAAAAAAAGTAAAGCTGTTTGTCAGGTCCCAAATCTTGATGGCAGATCAGCAATTTGCGGAGCTGTAAATGTATTTACAGATGTCAGTGTAACCAATGTGTTTGCCAAGCATCTTAAGAGCAAGCATCATACAAGCTATCTGAACAAGGTGCAATGCGTGTATATTATAAATCAAAATATCTGAAGGTGTGTGCATCGCATAAGTATGTGTAATTGAGTTTATATTAAAACGTATCGATTGAACTAATTCTAGAGCATTCGTTGCCTTACCAGTTTGTGGAAAATAGGCATCTGCGTGATCTTCTCGAGCTTTGCAATCATGCAACAAGCACTTTGCAATCGCCCAGAACTGGCAGCTAAACACAGTCGATCGCCTATACAAGCTTGTAATCAAAAATGAGTGGAAGGTGAGCATGCGTCTATACAATGTAGACGTTCAATGATACGTATACAATGATACATGCAATAGGTAAAATTTAGATTATACATAATGCATGGTGATAAGTATTACGGAATATGAAAGATGCATGTTAGGGATGCACACGTATGGACGTCAACCATATTTACGATGCTACTCAATTTATAATATATATAGACGTACAAGCTGGCCCGTTTGACGATTTCCTCGTAGGACTTTGCCGCATGAACGCTTGACTTGCCCACTCGATCCAAAACACGTGTCACACTTGTATATTTTAGGGGTTTCTGTTGCGATTCTAAATTCTGTGGCACAAACAAGTGTTTTGGACCAGGGTGACCCAATAATTAGCCCTGGACCAGCTGGTCCAGGTCCTGAGTCGAGGTCTGACCTGGACCAATGACCCCGAGTCGGAGCCCTACAATCGACAGTAAGCACACAACCACTAGTTGACTTCCTGTAGAGATTATCTCCAGCCCAATTTTGCGTTCTATTATAACCGCGACATCGAGATTCCCTGAGCCTGAGAGGAGTAGCTTTTTTATTGTGACCAATGCCAAGATCACGCATGCCCTTGAGTGATCTGATTATTCTTTTCACGAGTTGCTAGTAGCATTCCCTTGGTTCTTCACGGTGTCGCGCCGCAATACTTACTACGTATGATATGTCTGGTCCAGTCATATTATCTATCCAGAGAAGTCGCGTGATTGCTTCTCGGTATCCGCGAACATCCTGATATAGCTGATCGTCGACGTTATTGTAACTGATGTTGTTGTCCATTGGAGTCGTCACTAGCTTGCAATGTTCCACATTCAAGCGAACGAGAAGTTCTTCCACCATGTGTGGCTGCGAGAAGTAGGAGAAGCGGCAGCGGCTATTGTATTACATGTTTATCCAACGCATAGTCGACGACTACACGTTGTGCAAGGGGTAAAGGTACCTCCTCGCGATCCACGAATGAATTAGGCGCGACGCTCGTGGTGCCACGCGCCGGTGGCGTATCTGGAGGCGGGCCATAGACACTCGACGCGACGGTGTCGCTCTCTTAGTTCACCATACCCTCTTCAAGGAATATCTCGAGGGTGCTAGACGAAGGCTTTGACTCAGTCATTTTGAGATGCGTTGTGAACACGATGGTGAGGACTAGATTTTTGATAGACCTTGAAAGAGCAAGAGGAGAATCTCGACACCTTTGTGTAGACGAGTTGGTGGGGGTGCTCCACTCCAACAGGGTTACACGGTCGGTTATTGAACCGGTTCTGTTGTGCATCCATACCAAGTAAAGACCGGTGGATCTGAGTAGTACAGTCTTTGTAACGGGGCACCCTGAAGCTTGTACTGGTGGCAGTACAAGCTACTTATTCTGATGACAGAATAAGGCGGTGCCTCGTAACTTCACGTACACTGGTACGTGCAAGAGGAAGACAGTAAGAAGAAGCGAGTACTTGGTTAGAGTAAAAGTAGAACTGTATTTAGTAATAGTTAATGTCTGCAATAAATCACTATTTATCTTCATCTAACTATGTCTAAATACAAATGTGTAAATCAGTTATCTGCTCACCACTCATTGCGTGCGTCCGTCGTGGCGCGTCTTCGTTGGTTGATATAATGGCCTATATCAACCAATTAGGAACTACTTGTAAGTGATACAGAATTTTTGTCCTTATGACAATATTCTGAGAATATAACTCTTTTAGTTATATTCTATTAACAATTTCTTATAAATTGTTATGTAACGATTCACCCCGTTACAGTTATCCCTCAATAAGAGAGTCTTTAAGTCTAAGACTTTTTATATTAAGGAGCGCTAAGTAGCTTCGCTACATGTAGCCATGCACAAATTTATCAATGCATGCGAGCTCTACAATTTAGAAAGGATACAGTCTACTTTGCTTTTTCTCGAGGTTGTCATGTTTTATCCACCTTGTATTTAATCTATCCGCGTGAATTTCTAAATCGTACAATCTCGTTGAATTTCTATCGTCCTTTTCGTCAACAAGAAGGCACCACCACCGAGTCAGATAGATGCCTCTTTCGCTCTCTCCGTGCGTGTTCCTCGCCTTCGACGATATCTCCCGAGCTGGCAAGCGTACGTCATCCACCTATCTACATTCTACTCCCTCCTCTCCTCATCGCCATACTAACTAACACCTTGTTGCCTCCTCTCTAGACGTCCTCAGCGCTGTCAAGTTTCATGGCACGAACTCTTGCCCCGTACCTCACTCGGATTTAGAAACGCTGCTACCAATAGAAATGTGCCCATACGTTCAGCTGTACCAGTACCCAAATGACCAAGCGACAAGTATTACAGTAAACACGGCGAAATTACCGGAGACCAAGCGATGGGAAGTAGTGGATGCACTGGTATCAGCAATGAGTGAGGCTGAGGTCGAGACACTTACGATCCTGGCAGCTGCACACTTGCCATACGCAAAGGACGGTGGACTGCAGGTGTTCTACCGCACCTTGAATGACGTCAAAAAGACTCATGGAGACGTGGCAGCTGTGCGCAGCTGATCCGGCGTGGGAGACGAAGGAGCCGTGGCTGGCGGCACTGCTGCACTGGATTAGTGTCGAGCAATGGCCATGCACGCACCTGCTGCTGGCTAAGGGACACAAACCTGGACGAGACTTGGCTGGGACGTACGAGGCAGTCGAGGCTCTGAGTCGGGCGGTACAGCTCTTGACGGACAAAGTGACGATTGATGATTCAGTGCAGGTGCAGCAACGGTTAGCGCAGGAAGTAGCGACGAAAGGACTGACGACAGAGACGGCATTGACGGCATCGGACGAGCACCTGGCGTTGCTGTACCGGTAGATCTGTCGATCGGTTGTGTCAGGGCGTCGCACATGAGGAAAGCAGTGTAAGTGGTTCAACGGGTTCAACGACATTGTGTTTTTCTCCGCTACGTCCATTCGCAAGCATTGGATTGCAAACGTTTTACGTTCTGATGGTCCGCTTCTTCCTCTCGGTCTGGCGCATCTGAGCTCGTTGGACGACACCGTACAAGCAACCAGCACTGTCGGATCTACTCCATTAGCAGAACAACCTTGCGCTTCGTCGTGCGGTTGACGGCAGCGTGCAGAGCGTCATCAAAGTCGGCAAACTTATATGTTTGGATCCACGTGCGAAGCTTGCCAGCTTCCACAAGATCTGCGAGCTCCGACAGCATAGCAGCACGCTCTTCCACGGTCGAGTCTTTGGTCCACTGGGTGAGCCAAAAGCCTTTGAGCGTAATGTCACGGAAGATGAGAGCACTCGTGCTCACCGACACGGCCCGCTTGCTCATCCCGCCATATGTGACGTGCACGCCCTTGTTGGCCAGCACTTTTGCCATCTCGAGGCTCGTCTGGCCGCCAACGCAGTTCAACGCAAGTTTAGGGGCCGGCAAGTCGGAAATCAGCTCTTTGAACTTGGCCGAGCCCATGTAGTCCGCCGTGCACACAATCGTAGCGCCCAGGTTTTTCAAATGCTGCACCGTTTCGTCGTAGTCGCCGTCATCGCGAATGATGTTGATGGTCGTGATGCCCCGCAGCGCCGCCAGCTGGATGACAGCCTGGCCCACTGCACTGTTGGCACCATTCTGGATCACCACGTCCCCTTCGCTGAGCGTCGTAAAGTCCGCCAGCATCCGGTACGCCGTCGACGGATTCACCGACAACGTTGCTGCATCTTCAATCTTGATCGACTCCGAGATCTTCATCACCTCCGTGCTGTCCGCCAGAGCTTTGCTTCGCCACGTTCCTGCAGCAATTGAGAGAGAGAGAGAAAAAAAAATGAGACAACAAGTCAGTAACAACATCACTATAGAATCACCGACTCTCTCCACTGGTCAACCAACACATCAGCAGCAGTTATTACTACTATACAGGACCCACCAAAGGCAGCGCCCGTGGGAATAACACGGTCATTGACCTTCAGAGTGAGTGACACTATCCCCCACTGCAGTGACAACAGCCACTCCTTCATTGCCAGCGACGGCTGGGAAAGGGGGCTTGATCGCGTACGAGCCCTGGATCTGCGACAAGTCCGAAACGTTGATAGGTGCAGCTAAGAACCGGAGAGCCACTTGACCCTTGGCGGGCGCCGTCTCCTTGTCGTCTGCCTCCGTTCTGACATAACGTAATATTTCAATATCACCATGAGCGTAATGTTATTCCAATATTCAGGTTAGTTTTAGAAAATGATGATTGACAATTATTGTAAGAATACAGCGTGCTGTTACGTACCGGAGGACAGTAAGCGGGTGGCCAAACTCCGAGTAGCGGATAGTGCTCATAGAGCGTTTGCTCTGCGCTGAGAGGCCCTTGGCGATGAACGAGAGCATATTGCAGCAGTGACGCGTTGGGGGAGCTAGCTAGAGACTGGGGAGTCAGTGGGGAGAGTCAATTCGTTTTTCAAAATTCACAAAACGCCGTTGACTTGATGTTTGTAGCGCGCCTTCGTGATATTTCAAATCAGGTTGGTTGAGGTGCGAGTGAGTGGTGTGGGGCACGTCGACGCAGTTCGCGCGACGTTCGTGCAACGAGAAACAGCCGCGCAACAAGGACAGAAACGAACTTACGCGGACAAAATGTCATCGGTGCCGATGAGTGGATCGTATTACGCAACATATCAATTTTGACGCGTTTGAGCAACATAAGATCGAGTGGCTCGCAGCGTTCTTAAATCCCTTGCCAATGCTCATTAAGCAATTTAGTCTGTAGTTAGAGTGCAACCACGTTCGTTGATAGCACCATTGGTCAGTACTCCCTATGATCAGAATAAAGTTTGAGATCCGTTAATCAGAGCCTGGGGGTCATTGTGTTTACTCTAAGTGCAATGCTGGGCCAATACTGTGGACACTTTTCTTGGTGACGGGACCGCTTGATTAGCATGTGCATGTTAGTTTAGTAGTGAAGCAGTCGATGAAGGAAGTGGTTTCTCGATGATGTTCATTATAATTAATCTTTGAGACCTGAACTGACCATGTTGTCAACCTGCAATGCTGAGAGAAATCCTAAATGACCATTCACCATTCGTTCGCGTGCAAGTGCATTCGTGTCCATCCTTCAGATAGCATTGCATGTGTCTTTATCCTATTCTCGATCGTTCGCCAATATCCGCTGTACGCAAACTGCCATGTTATTGGAGTAGACTACAAGCCGAACTTACATGTGCAATGGTGGATTTGATAGCGTAGTGCAGGTGTCGATCGCTGCACTTCCCTTGATCGCGAGTGTTGCGATCGCAGCAAGTTGATGAGAATTACAACGGTGCTAAACAACAGCACTGCATCAGGTTGAAAACATTGCTCGACTCTGGATTCCGTATCCGTCGCTGGTGGAAAAATTTCCTTGTCGATCGTGGCAAGCTTACCACACTACAGCTTATGCACATACTGAACTCCACAAGCGACACGCTCACAACGAAAAGATCAGTCGAGGTTTGCATTGACCTGCAACGACACGGTAACGTCAAAGGCGCCGCATATTGAATTGTGCACAATCAATGTTGCTTACTTCCAGGAAGGAAGCTTTGACAGCAGTGCGACTTCAGGTTGAGTTAAAGTTCGTTAATGCTGCAATCTCCTGAGCTGTGCAGGTATGTGAATACTGCTGCCAAGGTCGTGGAGCTTACCACGTTTGACGCTTCGGACAGAGGCCAACTGTATGATTCAGCATCTGACGTGAAGCAATGAGGTCATGTCAAACATGTCAAGGGGAGGTGTGTGGATCCCTCAATACCGTTCACGCATTCGCCTGTTTTCATTCACGTGCCCGACTTCGTACAACTATCACGGATGCTTCAGAGTCCACTGCGACGATGTCGTCGAGTCATGGGCTGCCTTCGGTGCCCCCTGCCGCAGTGGACCTCACCACCTCAGATCCAGAATTGATGAGGTACCACGATGCGGTACTCGATAGAAGTCTGCATCGTCCGTTAGCTGCAATGCTTGGAGGTGGAAGCATTCGAGGTGTAGCCTCAAACTCCATTTCTTACAACTCTGTGCCTCAAACTTGACCCGGTCGCACAAATGCCGGTGTACGCGACTATAGCAGCGAGCGAAGCGGCCACGCACATGTGCAATCGGATGAGGATATTTCCACGTCGGTTGCATCATACCAAGTATCCACAGTGCAATCGTCGCAAGCTACCAGAGACGGTAACATCAGCATCGCTTGCGATACGAAGGAGTTGTTTACAATGACATCGTCACGTAGACTCAAGTGCCTCCAACCACACGAGGTCAACCAAGTGAGATGAATCAAGCATGCAAAGCATCAGCATTCAGGCCCCAACTTGTTCTCTGAGTAGGCCAAGTTCCTGAAGCTTGTCGACACTAGTGGCTAGCAAGTTGTACTACAATCACCTCGTCACCATCGACACACTCGTCCGTTATCGCCTCGCACATGGTGTTCGTTGGGGACCCTACCTCCACGTTAGCACGATTGTCACAGTGACATAACGTACCGTGCTACCTGCATGACTTCCTTGTTATTGCGGGGGGTGATAGCCGTCATTGAGGTCATCCTCGCATACACGAGCATGGTGAGATGGGAAGTGTCACTGGATGTAATAGCGCTCGAGTTGAACAAAGATCACAACTTACATTTCGGTTCTCGGTCCCAACTGCGTTATACAAACTTGGTTTTGTCCATGTAGAAGCAGGCAGCGCGAGTTAAATGCATGCAAGAAAGGTTTGGTCGTGGAGAGCAGTATTGGATACTTGCTTTCATTGATTCATCATTGAAAATGCTGGTGTGGTGCTGCGTATCTTGAACGGTTGGCATGGAAGTTATACACAAAAGCTTCGAGACTTTTACCCTTCGACGACTGACAATAAATATCGCACAACCAACCACAGGGACACGGGCAAGTCACGCGTGAAAAAAGTGTCGATTCACATTGCTAAAGAGCGTTCATTACGTCGATATCCAAACTCATCGGCTTCTGTTGTTCCATGTCCACAGCTCATACTTGTGCTATCTGTCTCGCTGTTTTTGACGACTGGCAAAGTGAGTCAAGCATTCGTCTGTATCCTTCCACAGGTCGGACATTCTAACGACTCGTTCAGTTTTGCCACAATGCATTCGTCGTGGAACTGGTGGCCGCAATTCAATGTCGTCAAATAGTACGTGGCAGCGCGGCGTCGATTCGCGCTGCTTTTACTCGGTCGAGGACCGCCGGCATTGTGGGCTCGGCTGCTTCCGTTCGATGTGAGCGTCTCTATCCACGACGAAGTGAGCACGCTGCCGGTACTGTCGCTGCTGTTCCGGTTGGCACGAGAAAGTGCTCCAGCACCCGTGTCCATGCTCACTACCGTCGACCTGCTGCTGTCAATATCATTGACAATGTCGATATCGTCGATGCTGTCATTGTTTTCGTCTTCTTCCAGGAGCAAGACAGCCGCGTTGGATGACGACGACATCGACGTGGAGCTGCCGTGTGCCGCGCCACACAGTGGCGAACCACAGATCGTGCATACCTCTCGATACAAATCATTCACCACATCGTCATCCTTGATGGATTCCCTGGACAAATCATTAGAAGACGAGAGTCGGTTGTACTGCACTTGCTGGTGCTGTTCCATCCCCCGTCCACGAAAATGCTGCTTCACTGAAGTGGCTGTTTCTTTCAGCTTGGAGCTGTACGCTCCCGCCCATCGAAGTCCACCAGTCTCCGCCGCAGTCGACTTGACTCGATACTCGAGTCCGTACTGCTCCAAAGCGTACCCGTAGATAAACTTGACCAGTTCATCGGCAAAGTCCGTCACCACGACCGCGCAGCACTCGTTCTTCTTCTCAGTCAAGTAGCCATAGAGTGCTGTAAAGAAGCGGTCGAGACTCTGTCTCCGCTGTTCCATGACAACGCGAGCACTAGAGAACGTCGGGACCCACTTCTTCGGGAAGTAGCTCTTGAGAAACCCATAGAGCCACGGACAATCGGCGTCACAAAAGTGGCCGTGCTGCAACTTCTTAACAAGACGTTGCTGCAGTTTCCGGTATTCGTCAAAGGACCTGGCGTGGCTCCAGGCGACCCGAAGGCCGTGGTGACGGACAGTCATGACGTACCGCACGTCCGTGTGTTTCTTGGTCGCTAAGAGCTCCACTGTCACTTGCTGGAGGTACTTGATTGCAATTGGCACATTGTGCGCATTGCAAACGCTCGTGGTTGACGTCGTGGCCGTGAGACTAAACGTGCGGTCCACTAGGAGGGTACTGCTATTTCCGCTTGTTCGAGTGGTTCGACAGGTACCGATGCTACTGCTGCTATGGCTGCTGCTTTTTCGACCGAGACTTGTGGTCGAAGTGCTCGTGGTACTTCGTCTACGGCTACTTCGAGTGCGATGACGTGGACGAGACGCTAAGGCCATGGACAGTTCAATGGCGGAAAGTTGCATACCTTGATACGGTCCGGAGGTGGAGCGATCGGTCGTTTGTTACTTGGTTTGTTTGAAAGTGAGGAGGCAGGGATTGGTGGTAGTTTTGTGGTTGGTAAAGGGGGGGGAGGAGCGGATACGCCCGCGTCTCTATTGCATGCGGAGCAAGATGGCTACAGAAAACGACCGTCTGCAAGTCGTTTTTGCAGCAGTAGTGCATGACGCACGTGGTCGAGCAACTGGACAGAAGTTAGGGCGCACTGGTTTACGAAATTTGTACGACGGCGGGGGCAAGAGAGCCAGCACTGGCGAGGTCCTGGACGATAAAGGCTAGGCGGTACTAGGAATTACGACGAGATTGAGTGCAAAAGCGACGGATTACGAGTGTCGGATGCCAAATGAGAGGTTTGACCACATCGTTGAAGCAGGAGATATAGTCACTTTTATAGCACGCGCAGCTGGTGACGGGAAGATGCAATGATTACGTCACTCATTTCGCAGACGCTCTTGTTTCGACCTTGCGGGTCGGGTTCGGGTTCTCGTCTTGGTCTTGTTGTCCTTTTCCGATGTGGTCATCGTCTAGCTGTCCTGTAGCCACTTTTCCACTGGTATTCAGGCGCTGCATTGCTGAGGGGAGGTAAAGCTGAGGGGAACACAAGCCTGCTGAGTGGAAATGCAAGCAGGTGGTAGTCTGGGTTTATATCGTGAAGTAGGCAGTAATGATGATGGCACAGAGGGTTCAAAACAGCCGTGTTGACTAAAGATTTAGTGTGAGAGATCACGCATGCATCATCAGGCTGCCCGACAGATGCTCGTCGACTTTCGTACGCGACTATTCCTTGACTTCACCATGACTCTCACCTGCTTGCTTTGACAATACGAGCGATACGCGTTGCATAGTGGCTACAAGGTGCTACTGTGAATGGCGAAGACCCATTCTGTGGCCGAGAGTGCACCGCAAATGGCAATGCAAGTGAACTTGGCTCTCTAAATTGGAGTTGTTGACGAGTGACAGGGAGACCTAGAACAGTGTCGGTGGTCAATCAATGTGAACGCCCTTGTGTTCGCAAAGATCCATTCACACACAGTCTAGTCGCTGCCTGGAGTCGTGATCGCACTATTTATTTTGTGCGTACGATTGAGAGGTGTCGGTCAGAGAGCGAGTAGAATCGACTCCCACAAACCGCCACCTTGTTGATCGCTTGAACGAGCGTTTCGTATGATGCAATCTGGGTTGCAAGGTCACCTTCACGTGATCAATTGCCGTGTCGCATGCTGTCGGACGTGGCAAATGTCGCTTCAACAACGACGGACGACGTGGGACAGACGACATGGATACACGCAGAAGCAGCGACGTTGAAGCAGCGATACTTGAAGACAAGGGCGCCGACCATACCAGGCTACAATGTGACGGCAACGTGTATTACATTACGGACGTTACGTACGCTCAAAGTCGGAGACAGAGACAGACAGGAGCAGTCCTACTTCTACGTCTCTGTCGCATGCGTCGTCTTCGTCATACAAGCTACCCGTACTTTGACCATGGCAGATAGACGAAGGCCCCGCCTCCTAGTGGACAGATGATGCCGTCTGGCTGGCAGAGCAGACGGATGACGACTGATCGAATGGACGTTACACAAAGCAGACGTCTCGTATGTGCGATCGGAGCTCTCGTTCCGTTTCACCTAACGATCTTGAGATATCAAATGGTTAGCTCTTCCTGGTCGAGCACTGCCTTCGGTCTGCAACTAATGCGACAGATGAATGAGAAGACCGCAGTACATACTGGTAGGGCCATACTGCCACAGTAAGAACTGCACCTGATCCAGTTATCTCGCTACTTCAATTCCTATCCGGCTCGAAACCCGCTTGCGCTGGCAGATAATCGTCATGACTCTTGGTGGCACTGGGTCCAGCCGGGGTGATACGTGTTGTGTCTGGCCTTCTCTTTACATTCGACAGATCGATGCATCATGAAGGCTGTCGCGTAGCTTTGGTACAAGAGGTGGCGAGACGTACTGATCCAATTCAATCAATAGATGGCACACATGCCGAGAGCACATCCAGTTCTGTGCGGATCACGCGTTCGGTTCACAACCAAGCGAAAGGTTTTTCCAGGGATCTCGCATCGTCACGTTTGAAGCTGTGGTGGTGTCGTCTCCCACCGATAGTCACCAATGCCAGTCACTAGAAGTGAATCGACTTTCCTGTTCGTATAGCACAGAGCGTCGACGTCAACGAAACGACCTGCTCCTGCAAACTCGTTTCGTGCTCGTTACATATTCGTTGTACTACCACGTACGACAATACCTTGTTCAAAAGCCCCTGCACTGCTGTTTCGGCACTTCATCGCAAGTACCACAACTTGTCCAACCACTATCTATCACAAACGCATCGCATCTTTCATTCAGAGAACGATCACTGACAGTCTTCGTGGCGAGATCAAAGCAACACCTTGTAGCCTTCGAGACATTGCACACGTCATAAAGCTGCTGTGAATGAGTCGCAACGGGTGAGTGGATATCACTAATAGATCGGTAGCCTGATGTTGGACATCGGGAGACACATTGTAAACGAAGCCCAATGCACTGACGGCTTCTCTTGCAAACTGGGTTCCATTCTATGTGTGTCTGTCTGTGCATCGTGCTAATCATCGGCTACATTGCATATGGTTCTTGACGGATCTCTCATGCGAAGTCAAGACTTTCTCAACGTATCTCGATTCGGAACGCATCGGTCTCGGACTTTTCTCGAATGAATATGTAAACTAGGAGCCAACTGATACGGTCTCGTCCATGGGATGTGGCCGAACAAACCATGCCAAAGAATCATGAGGACAACTGCGTTGACATACCAACTGAGCTCTAGGCCCTGCTTATAACAACTCGTCTCAATTGTGTTGTATCGATCACCAACTGCTTGTTTCGCCTACCTATAAACCTTTATCTCCAGGTCATTTGTCACGCAAAAAGCGCGTGCAAGGCTACTCGCTGCGAAGGAATAAGCGAAGACCATGCCCGATCCATAATCGGCACAGGCACCGTCGAACGAAGGCCTGCTAGAACTGAAGCAAGCTCCTGGCAAAGTGCGGAAGTCTCTTTCTCACCAACGGCCTTGCGCATCTTCCGCAAAAAATTCTCCTGAGCAACAGCCGATAACACAGTGACAATCTTTCCAAGATGCCGATAGTCCGGTGCACCCAGTACAAGAGGATGTCGGTCGGTCACGTAGCGACACAAACGACGCAACACCGCAAAAGACTCTTCCAAATCTCCACGAAGAGGAAGCAGTTCCAACCACTGCGGGAACAAAGTCGCAGCATCAATAGCATCTGCTTGGAATTCACAGAATTTGCCCAGCGCAGCTACAGCATTGTCGGTCGCGTTGCGCTGCTCCGGACTAAAAGCAGATGGGTATGCCACAACGTTGTGAAGCAACTGTAGACACTGCTTCGCATGTGGTGCAAACAATGCCCCACCAAACGAGGCACACACACCCACGCCAAACGCTGCTGCCTGCACGAGATCAGGCTCACCCACTTCGCGCAGTGCGTTTTCCAGGACAGGCAAGAAGACGTCCAGGTGACGCATCGCGGAACCTCCACAGTGCTCCAGCACATCATCCACGACAAACAGTGCAAGTCGACGGTCTTCCACGAGGCATCCAGGTGCTGCAAGTGCTGCCACTTTCTCCCATAAGAGAGACATAAATACCGGAAAGAATCCAGCTCCATGAGTCTTGGCAAGAGTACCAATGCCCTCCGCTAGGACAAACTGAAGCTCCTGTTCCGCCAGTTGGCTTTCACTAGCTTGCAAAGCATTCTCTTCCTCCTCCTCAACATCATCATCATCAACCTCGCCACTTTCCATGTCATCGCTACCGCTTCCAACTCTGCGAATCGCACGACGCTGGAAGCTGTCGCCTAGAACCACGAGGAAACCGTGCACGAGTTCTCGCAACTGGGCATCATTCAACTCTAGAGTCGGATGCAGCTCCCGCGCACACACGAGGCAGCTCGTCATACTTTGCAAAATTATCACAACCAGCTCAACTTCGGGCTCGGAGGTCAGCGCGTTTACCAGCCGGCCGAGCGCAAAGTCCACCATTTGCTTGATAGCTACTCCGCTGTGGTCCTTGAAACCAGGTGCTGCGGTAGAAACGGCGACGCAATTGACGAGAGCAGGCATGGAGCGAATCGCTGAGGCACGGATGTCAGAGTGCACCGACTCCGTCAACAACGGGGCAAACACCTGGGTCACCTGCTCTGCGTACGGGAAAAAAGCGTCTTTCAGATCCAAGACCATACCAGCTAGTAGCTGGCAGGCCGTAGCTTTCTCCTCGAGAATCGACGTTCGGATGCTCAGGCATTTGTCGTTCACTTGCGCGAGCTGAATGTCCTCGTTGTCCGTCGAGTCCCCACTCTCATCATCATCGTCATCATCGTCATCGTCACGGGACAACGTAGAAGGATCTACTTCAAACTCAGCCTGCTGAATTGCAGCCTCAAGCAGCGTAGGCATCACGAGTGGCAAGTACGGCGCGAAATCGTGGCCGAGACAGGTGCAGCAACGAGCCCAGGCCTGCAACAAGTATGTGCGAATCAATTCATTGCCGACGATTGATGGCGTTGCCTGCATTTCTGCCATCACCTTGAGAATAGCACGAGCGTCGCGTGAGAACACCTCCTTGCCCACAGCCTGACCTATAAGGCTCAAGCACTCGAGCGTGATCCCACCGAGCGTAAATGAGCTCGGTGCGGCTGCCTGCGACTTTTGCACTACTGGTGACGTTGACGCCACTTGGACACTCTCTTGGAGACACTTCATGAGAATTTGCTGGAGAGGAGGCATGATTGCTGGATAGTACTTGGTGAAAGACGCGCCTGCCACCATGGCGACTGACGAAATGGCAGTGATGGCCTGCTCTTGGACAACGCGAGTGGCAACATAAGCTTGTGCAGGTGTTTGGATTGCACCTGCTGTCACCGCATGGCCACGCTGCAGCAAGGCAAACAACTGGTGAAGCATCTTGTCGAGGTATGGCGTGAGCAGCTCAGGTGGACACATATCGATAAACTGGCGCAAAGCAGTAGCTGCGTGAGCCTGGAGACGCGGTTTAGTAAAATCTTCGAGGTAGTGTGCTAGCACAGTAAGCGCCTGTGCATGGTAAGCCTCTTGAAATTGCGGGGCTTGATCAACAGATAGTTGACCGATGACATCAACGGCTGTGCAGCACACTCGCGGGTGTGGATCGTTGACTTGAGCCAGCAGATGCCGCACAATCGCGTCTAGATTCTCCTCGTCAAGAACGTTGAGAATCTGGCAAAGACCGACTAAGGCTGCATGACGACTCACCCAGTTGTCCGAACAAGCAGCATACGCCTGAATGAGCTTGAAACACGTAGGAAGCGAGCGTTTAGCACCTAGTGCCCCAACCAATCGCTCCAAAGCCTCTGAGCCCACGTCAAAATTGGAGATATCGTGGTCGATGCCCTGTCCACCAGCCGACTGTTCATCCTCGCAGTCCGCGACATCCCACGTATCAATGTCCTGCAGTTCCAGCATCATCTTGAACGCCACTGGGTACACCGTCTCGACAAACATATTCTTCGGTAATCGTCGACATCTCGACGGCGCTTGTTCTGCCAGCGAGACCAGAAATTCCATGGCCAATTGTCTGCATCCATCCGGCATGGCCTCACTATCGCTGTTCATCTCTCGCGGGGCATCAGCAATCTGTACCATCGTCTCGACAAACTCGAGCAAAGTCAGCTTGAAAAAAGCTGCATGCGGTTCCGCCACTTCAATCAGCATCTCCAGTGCTTCCATCACATGATCGTACTGCCTCGTAGCTAGCAACGAGTGCAAAGCAGCAAGTACAAGCGGGGCAGCAGTGACCAGCACACTCGGCATTGCCAGGTGCTCCAGTGCATCCACATGCAGCAACAACATGCCCAAAGCACGCAGCGCATTAAGCGCTACACGTCCTTGTCGATCTTTGAGACCTGCCAGGAACGTCTCGAGCACCTTCAAATTCCACTCGCGCTTCTCGTCTCTTGTCATTTGAGCTGCGAGAAACATCGCGACCATCTCCAGTACACGCAACGAAGCTTCCCGCAGCGACAGCACGGGAGACGTGCTCCATTGCAGCACCTTGACCAGCAACTCGTCCCATTGGCCGTCCTCGAGCAGGCTGTTGGCCAGCTCGCCCACCGTGTCGCACACTTTGCGTCGGATCGTGCGGTTCGTCTCACCAGCTTCGAGCACGGCCACGAGTTCGTGCTTTACCGCACGACGAGCGTCCGCCGATGCACGTGGCCAGAGCGACACGGCGTCGCGCAGCAACACGCGGCGCAAGAGCACAGCCGCGAGGGCGCGGACGTCGTCGCGGCTAGTGGAGTGAATTACATGCACGAGGCCGAGCAAGAGCTCGTCGCTGCATCCGCTCTGCTTCAAAACACGGAACTGCGCTTCCGCAGCGTTGCGCGCGGCGTTGTCGACAGCCAAGAGACGCCAGAGGAGCGCCTCCATGTCCATTGTATGACTAGTCAGAGGGAAATGAAATGACTGGCCACGAGCGATCGGAAAGTCCCTCGTCGCATGCGGGAGAGAGAGAGAGAGTGAGTAGGAAGCTGTTGTAAACAGGCCAGCATCAGGAGCTGCTGACTTGGCTACAGAGCCACTGATAGTCCAAGGTGCACAACAGCTTGCTGCAGGTTCAGATGAGTGGGGATACGACGAGAGACGTTGAAGAACCTGCAGGGACTGAAGTCTGTCGCTTTAGTAGACTTTGGACATGAACAATGGATGGATCCGTGACGCGTACTCGTCTAGAATAGGTTCAAACCCGAGGATACTTTCAGCATAACGTGAATCCCTCTGGTACTTTAGCAAACACCTCTTCAGCCTCCCAAAGACCATAGCAACTCTTCCTACGCTTATTGTACCCAGACTTTTTCAGGGCTTCAAGTAGTACACTTTGTTAACTCGCCGCTGAGGATGCCGTCCAGCCGCTTTGGAAAAGAGCACTTCGCACACCGCTCTGCAAATGTGCATCTAGACTTCTGGCGACATGAAAGCTGGATACTGAAATGGAGCAGGGTGTGCAGTATCATCCATGGGGTCCCTAGTCTTGCCTCGAGTGTGGTTTTTTGCATTGTCTGGAATACACTGTGACCGGACTTTGAAATGTGTAGGGTTTGTGCAATCCTACTGTAGCTCACTGCATGCTGATGAGCGAAATGTTATACGCCAACATATGCAATCGGTGGATGTCTAACGAGCACCATCGACGCATACACCATCCATTGCCTAGCTGTTAGGACTTGCACACGCATTATGAGAGCCGACATTTTGTTCGATCTTCAAAACCAAACAGAGGGTCCAGGCATGCTTCAATCACCTCTGTACAACTTGATCAGCTCCAAACAGCGCGTCCTTGCAAGTATGAGAAAAGCTGATCGAAAGCAGCGCCTCACATTCTTTTATATTGCAGTTCCAAGCTACGGTCATCACCACGTTTTCTTGTCATGATAGACGGCATCGGAAAATGGTGCCAGATCGCGGACGAATGCACGCGCCAGCAAAAACAGCAGTGGGACGAACACGATTTGTGCATTCACGATGCCAAACATCGAGATGGAATTCCCAATCTCCTTCCAGCTGCCTTCGTTCTTGACGAGAAAGAGAAAGTGAAGCGCGAGCACGTCCGACATGGCCACAACGAGAAGAAAGTAACGTGTCGCAGGTGAGCGGAGTTTCTGCGCATCAGATGGCCGCGGAGGTGTCGGAAGGAGCACGATCATGTGAAAAGTGCACGCCACCACCACAAACGGAATGAGGATCTTGCCTACCAAAAGCGCACCCATAAGGAAGGGTGCAAACACCGTCACAAATCGGTAGGTAGAGGAGATCTCGAAACTGCTCATACTAGCCACATTGCCCGTACCAAAGAAAGCAATCTTGATCAGCAGCAAGAACACAAAAGCACGCTGCACCTCACGCCACGTGGAAGATGAATACCGTAAGGAAGCTTGGGCCTCCAACAGCAACCAGTTCACAAGCACACAGCACAGCACCACATAGAACAACACTTCGTATGCAATACTCAGCAGAATGAACGAAGGCGCGAAAGCTAGCATCACCTCGACAAGTCGTCTGAGATACCGGACAACGTCAGCCTGGAGGAGAACCTGCTGCTTTTGACGACCGGACTCAGTACTCGCAGGTCGGGTCACATCTTTTGTTCTCCAATGTAGTCGAATTAGCAGCACCGCGATCGGAACACCAGACAAGAGCCAGTTGGCCACGGTCAGTAGAAACGGCGGCTTGCTTCGATCGCCGTCCAAATACTGCATCGTGGCGTGCAAAGTAATCAGCGAGAGTATTACAGGAGTAGCGCTTAGCGTGAAGGAACGATTCGTCCACAACTTGTATCGATCGGGCTCTGCCATGCCCAGCACCATCCCCCCGAATGACATCATCAACACGCCTCCCACATGTACCAACAGAGTATGCTCACCATACTCGCTGGGCAAAAATGGAAACACCGATATGGATAAACAGCTGACTACCCAACAACGGCTCGGCGACGGAAAGCAGCTAATCCACTCACTTTCACCATGACGATGATCCTCATCTACACTTAATGTGTTCCCGACGTAAGGCCATGCTGCAAGTAGTGCAAAGAGCACACCAAAAATCTCCCGGCGTTCATACCCAGCAACAACAAGCTCAAGACACAGCATAATCAGCGCAATCTCAGCAAATCGCTTCCAGCCCGACCATGATGCGGCACCTTTTCCATTGGAAATACACACTTCTTTCATCAAATGAACGTGATTCCACGCAAAAACACCAAAGATCAGAGGGAACGACATGTACAGATAGTACGTGGCAGGTGATCCTTCAAGGGCCAGGTACACGAAAGCTGCAATCACCAGAATGACGAGCTTGATATCCGGCTGTTTGCCAGTAACGCCAAGTAGCCACTTCAGAGTAAAGTCGCGTGGGTGGAGGTACGCGACACCTAGTACCATGATCCATCCCACGTATCCGGAAACAATAACGCTAAGCAAGAAGAACCAGTCGTATCGCTGGAAGTACTCCAAAGTCGCCAAACATATCTCAATCAGCTCCTGACTCAACACCTCCACCCGTGCAGAAGCATCACCGTCGTTTCCATTTGCACTGATACTGACGTCATAAGCATCGGCAAGCTGCTGCAAGAGCTTAGGAACATGCTCACGAAACGGACCGTACGGTACGTAGCGTAATAAAGTCTGCGATTGTTTCTCCTGTTCCTTTCGCAAAGCATGCAGATACAGCTGCTGGGCATTTGACTTGACGGCATTTGCCCGATACGCTCCCTTTGTCAAATACGAAAACGGCAGCACTCCTACCGAATTACGTGGGTACGGCAGTCCCAATAGTGCACTGATCAGCGGTGCAACATCGGCCTGCATCACGTCTTTCCTCACAAATTGAACAAGGTCGCCCCATTCATCGACTGCTGCTTGCTCTTGCTCTTCTTGTGCCTGCAATTGCGCTTGAACCTGTGCACGAGACTGTGTGGGGAGGTCAATCTCAAACTTCCTCGCATGCTGTTCCGCCTCTTGCGGTCCCTGCACTCCGGCTCCCCATACTACCAACGGCGTCCGAGTATTTGCTGGGTCGCCATCCCCATGCGCTCCTTTCGACCCCATCCCGTGGTCAGCTGTCAGAATATACGCCGTGCGTCCATCGTGGTGATAAAAGGCTTCGACCATGTCGTGCGTGTTTTCCACTAATGTATCCACAAGTGCGACATTGTCCAGATATTCCTTCGAGTGCGGTCGATAGCTGTGACCATTGGAGTCAATGCCTAAGTAGTGACAAAACACAATCACGCCAGGTTGACGCAATTTGCTCGCTAAGTGTACGTCCCCTCGTGCACGCACTAAAAGGCTCTCCAAGTGTCGGAACACCCACACGTCCAGCGCAGACGCGTCCTGCGTAGCAAAATCTTCCGCCTCCGAGGCGTAATGCTCTTCAACTGCATGGTGCACGTCCCGCGCAAACATCGGCACAATGTCCGGACTGCCAAACAAAAAAGCTGCTCGACTCTGGTTGAACACCGAGTCAAAGTCCACGGGATTGTCGGTCCAGCCCCTTGTAACGGCGCTCACGTCTTCGTACATACCGGCAAAGAGCGCCACGTGCCCTGGCCGACTCTCTGTGGGTACACGCGTATGCGACACGCCGTAACTGCCAGTTTGCTGGACAATACGGCGCAGGAACGACGACGTAGTGGTGTTAAAGAGCTTGTCTGCTCGACAACCGTCGGCTACAAACACCACGACGCGGTCGGCCGGGGGCGACGCCGTGTAAGCCACGCTCTCAATGTGTGGGACCACGGGGGACGTGAAGTAAACGTCGAAGATACTGAGCACGTAGACGGCGTGGAAGACGACGCCGAGGACGAGCAGACGAGGCAAGCCACGGCCGTCGGGGGGAGGCGGCATGAGGTGAGTGTGCGTGGACGAGATTGGCGGACGGTGGACGCGATGGCACACGAGCGAGGGATCGACGGTGGTGCTTGTCGACTGTATGTTCGTGCCGCGAGTGACTTGTTGGCTCGTGTGCTCGTCAAGGCGATCTTTACAGATAGCGAGCACAACGTTCGTGTTTGAAGCACGCGATACACTTACCAAGTGAGTGGGCTCGCGTCTCGTTGGTTTGAAGCTCGTAGAGGCCGAAGACGGATGTTTGAGATAAGCGGGAGTATCCGAGAAGACGTGGAGGTGGCGCTGCACGAGCACCGCTTTGTCGTGACCAAGCTGCTCGAGTCACTGCACACGGCGTCTCTGTATGTCCTGCGTGATGGCCTCTGCTTTTTATACCCGGTGATAGGTGCATGTCTGACAAAGTGCTTTTTATTTTTGATCCTTTTTGGGTTTACACTGTTTTTATTTGTAGCCCTCCGTCTACTATTACAGCAACAAGACTACGTACAGTGAACGGGATTTTTCACAAAGTGTTGGAAAAAGACCGCGGTCTACTGGCGGCAGTGAAAAAGTGTAAGCGGTTCAAGAACTTTTTGATGAGAATGATAGGGTGAAAATGAAGAGGACGCGTGTTGAATGACTGACTCAAGATGCTTGTAGTGGCGCGACATCAAGTGGCACAGACGGAGCTCTTGCGTGTGAATGCAGCGATTGAGGACAAGAAGCAGAAAATCGTGCGCTATGCAGTGCAGCTACGTCGCTCTCAAGAAGCCATTGCCAATGTGCTGAAAAAACATCGAGTTGTGTTGCAGAATGCCAAGCAGAAGGCAAAAGGTGTTTCATGTTGTAGATCTTCAACTGCAAGTGTAATATCATCTACTAACGCTTTTCCGCTGATGTGACCTCTTGGTGACCTAGAAATGCTGGATTCTCGCGATGTAGTAGCGTATGCGCATCGTATCGCCGGCACGACGTCGGCACCAGAAGAGTGGCAGCCCGGTGTACGTTGTTTCTTGCAGTTGTAACTTTTATTTCTTGCTGACTCCGTGTACCCATTTTTTGCTGCTATTGGTATGGAGAACAGTTTCCAATGTTTGGCTTTATGCCTCCCGCACCCCAGGAGCACATGATGCGTGCGGGTGTACTTAGTCGAGGCATTATCGCTGAGATTGTCACGCAGGGTCCAGAAAAGTACACATCCACTACAGCACGCGTAAAACAAACGGACGACGGTAGCGAAGGTATCGAGAAGCTCGATATACCGATTGGATTGGGAGCGAGCGATGCAGAGATCCGCAAGCAGATGCCTCCAGGATGGAAACCGGGTGACCCAGTGGACCTACCACTTGATGCGTTGTTGCACTACATGGGTCGGAGTTTCTTCACAGAACACGGTATTACACTACCAGAGTCATGGAAAACTGGGGATGCGCTTCCTCCGGATGCCACCGAGATTCTGCGCAAGAAGTTCAAGCTGCCGGAAAAGCGGGCGGCTCTGTACGACGACGAAGTGGTGGACGACATCGAAACGTTGCGCAAGAAGCGCAAACTAGAGGAAGTTGAAAAGGATGACGAAGATGATGCTGAGAGCGAAAGCTCGAGCAGCTCAAGCGACAGTGATGAAGAGGCCCCGAACACAATCTCGCTTAGCCTCTCGTCGTCGGACGATGAAAGTGACAGCGACTAATCTGTATCGAAAACCTGGTCACGTACTTGCAGCGCCTTGTATACTTACACCGCCCTCGTTCGGGTGACATTGCGACACTAAATCCTGTATGTCTAAAGGGTCTCAATTGAGCTTTATCGTACATCATTAGGTGATGGCAAGGTATTCACCACAACGTCCATAGTAACGGCATTCACACACGCATGCGACGGGTTCAATCACGGTCACATACCATAATCTCGACACCCAACTTCGACAATTGGCTTGACTGCAACAAGGACAAGGTATCCGATTATTTTCTACAGCCAACTTAGATGCATCTTTGTACCATTATACCCTTCAACACGCTTGCATCACAGTCGCCACCTTTGATCCACTTTGATTTAGTTACGTAGCGATCGTTTAAAGTTTGAAAATATGAAGGTCGCTTGGGATCGATCTGTCGATAGCGCATAAAGCCTGGTAACGTACTATTCGGATGAGTTTTCTGTATGCGTGAGCTGGCGCTACATTGAACCGACACAGAATCAAGCTGTGCGTTCAGGTTGATCGAGAGTATATCAGTTTCCATGATACTTCTTCAGTTGACCCCGAACATCGCGTTGTTTACCGATGTTACCTGCGCTGTGTCTGTAGTTATGGCTTCATGTGCAAGCACTGACCTATCTAAAGCAAGAAGGTATGTTCGCAAAGCCTTGCCAGCTAAGGCCACGACTACTACCATTGGTTCGTAACACGACTATCTATATTTCGGCTGATCGAATCGTCAAGCAGCAAAGAGGTTGACAGCCGCATTGTCTCGGAAGAAGAAGAATACACCATGGTCATTGCTGCTCTGTCAGGATCTTTAGATGCTATGCTTGGAATCTCGTTACCTTCGCTTCATCCTTTGATGTATTCACAACTTCTAATGTAGACTGCATGTCGATTTCAAAGATGCTTGCAACGTGCGTAAGATCTGGCATCGAATACCTCCCACATTTGAAGAAGTTAGATGAGCCTTGACTGGTTGACCATGTTTTCAACTGTAGACTGAGACAAGAAAGCCCAAGTAGTTATTGGCGATAGTCGACCGCAAAAGTTGAGTAAAGTGCTGGCTCACCGATTGTGTACGAAAGGGCCCATGAAGGCTACCAGGCAGCCGATCAGGACGATTTCCAGTGGCAGTGGCTGCATTCTGATACATCAAAGAGCTGAATTCTTACAAGCATGCGAGAAAAAGACATGGCGGCATGTACTGCATACGTACAGCAAGCTGGCAGAGAGAACAAAGCAAAACTGACAAAGCAGCAGCGTGCCCAAACCTCACGCGCATTAACGATCTCTTAGCTTTGGCACACGCCACACCCGTCCACTAGGTAACCAGCTTTCACTCAGAAGTCATCATCATCATCGTCGTCTTTGTCTTCTTCATCACTAAAGTACGTTCGTCGCTTCATCTGCACATCAATAACCCGATGGTCGAACCACGTCAAACCACAGACCTCGTACAACCTAGCCGCCTAGTTGTTCCGTACCGTCACTTTCGTGCGCTTCTTTTCCTCGGTTAACCCCACTTGGTTCAGCAGGTCAATCAGCTTGTCTTCGTCGATCTTGGCAGCCAGTTGGCCACGCTGCGCCATTTCAATCACCATCGCTTCGATCGCGCGCGCTTTCTCTGGCTTTACAATCGCTATTCGAGCTACTGCTTGCGATAGCCACAATTGGTACGTTCGATCAGTTACCGCTATCAATTCTTCAGATGAATATTACAAAAAAAACATGAGATAAACGAAAACGTCACGTACGACGTTCACGGGCGTCAGGCAGCATCACCTGCTGGATCATGGACTGGCGCACTTGCTCTTGCTCTCTATTTCAGTACAAAAAAACAAGCAGAAACTCCGATTATATAAAAAAAAACAATTTTATCCACGGGGGACACGCATTATAAATGCATAACGCACTGCTGCTTCATTTGCTGCTGCTTCATCTGCTCCATTGATAGCTGCGGTTGGGCTGCCGCATCCTGTGAAAGTGTATTAATACCGAGTGAGTTACATTACTGCATGGCATCAATAGCCACTCCAAGTCTAAGACCATGACCAGGTTAAGGCGCTAACTTACGCTCATTTTGACGCGCTTTTGACGCGCTTTTGGCTTTTGTGTAAATTTGTGACTGGATGCTACTCACGTCACTGGTCCCGTACCCCTCATTCTAGTGACTGCGTACTTACCCACATTAGTGTTTGACGAGCTACGAGACCTTCTGTTCCAGAAGCTTTTACGTTATATTCTAATATAAATAGCGTGATGCATCCGTCAACACAACATTCTCCACTCACTATCCTTCTATCTAGAGCCCAGATTTTCACTTCTTTCTGATTGCAAGGAAAAATGCAGCGGCCGCAGATGTTTCTTCCCTATATTTCGCTGACATCTATACTACGTGTATACACGGATATTTATTTCGCGACTTACCGGTCCGTGGAACGTCCCATGGATATGCCATTGTTGCACATGTGTGGAAAGCAGTCGACTCATCTCGTCCACTGTATCTATATTCTCTACTGGTTTGACATCCACACATGTCTAAACTAATGGTTCCTTCTTGTTACAGCTCCTCTGAGTCCGCTTCACAGCAATTGTGTCCATGTCACGTTGATTGAACCTTTATTGTAGCAAGAGGCTGTACAAGTGCAGCATGTGCGAACCTTTACAGGGAAACGTGCGTTTATTTATGTTAGTAGAGATGTAGTAGCGGAGAAGAGGTGGATGTGTGATACAGATAATTTGCATACATGTTGCATCCATACCGTTTCTTTGTGGTATTGCATAAGCTTTCTCGTGACAAATTGAAGGATTGCATTTGAAAGGCCTGTGCATATCAGCGATACGCTGAGATGAACAATTCGTGCAGAGAGGGGATGGTCGTCTACAAACACAGCGCAACTGCGTGCAACATTTCTGGCAAGTCCTGAGTCTGATGTACGACGGTAACCCGTAGCTAAACTATATTCTGAAACCAGTCCACCAGGTTTTCGTGTACGAGGGTGTATTATAGACTAGTCTGTGTACGCAGACGCTCAAACAGTGTTGTATCGGTAATCGCTGCAATCGACAGCTGGTGTTCCTTAGTGCATGACTGCGTTCACACATTCTTTCGTTAGCGCCACACGTCCTTGGACCACTTCTCAACGTTTAAATGCCTGTGCATAATCGAACCCGGGAAAATGATAACCGCCCTTGGTGTATTGAAAGTCTTGTCTCACATTCGACGTCTTTCCGGACGAAGCGTAATTGCCGGAAATGACACAGCCAGCACTAGGTTTATCGCAGTTGCTGCCAGGGCATCCATTTTGCCTGGTTCTTATTAATTCATTCAAGTTGGTGATGGACAGCAAGCGAGCTTCGATTAAGGTAAGGAGGTGATCAAGATGGATCGCCAGCAAATGTGGGGAATCACGACGAGAGCTGTGAAGTACCTTCAAACTTTCGTATGGAACTCAAACGATGATACAATCAGCAAATAATGTTGAGATCGCGTGGCGATCGAGTGGATGTTTCAACTTAAAACGGATCAAGGAAGGCGTCAGAAGTCCGCTCTCGATAGACAATAGGATCTGACATTTTTGACGCAAACATCAAGCGCAGACTAGAATAGGACGGTCACAAGGACGTGGTAGCAGAGCACATTACAATTGAATATCGACAGATCAATGTTTGCGGAAACATACATGGCACTCCCGTGCAGTGGCACACATTGCTGCACGACCAAATGGCGCTCGTTCCGAGCAAGACTAAAAGCATCATCAGCACCTGACCACAAGAAATACCCGTATTAAAGCCCTCATCATCGGTAAGTATCTCTATCGAAGTTATGCCTGAAATGGGTTGCTGATCAAATATCGATATATTTGATCAGCAACACATCCCAGGCATAACTTCATCCTATTATAGGTATAATGAGGCGAGAAGATGCGATTGATGGAGAGGAGTCCCGGATAGGATCACATTGGTCTCAATCAGCTAGAGACCTCAATTATTACAATTTACAGGGTTGAAGGACTCATCTGTGAAAACCATAGGCTCAGTAGCAGCTTTACATACGATTGAATAGTAATGAAGCATTGTCCAGATGTGAAGTTGGAAACTGTTAACAGCGAAACGACATTGTCCAGATGTAAAGCTGGAAACTGTTAACAGCGAAACGAAACAACACGTGCAAATCAATAGCAAAAAAGAAGGAAATTCAAACTGAGTCTATCTGCATAGCATCCATAATCTTGACATACTGTCTGCAGTCTCAATAGAATGTAACACATATGAAAGCGTACCTGCTTGTACCCACACAACCAACCAGACTCACTTGCGCCGAGGCACTAACAATAGATGTTCATTGACATGGGCATCGGCCAATTCCTGCTCCCCATCCGAAACTCGTTTGAATTATGCATGGGCATTGGCCAATTAATTGGCCAATTCATGCTCCTCCTCAAAAAACTTGGTACAAATTCGCAAGCGCACACTTCTCTTTCGCATCCCTCGATGTAGCGGTTTCAAAGATGTCATCGCCCACCTTTACGTGTCGCCCATGCCATGTTGTGAACAGTGCTTCCAACGTAATGGCCACATCGTCGTCGTCGTGCTAGACAATGTGAGAGCAAAAATCAATGCCGTTACCGTATGCCCCTTCAATAGCATCGAAGATGTTCCACACCGTCCCTTCTTTCATGCGTAAGTACTTTGTCAGAACCTGGACTCTTAGACCGCCTAGAGCATCGTGTCTATCCTTTTCAATAGTAAGCAGCACAATCGTGTCTTCAGCTGATTCACCGTTACGCCTCCATTTCCCCATAAGCTCACGTTCCGTTTCTACCAAGTATCCGCTCGGTGAATCACCATTTATAGCCTTCTTCTATGCGAGCGCCACATCTCTGTATCTAGATTTTATCGTATACATCTCAAACACAGAGAACTTTCGGCTGACCGTGTTGTACGAGTCAAAAAAATCCATGGCAATTTTAACTTTGGAATTGTTAGGTAGTCAGCGCTGTCGTACAATTTCAGCCGCTGGAAGAAATCGTTTGGGTTCAAGCTTTTATCTTTTTAACATTCCCATCTCGATGTTAAATGCCGCTTCAGTTTTGATGCCGTCTTATCCTCTGGGGAGACGATCCATACATGTGATATTAGATCCACCAAATTATCCTTGCAGTTTAAGGCTGTAACCAAGGCCGGAAACATACCTCTACACCCGATATTAGCGATTTGTTGTATGCCACAATTTACTTGGTCAAAGTCTCCACTCGTTCTTTACAATTGACCGCGACTTTACTTCCATGTAGGCCAATGATCGAGGCGACGTCGATTGGTGCTTCGTTACTATCTATTCAATTCTTCACGAGCTGCGTTGTCAATGTTGCCAAGCTTTTGCTCACAAATATTTTACAACTCCTTGAGCGCCGTGATGGGGAACCGGCACCGTGGCAACTTTCGACACAGTTACATGTCCGAGCAGCTCAAACTGGTGAACCACATCGCGACCACCTACACGTCGATGTCCCTCCACTATCACCAGCAGTTTCAACGGATTTCATGCTACTTATGTTACTCGCCTTACCATTCCAATGCAAAATGCGTGGCCCGCCCAGGACCTTTTTTTCACAAAGATCACCGCTAATTCATTAATTTGGACCGTGCTGCCGACCGGGTCAGCGGGTTGATCTTTCAGCACCTCTATGCGCACGGGCGCTTACAGCATGTCATTGGCCTGGTGGCGACACTAACTGCAAATACGGCTAGGCTGAGGGTAGACGGGCGCTAGTCCCCGCTTTCAGCGAAGGTTTCTTAGGCAACCTTGCGTACCAGCCATACGAAGGCCACCTCTGCCTCTTCACCCAGTGGCCAGCAAGCGGCAAGCGGCAATGGCTCGTTCCGCCGTTCTTTCAACCGATAGTTGGTCTGGTCCTAAAATCAACAAGAAAAAACGCGGCTCGAGCCCGAATGCAGCATCCATCATTCAATCGTCTGGCCCTCCAGCTCGACCGTATGAACGCCTTAAGGTGCAGTTAGACCAAGGGGCCGGACATCCTACCTCTTAGTTGGCGACTTCCTCCGCCGAGAAGACCTCGAAGAAACCAATTTAGGGTGAGAAGAACTTACCCATACCGAAAACGGTGAAGGGGCATACGACTGGACGGTCGCCCGCGCCTGCCTAAGCATTGAAGCCTACTCGCTTATCGCAGGCGGCTCAGCGTCGCGCAAAGGCGGCTCACGAATTAGACGAACTGCTAGAAGGTGACAGCAAGGTTGCAGCGGCGGAAGCGACCACGGATACAGGTGGTGTGGACTCTGATTCCATCATCTTCTTAGTCGCGACGGAGCTGGCACTTGCTCGAGTGCAGGTGGAGGGTGCACAACGGCAGGTTGATATGCTGCCCACCAATGCAGACGAGGAGCAGCGCATTGCCAAATCGAAAAAAGGTTGCTACTTTGTGGTTCATGCTTGTGCGCTGGAACTGGCTATTGCCGTAGAAGCTTCTACGGGCAATGAGGCGCCTGCTTTCGATTACGAGGATGACCTTTTGCCTACTTTGGAATACGAATACCGTGCGGCCGGAGCGGCAGCCTCCCGAAAAACTGATGAAGTTATGAAAGCCACGATTACACTGAATGTATAACAACGCCGCTTTGCGAAGATCACTTTAAATGATCAGCCCGCGATCGAGGTTGAACTCCTCCAAACTGATTTACCATCACTCGAGCGGCCAGCTGATTAGCCGAAAAAATTAGGGAGCGCAGCCGCTTAACAGTCTGACGCCTCTCGACGTCTTTTTTCCGTCGCAGAAAAATCCATGCTAGCTTGATAACCAAGGCAACTTATGGAGCGCTGCCTTCTAAGGCCGCACCACACGTGCCGTTACCATCGGACATGCCTCCGACGTGTCCTCTTGCGCCCGACATGGTAATCCGCAGAATCTCGACGTGACTATGGCGGCGAATTTAGCTTCTCTCGGCCACAACATGCGTATCAGTGATCTCGGTAGAGGTCCAGTAACGCCCCCAACATGTGCCGCCAGTGTTCCCAGACCAGCAGATCTGGCTAAGGCAATAGCAGATGAGTTTATCAAGAAGTCTGGATTATGGAGTACCAAGGCCTAAGCAACCGTGCTACGGAGGCTTTAGCACAGATTGGTCATAAGGAAACTCTGACACCTGTAGCGGTACAGTCTTTACTGGACCACATGCGCGCTCACGAGGCACATGCTTAGACCTTCCGCGCCACCCGAGTCCGCAAAGTTCCAGATACCATGTCAATGGCGGTAGCAGATATAGCGGCGCCGGAGAGCACGAAACAAATATCTGCATACACAACCTCAATTCGACAATAGGTGAGCCAGCGTAAAGCGGTGGATGCAATTCCCTCTACACTGTCTGTTGGTTTTAATAGCCAAGCATCATGGATTAGTTCCTGCGCGCTGGAACTGGCAGTGCTCGTCCGCGCTTTGCTTTTCCCGATTCCATATCTCGCCTTCATGACCAAGTAGACTCTCCTAGCCTTTGGATCTTCCAATTATAGCGAATCTCAGATTGCTGTGATCCGACAACACGCCAACCACACAGATGGGAAAATCGAGAGCTATTTACGGAGTGGGATGCGGTAGCAGACGTTCTGACGAGTAAATCTCGCTGAAACACGACTGACTCCATCCTGCACTGGCAAAGTCCACGCGTCGATGAAAGGTATGTCGTATCTGCGAGATCATAGAGGCAAGCCCTACCAGTTGAAAGGTGTTGCAATTGCGACAGATGAGAACTACCTGGGCAACACAATGTCTTGGAGCACGGTGCAACGTGGGGCTGTACGATTCTCAACCACGATCGATGCGGCTACCCAATCGATGGCGAAACGAAGACACTTTGGATCTTTCTGTCTCCTCCTTCTCTGCAACTTCCCTTTTGCTAGTGTATCGGGAATTGAGCCAGGGGCCTTTATTGTGCACTCACCGAAGATCCATCGTTATCATGACTGGCTACTAATTCGCGACATTACATCATTATCCCACTTCGACACGAGCATGTATTACGGGGCAGTTCCCGTCTCATCGATGTTGGCGTGCGATAGCGCTGCCTTCTTAAACAGTGGATCTGTTGTCCACTTTTGCGCACATCCCATCCTCACGCAGTCGTGCAGCATTGGGCTGGCCCACGACGATGGCTTTTCTAACGCAAACAGAACAAGCATATCATTTCCCGGCGTCTGCGTCATGAAGGCAACCGAGTGCGCGACAGGCGGGTCACGAAGTCAAAATTTTGATTTTTATAATTGGTAGCTCTGATCGAGTAAAGAGACCTCTGGCGGAGAAGGTCGACCTTTCCAAACGGTGCATAGACGCTGTATAGACTTAAAAGCAACAGTCCTTCACTCTGGAATTTGGCGGCTCAAGACCTGTCGTAGTCCGTACCTGAGCGTTTATTCACCTTTCCTATAATGGCAAGTCATGTCTTCTGGAACTGAACAAGTGCCAAACGGCATTAGCATCATCTACTGTATCGGTAGCGAAGTCTCGGCAGCCAAAAGGAGGATGACCTCCAAGTCTGGGTATTTGGAACGGACTTGCTGTGTCGAGCGCGGCATGAAACGCTATTAAGAATTTCTCCGCCCGGACGACGATCTGTCGGGTGCGAATGATGCGGTATTTACAGCATCTTGCTAGATTTTGCGTATAGCCATTTCTACAACGCTACATGCCATCCGGATCGAGCGTCTCCTCCGCATGGAGGACTCAACTCTGCCACAGGATGTACACACCACCAGGGCGCATACTCAATTCTGCTGATCGGTCACTCGTTTTCGCGGGTCCACGATCCATCCAGATGTGGTAGCGGATGGCCTACTACTATCACGGGTGTGGTCGGCCCTAGCTTAATCTTTCCTATGCTACGATGGCCCTCACTTGTTGCGAGCAATGCCGAATAACAGCGACTTGGGCGTTCTTTACCTATTGTTCTTCGACGGTGTATCGCGTAAAAACGCCGTACCGGGTTGGGCTGGATCTGTCATCGTCAATTTTCACGTTCCTACGCACGCCGTTTTCATCATGTGGGTGGCGAGAATGTTCTACAGCTCTACTAATGCTACCAACAATGTTGCGGAATACCGGGGGATAGTCACCGATCTCCTCCAAGCGAAAGCTGGCGGATACTCACCTTTGCATGTCGTTGGAGACAGTGCTCTCGTGCTACCCCAACTTCCTACCATCCCCCCCTTCTCAAGTTACAACTGAAATTTCCATTTCGGGAAGCACGGGCTTCAGCAGACGATATTGACGTCGCCAGCTCGGGCCATCACTATCGCAGCTACAAAAAGATGGCGAATCGACTGGCCAGTCTCGCTGTGGAAGTATGTGCCTCCATTCAAGTGCACGCTACCTTGGGGCACCGTGTCTTATTAGAGGCCGCGGCCTTCCTCAACAATGATGTTAATCGCTGGCTGGAGGTTTCCCTAGCCGATCCTACCGAACTAAAGAGCCGCGCGACACATGCGAGGGATCTAATATTCTCGAGACAACAGCTTGCGCAGCGCCGTTCGCCCTTCCAAAGACTAGTTCCACTCTAGCGTATTAAGTTAGATGTCTATACGGTGCTATTGCTGCCTGTAGACAGGATATAGCGGGTCGTTCGCGTTCCTAAAAATACCTCATTGTCTCTTCATCATCTTTGTTTACAAAAGTTTTGTTCCTAGCCTATTACAATACCTGCACCACAGCTTCTTCGCTGTAGCAATCTGTGAAAATCCCAAGCAAAGAGACTTTCTGCCTGTTTTGCCTGAATTGAACTTGTCGTTACCCTTAATCGCTGTTCGTATCTGTATTTATTAATATCCGCACACAAACGCACTCACAATAACTTGTTGGTGTTAAGGTAGTTGACCTGAAAGCTTTAGGTGTCATCGTCTTGCCAATGTAACGCTACGCCTGGTCGCAGAATTGTGTTTGTGCGCCTTGTCTTGAGTCTTATTTTTAGATTTTCGCATCGTCACTCTGTCCTCCGTTCCCCCTCACCATTCTTCAACTTCTCGATTTTTCAAACCTTGTATGTGCTTTTTATCGCGTCATCCTTTAAAGTTCGTCCGTAGCGCGGTAGATGCTACCTGGTTAAACCGATTAAAGCGCACAGCTTGTCAAGTCTGTCTCTTGCCAATGGCTTGTCATTATGTCCGATGGCTTTTCATCAGTCTTGACCTTCCACGAATCCAAATGTTTCTTGTCACTAGGTCTCGAACGTCATGCCAGCGAATTTTGTTATGCCTTTTTCTGCGGCTGTAGGTCGGATTTGTTGCCATGACAAAAGCGGCTTTATTTTCAATTCCCATTCTTACCTTATTTTCATGTTAGGACAATTAAAGACCGGGTGTCGATTTCAAGAATACCTTTTCCCCAGTGGCTCGAATTGCCACCTTCCGAATGTTTATAGCGGTATGCGTTATTCGAGACATGACGGCATACCAGGGTGACATAAGCACTGCCTGACTGAATACCAACTTAGGCATCAAGCAATACCTGAAAGGGGTTGAAGGCAATCTATGTAAAGAAAAATGGATAATATACATCATCGACAGGCGTTGTACAGATTCCGTCAGTCTGGAAGGGGGGGGGGTAACATTTGGAGGTGAATAGCTGGTTCCTTAATTTTGGTTTTACAGCAGTGTCATACTAAGCAGTGCCTTAACCGCTATGACCGTGATGATGTATATGCGGTCATTCTCCTATGAGTGGATGACATTTTGTGCGCGACCATTAATGAGGAATATAAGCGAATACAATCCAAGACGCTCAATGCAACCTACGGATTGAGGGATCAAGGTCTGCTTAACACGTATTTGTGTGTGCAGATTGAGCAAACGAGTGAAGCTATCGAGATCCACCAGACGAAGTGTTGTTAAAAGATCATTGGGCGTTTCAAATTCAACAACGCCCACTAGAGCAAAAATTCAATGGAAACGAACATGCGCCTGACTGTAAAAAAAATACAGATATGGATTGGCGAAAAAAAAATCCTGCTAATGGCAAGGCATTTACTTATAGCGAACTCATCGGATGCCTCATGTACTTGACCCCATGTACAAGACCAGATCTAGACTTTTCTGTTGGACAGCTAAGCCGCTATGTCCGAAAGCCAACGCAGCAGCATTAAGAAGCTGCGAAACGATTACTCGGGTACTTAGTTGGAATGAAGCATTATGGAATTAGGTGCTCGTGAGGCCAGGCGGCAGAACAAGAACAAAGCCTAACGGTGGATGGCTATTGTGACTCTGATTGGAGTAACGACCCCGATACGTGCAAATAGATCACGGGGTTTGTTCACTGCCTTGCCGGATGAGAAATCTCGTGGGCACTTAGACAGTCAGACGATTGTTGCACAATCAAATGCAGAGGCGGAATGTGTACCTGCCAGCGAAGCATGAATGGAGGGCCAAGGACTTCGAATCGTCCTCGTTAAGTATGTCCTGTAAGATGAATCCACCAAAGCACAAACAGACGTGTCGGATGACGAACAAGAAGACCTTTTGGTCCAAGTCGCAGGAAGTATAACTCCATAAATTTTAGACCATGCCTCAGAAAATGATGACTATAGACACAGTGAAGAACACGGTGTAATAAGGGAATGAATCTTCAGACAGTACACTACTTATCTCACCATACGATAAGGATTCTGGAAGCAATCACAAAGATTTTGCCTAATAATACAAGAAAAATGCCGACATAGAGAGCAACGACGAAGGCGAAGTAACGGAACATAACATGACAGCGGCTAGAGAACTCAGCATCTCAAATTAGCAATACGATCCTGATGGTGAAGGTGCCCAATCAGTGAGTCACATCACTAATTTGGTCACGATTTATGACAAAGACTATATATAATTTAAACGAAAACAAACGGTGATATTTGTTCGATCCAAATGATGAACGTGAGTCTTGATTCGGCTGTAACGATCTTCTCTCGAAGTAGCTCAGGCGTGAACCCCATTATGTTGGAGCTATATAAGACTTAACGGCGAACCTCATCATAGCACGGAAGTGAAGGCAGACTGCGCAGCATGTGGTCCACCATCTGTTAATCATCAATGGGGAGCTTACTTCCGCAAGCTGGTTTTTGATAACAAAACGATTGTCCGAATGACTTTGCACCTTCCCCTCCTGCGTAGGTGAGTCCTTAGTAGATCTCCTTGATGGCGATACTTCTGCGCGGTCATAATAGAATCTGCTTTGCCTTCATACATTGAGACGAGTTCAGACCACATCTCAGTGTCTGTCGCTTTCATCATCACTTACTTTAAGAGCTTCATCGAAAGCGGTCCTTGTATCAAGATCTTAATCCTGGCTTTTTTTAAATTTCCTCTTCTTTTCATAATCCAATATATTCATTAACGTATCCTTGCCGATAGCGATCTGATCCAATCTACTCTCCTCAAAAGCATTGATCACGGCATGCTTGTACAACGTCCAGTCATCTTTGTTACAGTAAACTGGAGTTCCCGATGAACCAATTCCTAAAATTTATCCTTGCCTGTATCAATGTCAGAGTCGGACAATAATGACATTTGTTCCTAGTGTTAAGGTGAATGTTGGACTGAAAGCTTCATATATCATTGCCTTGCCGATCTAACACTGCGCCTGGTTGCAGCATTCTTTCTGTGCGCCTCGTCTCGAGTCTTTTTTCAAAATATTCGCATCGTCGCGCAGTCGTCCTTCGTCCCTCACCATGCTTTAAATTAATCATGGGTCAATTCTTGTATGCGGATTTCAACAGTATGCTCGTCGGTCTTTCTCCCTGCTATTCATTTTCAGCAGATTCAAGACTTGTTCTGGTGTCAACCCATTATCTTTTCTAATCTCTAATAGACGCTCCTCCAACGCGACCGCATTCTCATCATGGCTACGTTAGTCTGGTGCGCAGCCCAAAATCGGTACCAATTGCTCCTCACTGCCCAAATCTGACACCTATGCACTAACTATTTCATCGAAATCGGGTCGCCTACCGTTGTCGCAAGCCTGGAAGTAGTCCTCCAAGATCTCCACTTTTTCACTAAAATCAACTTCTCCTGATTCTTCGCGTATACCTAAAGATGTGATAAAGCCACCAAATGTTGCGTCAATTTTGGACTACCTCTCCATGAGCTGCGCACTTAGTTTCTTCGCATTGTCGTTCAAGGAGTACCACTTTCTTTCCTTCATTAACGACAACGCCACAACACGGTACTAATGACGTAATGTAGACAGCAGAACAAATTCTCTGCCTGTAATTGCAGCGGTACACATGTACATGAACTTGATGGCTGCTCGTAGCACGGAGAACGTCGGCTGTATTCTAATATCTTCCATCCTCAAAAACCTCGCTACTTTGCTTGACGTCAACCTTTTGTCCTTCCAAAACGTAAGTAGACGCTATTCCCGGTACCCATTCGCCATCAAAGGGATTCTTCTAGCATACGGCCCAAAAACGTCGGTACTTCTTCACCTAATTTTTCGGAAGAACTAACACAAATCGTCAGGAGCGGAATGCCTTTCATTGTACGCCTCGATGAGTTGTTCAAGACCTCCATGGTTTCGCTCCTAAGACTTTTCCTTATCGTAAGCTTCGATAAAAAAAATCAAATGAGTAATCGTCGTCCAGCCAACGTTGTCGCTGCTGCTCTAACAGCTCCGTGGCGAAAACTTATGTACTATTATCACGGATGCAGCGCCTGATTAAGTCCTATTGCCACGATGTCGTCTGCCCTCCGTTTTACATCTGCAGCGAGAAAAGAATTTGTCGCACTGGGACCCCCCTTTTTAAGGCTGCATGTATAACTGAATCATACTCTCTATTTGTTAAGACTATTCAAAGATTTTTGCAGACCCCCTGTTGTCGTTTCCTTCCGATTTTTCTTCTTCCAGCTAGCGAAGACTCAATTTGCAATTTGTAGAGACTCGGTGAATTCGATACGTTTTTTTCTTGAAAATGCCTACTTTCCCCACCCAGAAACCCAGGATTCTCTCATCGTCATCGTCCTCAGACTCGTCGGCACTTTCCAAGCGCTTCGAGCTTCGAGCGTTTTGCTGGCTTTCGATGACTCATTCACTCTTTACCACATAACTGCCTTTAACCATACTTGAGCCAGTTGAACCTTCAGCAGACGCCGGAAGCGCTGTGGCAGCCAAGGGCTGGAGCAAGTAGACAGCCTTAGTAAAACTAAGGGCCTGTTTAAACCTGTCAAGAAGCGAATAAATCGGAGAGCAAAAGACCTAATCAAATCAAAATCTTCTCTGGACCTAGCGTACATTGCGGGAACACTGGCTGTAACGGACTGTCGGAGCGCATCGTATGGTGCTCTGAATAAATGCATCACCTTACAATGTATTCAGTTTAAGTAGCTTGTACTGTGACAGTACAAGCTACTAAGACTGGATACATTGTAAGGTGATGCCTCGAGACTTTACGTACACGCGTTGAGCAGAGGAAAGTTTTAACACAAGAAAAGGGAGAAGTATAACTGTGTTTAATTAGTTAATGTCCTGTCAATAAGTCCTGTTTAGTCTTCTTTTTAACTTCATCTGAATAAAAACCTGTATTGTAACAATCTACTCATCACTCATTCTGTTCTTCTGTCGTGGCTCGGATTCATTGGTTGATGTCGTTTATTTATGTCAACCAATGAGCAGTGTATTAATTCTGCACCACAACATTACTTACTAAGCCAGCTATGTGAGAATATTCTGTTGGTCCTAACAAATTATTCGTATTTGTTATTTACCTTGTGTAAACTATTATGGGGCAGAGGCACCCCGTTACGTCAGCCTACTTGACGATCATCCACGTAAGTGACTGATTGATGGATGGGTGACTCCTATGAGTAACTATAAGAAAGTGGAGCACTTTTTACTCAATTCCAACAACTGCTTTGCTTCTCCGCATGGTTAACATTCCATGTAGTGTGCAGCCAAAGCTTCTAGAAACGGAGCGATTAAACTAAGTTTTTTTCCGGCGGATCAGGTAAAAGCCGTGAACGCAGCAGGCGAAAACTTGCCTACTGCTTCTTCTGGTGCAGGCTCACGCGGTGACGCACTGCTTGGCCTCGAAGATCACGACCTCAAGCAGATATACTCTGGCGAATCGGATGGCGACACCGAGTCGACGAAGGCTACCACGAAGACAGAGCCAAGCGCAGCAATGACAGAGTCCATGAAGTCGGTCAAGCAAAGAGCCATGAGCCTCGCTGAGCATCGTGACGTCTTCAAATCTTTCGATTCTTCGGACGCTTCTTCCTCAAGGATGATTCGTTTACTAAAGAGCAATCAAGGCGGTGGCAAAAGCTAGTCGAACTATGATGACGGTGACGTATTTCTGCGTCACCATCAAAAAGACTATGCTTGATGTAGTGTCGATACTTTTATTGACACCACACAGGATCCAGAGATCGCGACGTGCTGCGCGTTGATTCAGAGAAGGAGGAGTAGTTGCCTACATAACGATTGTATAATCTATTGTTCAACACGGTAATACATCGTTAGCGAGTAAGGCTTTCAAATTTATCAAGACTTTATGGCTTTAACTCTGGTTCGATTACTTTAGCATTGAGCATAAACTCTAAATTAATGTATTCTTCAAACATCGATGGTAAAGCAGGAACAATAACAATTATGGTGAATCGCTGATCCAGGCATGAAACGCATTCATCCACAACGTTGGGGAGACCGGGCGCGATGCCTGGCTTGAAAAGATGATTTTCTTTCTCTTGAAAAATTTAAGAAGCGGACTCCTAGCTGTGCGCGCTACACAATTTTTCGCCTATCAAGTGACACCGGATTATCATGCCTCTCCTGGGGTGATGCGTGTTAACGTTGTGTGAATAACTTGACGAGAGCTCCCAAAAGAAGCTTACTTCAATGACCGATTCTTAGTTGAGGGCTAATGTCTCTTCCAAGATGTAAGAGGGACTAGCCAATTTGCAATCACTCTACAAACGCGCTGGGCGTTTGTTCTCCGATGGACCTTCTTCGGTATGGATGTGCTTTTCCCTGCTGCTCGACAAGACCCGGCAAGTCCACCATCAGTTGCAAGCGAGGTTCCCAACTGTCCGCCGAGGTGGGATAGCTACGCCACCGGACGAGGTAACTCGTCCGACTTCTTGTCACATCACGTTGTTTCAACAATCGTTCCACGAGGAAGCTTTGATCACCGAGAATAACAACAATGAATGGGCAGGAGGAGGGGACAATTCCTCCAATAGACTCGCGGGGCCAATATGATGCTGTGAGTCAGCTCGACCGCGTCACGATTGAGTTTCGCGAGGACCTCATATACGAGAGAGGCAGTCATCTGGATTTAATTGGTAATGTGATCCGTTTGAGGTCATATCGGAAAATTGACATGGCAGAGTAAGCCTATTCCCACTGGAGAATGAGCGGGAACAGCTTTCTCTCTGCGAAGAGCCGATGGAAGCTCGTCAGACTATCTTTCAGCTCACGGAAGATATCCAAGCTTATGACGCAGGCTGAGAGTCAGCATCGTGAGCACAATTATCTTTTGAAGATGCTTCAGCACAAGGGATTTTTTAACAGAAGAATCTCCGTACTCATAGCACGGTCTAAGGTCATCGACGCAGAATGTAGGATGCGTGCGCATCCTACGTGGCATTTTATTTTTATATGCGTTGCCTAGGCGGCGCATCACACGAAATGAACCGGTGAATTTGATTCGTAACTTGTTGCTTCTCACTTTACTCACTATGTGTCAAGGAAGGTTTGCTGTAGACAGTAGGACTAAGTCGCCCTTATTGAGCTAAAAATCATTGGCCTTTCCATACTTGTCAGCTGTTCGTTTCTGTCGATTTACCGCCTCTGCGATAGAGTCTTGTCCGAAGCGGACAACCTCTTTGTGAGCCAGTATGAATTCATCTAGTGACTCGCTGTCTTTTATTGCAGTGCTCTTAAAACTCACTACGGAAAGATCACCTAAACCTTTGTGATTTTGGATGCACTAGGAATAATGCTGATTGGATCATTTTCGTTGCCAGTAAGAGCATTTTCGTTCCTACTTTCGTCTTCTTCACCAAGTCCAATGTGATCGACATCAGCGTTGAACGTAGTGACCGCACTGTCAGCACGTGGCAAGTGACAGCTGGACTGACGGTCGCTCGAATGCTTACCTCCCCTCTTAAACAAGAGTTACACTCTAAAAATGTGGGAAGACGCGGATGGAGTAAGCCAATTACACAAAGAACGGCGTGTGCATCGCCGACGCATCGACTAAATAGACAATGTCGAACTACACTATCGACAAGAATTTGCTCCAATTCGTAAAGTAATGGACGGAGAATTGAAGTATCTTCTCGAGTACACGATCGGCCCGCTAGGTCTAACCATCTTTTTCAGAAGGGTCAGACGTGGACAACTGTAAGCGCGTTTTGATCTTTTTGAACACCAGAATGCAAGAACTAAGCTGTGAACCACGTATCCCGATCAGGCGTGAGTTCGAGAGGCAACCTATGACGGCGAAAGACCGTGTTGGTAAAGACACGGGAATAAGCCGATGCGTGAATTAATTTGGATAATGCTTCGAGATGAAACAACTTGCTAAAACTGTTAGCAAGTGTTAGAATATTAGCATTCTTGTGAGAGGATGCGGGGTATTCGTAGACAAAGTCCATTGAGATGATCCCCAGCACTCGGCCGGGACGAGCAGAGGCTGTAACGAGGCTCGAAAGGAAGGTATAGATTTCACTCGCTGACAGACCTCACAGTCCTGAACGCACTTGCGCACGAAATGATACTGGAGGGTCCAATGAGTCGCGTCTTGCTGTCAGACATATTCATCCCGACCACGATGTCCAACAACAGGCATATCGTAGTACTCAACAATGGTACGATACGCAGGTCACAATGATCGGGTAAGATGACACGGAGTGTGTCGCCGGCAACAGCAAATACTCGTGTAAGCCGTTGCGAACTGTTTAACTATCCGTAGAGGATCGATATACTGACGACAATTGTTTGAGTCTCTTTACAAATGGGTGCGAGAGATGATGCACCAATCGCGCCAATACCGGATGATTTGCCTTGCTTATTTCTTCCAAAAAACTTGACGGCGGGATAATCGTAGTCATCACCGCGACAGTGGTCGGACCATTGATGGGTGGCGCAGCTGGCTTGGAATTGGGCCGGGGAGAGAGTGCTTCAGTGACGACGTTAACTCGTCCTGGTGTACTTGATGAATAAGTTATTAACCGCGAAGAAGGATAGCCATCTCGTAATTCATTGCTAGAGACGTGGACTGATTACGGCTGTGCGAAATGACGCATGGTTTTACAGACTACAAACAGTCTATCTCCAAGGATATGGACGTGAAACTTCACCAGTGCGTACTTCATGACAGAAAGTTCATTGTAGCGCACTGAATAATTACGCTCATCTGCTTTCCGCTGACGCAACTGATAGCAGACGATGCGCTCCGCGCCTTCTGCATCATACTGCATTAACGCGCAGCAGATTGCGAGATCGCTGGGGTTACAAACTACGTGTAATTTTCTATCCTGCTCTGCTATCACCAAGATGAGCGATTTCATCAATCCATACTTGATATCTTATAGGAACGTTGACAATCAGCATTCTTTGACCATTTCTTGCTATTTTTTGTAAAATACGAGCGAGATATACCGCTATCTTGGTGTTGTTGCGCGAGTACTTGTGTAATTAGCCGCTATACCAAGGACCTTTCTTGGTAGCTTGACATCGACGGACACAGGCTAGTCGGTAATCGCTTAAATCATTTCTGGATCAGAGCGTACGCCGTGTTTACCCACGATGCACCCAAGAAGCAGTATTTAGCTAGCAGCAAAAATGCAATTTTTGAGGTTGAAATACAGCTCAGCTTCCGCATAAGCGTAAGATTATGACGTTCGTGTGTTCTGTGAACCTCTACGCCCGTACTTTCATCCACATCCGGGCTATGGACGAATACATCGTCAAAGTAACTCGATGCGACGTCTCACACCGATCTCAAAAGATTTCTTGCACATCTGTTGAACATCACAGGGGCGTTACCTAGCCCCTGTGGCATCACTAGCCACTCTCACAGCAAATCTCAGGGAGTGATCACTGCTGTGTACAGGATATCCCGTTTTTGCATGAGGAACTGATAAAACACATTTATCAGATCCATGGACGAAACAATGGTACTTCTTGACATACCACGTTTGATTACGTCCTTCATCGGTCTCGGCGTCTGAGCCGGTGACATCACAGTATTTAACTTGTTGGAAACTTGTACTATCCGCCATCCTCTGTGGACTATCGCACACAGGAGGTCGGAATGCTATTAAGGGATGTTGAGTTCCTCACCTGGCTCGCTGAAAGAATCGGCGAAGAACTACTTGTTCACGAGGCAGTGGCCACTGCTTCATGACAAAAACCTTATAGAACTAATAAAGGAAGATAATGTGTCGAGTAATTTCGTCCTTAGACAACTCGCATGGCACGGATTCAGGAAAGGCGTCATTAAATTTGATCAAATCCTTGCATCAAATTCTGCCTGTAGAGACTCCCAATATTGAGACGTGTATCGCTCGATTTGATTCTTCTCACCGAGAATAATTTTGTCCATCGATGAGATGCTGAGAACCCATTCGTTCTCGGAAAATACCACTGCCGAACGAATTTCGGTCACGTACTCGTCCTTTGTGACAAGCACACAGATCTTTTTGACTTTGCCGCTACGCAGATCTCGAAAGAATAGTTTCGTTTCTAGCGTTAAAAATTGTGTGCTTTACGAAGTCAGATTCAAATGCGCGACTAGATCGAGTGTATAAGCGTGCACATCTAACCCGTCATTAACCAAGACATTCGATGTCTCGGTTTCTTCCTAGGTACCCTTTTTCACAGGCTGCTTGGGACTTATCCCGTCAAATTGATGAGGTCTTGATACTTTATCAATAAATGCTTGATGAATTTTTTTTTCTCAAGTACGTGAGGACAAAAATCCTTAAAGTCTTCTAGCTGTGGTAGCGCCACCACTGACAGTTCCTCTACGATCGACTCTACAGCCGACTTAGAATCACCGTGTTTCCCTATGTGGCCAACCAATTTTTTTTCCTGAGATGAATCCTCTAAGGCATACACCCATAGGCCAATCCGCTCGACTTGCTTAGGTGGTGGACCTTCGGTGCTGCCTGTGCATCCGCACAGCCGCCGGCAGCTACCTCCATAGTGTGATTGGTTGTCACAGTGATCTTGTGCAGTGATACTAACGGCCGTACGCAATTGAGTCCATAGTACTCACTCGCAGTACATCCGTGTGCTTGTGGATGCTCCAAAGCTTTCATCAGATGGCCATATGATGAACAAGTGGTAGATATCTTTACAGCTCGATGCTGCCAGCTGACTCTTGAATCGCACTTCTGAACCAAGGCAAACCTAGGATGACATCAAATTTGTCATCCATATCAAGTACGATGAAATCATCATCGTACTGCAAATATTCTAGCGTGTAGGGTTTCATCAGTGTTATCGATACTTCTGTTTCTAGACACACCATCATCCTCGTCGGAGGGGTATCACGCTAAACACAATTGAGTCTACGATCCTCTAGCCACTGGTGACAAACAAATTTAATTGAAGCCTACCAGTTTACGAGGGGACTAAGTGCAAACCTTATGTCACTTTAAACTTCAAGGTGATGAGATACACCTCATCACCAAGTGCATAGACACACAGTGATTGTGAGTCTGGAGCAACTTTCATCAAGTTATTTTCCAATTTATCTTAAGGTTGCTGCATAAGGATGGCCTTCCGCCTCTACTGACCTCGACCGTTTTGTGACAGTCCGCCAAGCCTGTGCTATTTTGAACCAGCATCATATTCGCGTCCGTTGTCCTTTTTGGCAAATGGTCGAACAGTTCGCTTAGTGTTTGAGACATTGGGCATAGGGCGCTACACTTGTAATTGTATTGTTGCAAGTTCTGACAGCGATTGCACTTCTGCAATGGATTGCTAACTGAAGAGCTAGGTTTATTGCTCTCAACATAACAGAGGCTCATAAGTTCTGAGCCTCCGACTTCTTGTCGTCTTGAGGGACGATATGAACCCGAACTAGCATAAACTTGTCTCAGCCTATAATCTTACTGCTCCGCAACTGATATCGCTTCTTCTAGCGTATCCAGTTCCAAGCGGAACAAATAAATCTTGACGTAGCCATCCACAAGACCCTGCATGAACACAGTGATGAATGTGTGCATTTAAACCGGGCGATCATGATACAACTCGCAAGGAGTCGTATGTGTCGGGCGTGAGTTTGCATATTACGCTTACCCTGTTTGAGTTTCAGGATCTCTGGTCGAGCCCTGAACTCAGTCCTTGTCTATTCAAACGTTTGTTTGAGCCGAGTCTTGAAGACCTCAAACGATCCAAACACATGTCTGTCGTGCAGATGGATCCCTAATGCCCAGGTTTTGGTACGTCCAGCCAGGTTCGACTGATCGGATTCAAGTCGCATTTGCTCGTCGACGATGTGACAAGCCCTTATGGATTCGTCCAAATCGATGAGCCATCTCAGCAGGAAGTCTTCCTCGACTCCTCTGTACTTTATGATGTCTAGCTTTAAAGTTTTGGGTCGAAGTGAGTGTGTCGCCCCGGTCACAGCAGCATGCGCCTGCTGTTGTCTCATCAGTTTGAATTGTTGAGCACCCTGTCCTCTTAACAGCTCTGCCTGTTGAGAACCTTGCTGATGAATAAAGGTTACTTTCTCCCGTGACTCGTCAAGCATATGTTGTATGAACTTGGTAACGGCGACATACTGCCTATCTCTGTCCAGTGCGCACAGCATGGCAGAGACGGCATGTTCGCCCACATTAAAACCCATTTGTTCAATCTCACTCCATTCGATGTCATTCCAATAGGAGTGGCTTTCACGCGTGACGTGAAGGCTGTCACTATCATCATTTTACATGTCCTTGTTGGATGTAGGGGTTGCGGTCCTTGGACGGACTACAAAGTGCCATTAGGTGTAACGGGGCACTGTTTACTGGTAGTGCTTCAGTACTAGTGCACCTACACTGACAACAATGTAGGTAGTGCAGCGAGTCACGTCACGTACAACGTACTTGCAGAGGAAGGCTAGCTAGTGAAACACGCGTTCTATAGGAGTAGAAAGTAAAACTTGAATAAACTGAATTAAGTCTTGATTGCTTGTACCTATGTTTAGACCTAGCTTCATTGCATATACCTACAAAAGTGTATGCTAAAGTCTTGCTACCACTCATTGCGCGCGTCCATCGTTGAAAGAACCGCTAGAGTTGGGCTGATATGATGGCCCATATCAGCCAAACGATGAGTGCTTTTAAAAATTGCACCTTACGGTAATATCCTGATAACAAGTATTAAGGTTAATTTCATGTAACAAGCTCACCCCGTTACAGGGCTCGCAAGAATACTTCAAAGAAAAATGACATTCTTAACTTAACCAATCAAAAGGCGTAAATTGTATAAATTCCGGCAACACATAGATGTGGTGGCTGGCTCACGAAAACCCGGTTGGTAGTTCACGTTTTCCTTAACCCAACTCCCTAATCATAGTAGCGAAACGTAACTCTGTCCCATCATCTCCACCTGCCCAGTCCAGCCCTCAATACCTTTCAAGCTTATCCGGATCCATTTAAATGAAAACAATTGTCATCACCATTAAAGTATTCACTTAACTGATCCCACTCCAGCTCAAGGCACTTGTCGTGCACCGCCTCATCCGAATTGCACGCACTTGAAAGTCCCATTTCAACAGATGCAAGTCCCAAATGGCAGCAGCACCACCATCACCACCAGCAGCGGGACGAAACGGGGCCGTCACGGCGCCTCCGCTCGTCCTCCAAGTGCTGCTGCAGCCGTGGAAATGCTCGTGGACAGTACAGCGGAGGCCGTAAAGATGCGGTTCTTGCAGTTCCTTTGTGGCTACGGACAGCCGCTCGATGCATCGACTGAGGCCTTGGACGAGTCCTCGAGTGGTCAACTGAAGTACCGCCAACAGGCCCAAGTGATGCGCAGCACCGAGACGTCGTCGCTCTTTGTGGACTTTTCCCACGTGCTCGAGGTGGACGCGGACTTGGCGCACGCTCTGCAGGCGCATTACTATCGCTGGGAGCCGTACTTGCGCCGCAGTGTGTTTGAGTTCATTCGCCTCGAAGATGCCGCGTACACGGTGAACGACGACGCACGGAAGACGCAGCGCGAGTTTTTCGTCAACTTTTACAATTTTCCACACGTCTCCCAGTACGAAAAAGACGATGATTTCGTTCATATATATATTTATATATAGATGTAATTTTTATATATTATAGATACATAATTAGGGATGGATAGGCATGGATACATCATTTCCATTGTTTTGTTGTAGAAATGGTGGGGTATGATGAGGCCGTACATATCTTGACGTGTGTTTTGTGCTTGTTTTTGTGGTGTAGTATCCGGGATTTACGGACGAAATGCATTGGCGAGCTGTTGTCGTTTTCAGGAACTGTGACACGGACGACAGAAGTGCGGCCCGAGTTGCTATTTGGAGCGTTTACGTGTGGGGATTGTGGTGGGGATACCACTGGAGTTGAACAGCAGTTTCGATACAGTGAACCGGTTAAGTGCCAGAACCCGTACTGTGTCAACACGTTTTCGTGGGAACTAAATACGGAAAAGTCCGTGTTTGTGGACTGGCAACGTGTCAAGGTGCAGGAAAACAGTGATGAGATTCCGGCGGGTAGTATGCCACGATCGATTGACGTGATTTTGAGGCACGAGAATGTCGAGCAAGCCAAGGCTGGAGACCGTGTTGTGTTTACGGGGACGCTGATTGTGGTGCCGGACGTGTCCAAGTTTGCTCGAGCGGGCGGGGAGACTGCAGTGGCGACTCGCAATAGTGGTCAGCAGTCCCGCCGTGGTGGAGAGAACAGCACTCAGGGAATGCAGGGGGAAGGCGTTCGTGGCCTCAAGGCTCTTGGTGTAAGAGAGCTCACGTACAAGACGTGTTTTCTTGCTTGTAGTGTGCAGACGATGGAGCAGCGCTTCAATAGTATCTCCATTCGTAGCGAGTTCAACGAAGATGGCGCAGAAGGAGACAATGCTGGTGAGGCAACACTGCAAGAATTTAGCGACGAAGAACTATCGACAATTCGAACAATGCAACAAGACCCAGACCGGTACCTGAAGATGGCAAAGTCGATTTGCCCGTCTGTGTATGGCCACGATGAGATACGCCGAGGTATCCTGCTCATGCTCTTCGGTGGCGTGCACAAGAAGACGATGGAGGGAATCAAGTTGCGTGGCGATATTAATATCTGTATCGTTGGAGATCCGTCCACAGCAAAGTCGCAGTTTCTCAAGTATATCGTCAGTTTCTTGCCCCGTGCGATCTACGCGTCAGGAAAAGTGAGTTCAGCTGCAGGTCTCACGGCTTCTGTCACGCGAGATGCAGATAGTGGAGACTACTGCGTCGAGGCTGGTGCTCTAATGCTGGCGGATAACGGTATTTGCTGCATCGACGAGTTTGATAAAATGGATCCGATGGATCAAGTCGCGATTCATGAAGCGATGGAGCAGCAGACTATCACCATTACAAAAGCTGGTATCCAAGCCACGTTGAATGCACGAACGAGTATCTTGGCAGCTGCAAACCCGTACAATGGTCGATATGACAAGACGAAAACGCTGAAGTACAATGTGAATATTTCAGCGCCTATTATGTCGCGCTTCGACCTGTTTTTCGTCATTGTAGACGACGGCGACGAAGTCACCGACCAAAAAATTGCCGAGCATATTGTCAATATCCACATGCCAAATCATTTGCAAGTCGAGGCAACCGAACATGGCGCGTACACGGAAGAAGATCTCAAGCGCTACATCAAATTTGCACGCACGCTGAACCCAGTGATCACGCCTGAGGCGAAGCGGATGATGGTGGCGTGCTACCGAAGCTTGCGCGAGAACGATGTCGTGAGTAACGGGCAAACTAACATTGCTTACCGGATCACTGTACGCCAGTTAGAATCGATGATTCGGCTGTCCGAAGGTTTGGCAAGACTTGACCTCAGCGAGACTGTGCTAGTTACACACGTACAAGAAGCGTACCGGTTGTTGAACAAGTCGATTATCCATGTGGACACGCAAAATGTCGAGCTGGAGATGCCGGTTCCCATGGCAGCCGATAATGACGACGATCGAGGTGATCACGACGAAGCTGGAGGTAGCAGCAACGGTGGAGCTGGGGACGATGACGATGGGACTAATGACGGCAGCGGTGGAGGCGACCAGAGCTTTACTGGTGCACCTTCGGTTGCAGGGAGTGTATCAACGTTTGAGAATGGTACGCCATTGAAGCCGATGCAAGCCTCCGTTACGGCCTCGTCGCTCTCGTTTGAACGCTTTGCCAGGATTCAGAAGGCCATCGGTCGGTTTATTCGGGAAAAAGAAGGAGAAGGAACAAGCGTCAAGCTTGCGCGCGATGCGATCCGTGCACAGACTGCAGCAAATTCAGGAAATATGCAGCCGGAGGATGAGGAGGAGGACTATGACGAGGAAGCATTTGGCGTATTGCAAGGTGAACTCGTGACGTGGTACCTGTCATCGCAAGATATTACGTCGGAGGCGCAGCTTTCGCGCGAGAAGCAGATGATCTGCTCGGTTATTGACCGACTGTTGCAGGACAAGTTCTTGGCGGTTGTGGACATGGAGGAAGACGACGATGAAGGGGATGATGACGACGAAACGATGCTGTCAAGCCAAGATCAAGACAATGTGGATCGTGGAAAGACGGCGAAGAAGGGCAAACGGACGAAGAAGCTGTCTCCTGAAGAGGAAGATGCGAAGAAGCAGCAACGGTATTTAACAGTGCATCCCAATTATGCCTTTGAGTAAAGCAGCACGGAGTAGAGCGGGCAAAAGTCGCAGCAGTGCAAGTTGAAGTCAAATTTGGCGTTCGTGCCTTTGGATCAGAGCTAGGATAGTGCACACATGCTACGAGGATGGAAACCCCTTTGCGAGAAGCAGAAAGGAACGAGTAACAAACCAGACAATTTCCCTACCACTCGAAGCTTGACTAGGCCATCGTGCTCTATCGTCAGGGGGGTGTGATAACTGACACGAGCGACATGAGTCAAGAAGTAGCTCCAGCGCAAGTTCCACGACAACTGTAGACGGGGTGTGTGGATCCACAGACAAGTTTGCAAAGGTCCCCTTCAAATCGTCCGTCATGTCGGCCTCGGATCGTCTGTTCACTCGAACAGGCTTCGATTGTCCCGACCAGGTTTGATACAGTGCTGGGATACGTGACACGCAAGCACTTCAACATGGTGGTTGAATGTGTTTTACGCGTCTGGTCCTCAACTTTTCACACGTCATGCGTGACCTGCTCAAAGCAGCAGCGAGCTCTTCACGTCGCAAGAAACGAACTATGATCACCTTCTTCGCCACGACAAAGAGCTGCGATCGAGAAGAAGAACCACAGCAGCAGAAGAAAATGCCGCGACTTCGTCTCGACGAGTTGCAGATGTCTCCTCGGTGCATTTAATCGGAAGAAGTGGGCTGTCAGTGAGGAAAGAGGGCGCATCTGGTGCCCTCTCTCGACGTGGAGAGATCGCTGCATTGACAGTTACCATGACGCGACGTGCACGGGTGGAAGTGACAGAAATCATGGTGAGAATTAATGATTAAAGCTCTTCGAACGTTCCTCTCTCTCTCTCTCTCTTTCGCTGACGACATTGCGAGCGACGCTGGACATGGAAGCACGCCTATAGAAGCGGTGACTACTGGCAACTAACTCTCTCTCTCTCTCTCTCTTTAATCTTCATCTCTTGTACAACTGACGGCCCTCTCAACAGACACTTTGATACTATGGAATACTGGTACACGAAAGGAAGACTGGTCGAGTCGCCCCTCTTGGAATGAGCACAAGGTGGCGAATAAAATAGTAAAAAGAACCCCCGACGGCCTCCCCCCTCCTCCATCTCTCCTTCGGTGTTCCCGCTCTATCTCTACTCGTGCACAATCATACACCGCGAGAGCGGTGCATTCGCGACACTCGTGAAGAACTCGACTGTCTGGTTCCCAGCCGTTACCATGACTCTTCCCGATGGAGTCTTGCCGAGCTCGTACTTACTGAGCTTCATCGGCGTCGGCACCGTCGGAATCGTCGTCATGTCGGCACTTGCCATGCCCATGTTGTAGTCATCGAGCTCATCGAGTTCATCGGCATAGAACGGACCTTCCTGGGACGACGACGACGCGGTCGACGCGCCTGAAGGGTAGTACTTTGTCTGCTGCGACTGATACTGATGATGTTGCTGCTGGTGCTGCTGGTTGTAGTACGTGGTGGGGCTGGAAGGGGACGGGTAGTACTCGACGTAGCTCCGGTGCTGATACGACGTCGAGGTCGTCGTGGCCTTGACTGGGGAGGAGTAGTTCTCGTAGGCACTGCTGTACTTGGACGTTGTATACTGCGACGACGTCGAGCTCGTACTGTGCTGCGGTTGGTACGACGGACTGCTATGATGAGGTCGACCGTATCGGGCGTGCATGGCGAATTGCTGGAAAATGCTTTTTTTTCCTAGGGTTTTGTCGTTTTTTGTGACCGGAGAGGAGCTCTTGGGCCCTGGAAAGCGTTTTCAGGAATGACCGACGGACTTGTCCGCTGAAAAATTATGCGCCCCTTTTTTTTGCGGGGGATAAGGAGGGAGGGAGTGCTTAGGGTTCGCGTGGTTAAGTTTTATGCACATTGTCAACGAAAGATAAGGCGGGAAAGGGCAGACGGCGCGGCTCTGTTCGCTGATGCGTCCGGCCCTCTTTAATTTGATGGTAAAGGGGACGACGGCCACAGAAGAAAAAAAAAGCCAGTGGCGAACCAGAGCAGCGGGAAGCGTTGCGCACGCTTAGAATAGATGACCAACTGCCGTCGGTCACGACTTGGCTTTTGTATGCTTGCTACGAGTGGGCGAGCCCCCTTCTCCCCCCCCACCACCTCGACAAGTGTAACGGCTGATCCCATACTTCGAACAAATCACTCGATGCGTGCACCACCCGCTCTGTCGTCGACCCATCGCAGCTGCTACAAAGCGCAAAGTCGCACTACTGCGACGATGACGATGCAGAGCGAGTGGCGCGTCATTCGAGCTGCTGTGAAACGGTCTGTCTAGCTGTCTGTCTGTCTGTCCTCGACACGCTTCAAGTGGTGATAAACCGCCACCCCCAACAGCCCTTTACACTCGTGTATTGTTGTTGTTGTTACTGCTTTGCAGCTGTTTTCTTGCTACTTCTTCTTCTTCTTCTTCTGCTGACAGCTTTTTCCTAATTCGAAACCGCTTGCGGATGATGGCGAAGGATGCGGCACGTTTATGAAACGTGAACCCGAAGAAGGGGGCCGCCTGTCTGATAGCGGGCTGAACTCCTTCTTCTTCTTCTTATCGCCTTGTCTACCGTCAGTAGTACATCGGACGATACTTTAACACTGATGATTGAACCAGCTCCGCCCAGCCACAAACGGTAAAGACATTTTGTGGGAGACGAGCAGCGTGAATCAAAGCGCGTGCCTGAAATTTCGACCGGAAGTAATTCGGTGCAGACCAATCAGCGCTCGAGCGTCCCCGGCCGTCTGTCATCGAAGGGGGATGGGCGAAACCATACCATCGCCATCTTAGTGGGCGTGTCACGCCTTGACAAAGAAAGGACTGGACTTGACTGACTCCCATTGGAAACGACCCGCGAGTCGATAGCCGCGCGCGTCCAAGACGACGACAAGAACGACAAGAACGACGACGTCCACGGCAGCGGCGAGCCAAGTGTTTCGCTTGAGCGACCTCTTTAATTCGATCGGAACGTCGCAATCGCTCGACCAGATCGAACGAGAAAATCCGCGCGCCTGTCGGTGGAGAGACATGTGCGCGCCAACTTCAACGTGTGTGCAGCTGTCGTCCGTTCGTTTAAATCATCAGTCAGGCGTTCGGCAGCTCAGCAATGCGGAGGCGACCCATCGAGTGTTGAAGTGCGGACGATCGAGGAGCAACGTCGCTTTTTGCTGGCGGGAGAGAGGGGGCGGAAGGAACGAAGGGAGGCAGCACAGGGTGAGTGTGAGTCCAGGTCGTGACAGTAGCAACTTGCGCGGTTTGAATCGAGAGTAGGTTCGAGCTGGACATTCGTCGGGTGGCAACAGTATGAAGTATCTGCAATCAGTGGTCACCATGGGGCACGTTTTGGCAAGTCTGAACGTCCTTGTAGTACGTCGATCGCACTGCAAGAGAATGAAGCCAATAATGTAAAGATCAGCAGCACACGTTAGGCAAATACACTCTGGCTCTTCATTCAGTCAAGTCCTCCGTGTCTTTCCTCCTCCGTCATGCATGAGCTGCCTGCTCGCCTCACCCTGCTGTGACTACCAGCTCCAGTATCAGCTTTTTTTAGTGTGCATCTTGGCTCCACTGGATCGTGTTGGGATCAATGCCCTCCTGCACCATCTCCCAAAGCGGACTCATCTCGCGTAGACGCGTCACGTGCTTCACGCACAAATCCACGGCATAGTCAATCTCGTCTTCGGTCGTAAAGCGGCCAATGCCAAAGCGAATCGACGTGTGGGCCAAGTCCTCGCCCACGCCAATAGCACGCAACACATACGATGGCTCGAGTGACGCACTCGTGCATGCACTTCCCGAAGAGACGGCAATGTTCTTAAGGGCCATGAGCAAACTCTCGCCTTCCACGTACGCAAACGACAAGTTGAGGTTGCCCGGATATCGCTGTTCCAAGTCGCCATTAAGCACCACGTGCTCAATGCGGTCCGTAATACCATGGTAGAGCTTGTCGGACAAGTACTTGACCCATCGATGGTCATTCTCCATCTCCTGAGCCGCAACTTCACAGGCTTTTCCAAACCCGACCACGAGTGGAGTTGCGAGCGTACCACTGCGTAACCCTCTTTCCTGGCCACCGCCTGAAATGATCGGCTCCAGACGAACACGCGGTCGACGTCGGACGTACATAGCGCCAACACCCTTTGGACCGTAAATCTTGTGCCCTGACATGGACATGACGTCGATGTTCATGGCGTTCACATCCATTGGCAACTTGCCCAACATCTGCGCCGCGTCCGTGTGGAAAAACACTTTCCGGTCGCGACAAATTTGCCCAATCTCCTTGAGTGGCTGCAATACGCCAATCTCATTGTGCACGGCAATAACCGACACAATGGCCGTATCCGGACGAATCGCAGCCTGGAGCTGCTCGAGGTCCACGAGTCCGTTCGTACCTACTGGTAAGTACGTCACCTCAAACCCCTCGGTCTCTAATACACGACACGAATCCAACACGCACTTGTGCTCAATCTGAGTCGTGATAATGTGCTTCTTCTTGGCTTTCGTAAAGTGGGCAGCACCTTTCAAGATAGCATTGTTGCTCTCTGTTGCCCCCGACGTAAAGATGATCTCTTTTGCGTCCGCATTGATCAAGTTTGCAACGCTCTCTCGAGCCTTTTCCACAGCTTTATCGGCGTCCCAGCCAAACTCGTGCGTCGTCGAGTGGGGGTTCCCGAAAGCGTACGTCATGTACGGCAGCATGGCGTCCAATACACGTGGATCCACCGGGGACGTGGCTTGCGCATCCAGGTACGCAGGAACCGCACCTAGAACAGGCGCATGTTCGCCCCGAGCAGCAAAACCGGGTGAAAAGATCTTGTCCGACCCAATGTTCTGCAAGATGCTGGCCGGCACTTCGTTTACCGGCGTGTAGCGCTTGTCAGTGGCAAACGCACGACTTGTGATGGAGATTGGAAAACCACGTGGGCGGAAACTAGCGGCGATGCGCTGTGAAGGGCGTAAGAACTGCTGCATCAGGAGTTGTGGAGGCGATTATGTAGGTGTTTGTTTCGTTGGCTAGTAGGTGATGTGAGCTATTCGGGACGGAGGCGCTATTATTCTCAATGGAGGGAGGAGGAGGGTCGGGGAGAACGTTGTGTATACCGATGCTGCCACTCAGTCGAGGGAGCTCTGTATAGCAGCAGTCTGTATACACCATGAAAGCTAATATTTATGATCCGTGCCACGTGATTGGCTTCGTTTGGAATAGGCTTCGCAGGAATATGATGGTGCCGTTGATGCACAGGTCGATCGATAGTGCCGTTGATGCACAGGTCGATCGATAGTGCCGTTTAAAGACAATGGACATGTTTCTGTCCGCGGTCGGCATTGGATTGAATCGACGAGAGCTTGTGGACAGAAATAGACTGCAGAAAAAGGGCATGTTTACTACGCAATGGTCGATAAGGTCAGTGGAAACGCAATCTGCCGTTTCGAATTGGAGACGTTACGTGCGCTCGATGTCATCGAAGATGTCTGGATTTTTCTCGAACGAACGTTTCACGAAGATTCTGCGCATATTCCTTTGTTGTATTCTGCGCCAGGAGGAGGAGTTTTATGGTCATCTGTTTACATGTTTCATACGTGTAAGATGCCTGAAAAACCCCGAGCCATAATTCACGAGCGCCGATTTCGGCAGCACACCGTGGCTGACTCCAGCGTAAGGCGGGTGTCCAAAGGGCTCTTGAGTCAATGATTCAAGGCATGGAGTCGGGCACTATGTGCAGCAGTAGCCCGGCACGATGTTTGCGTATTGCAATGGTCTTCAGCTGGCAAATTCTACGCTTACAGTACGTAGCTGGCGCTCATCGATGGAGAAGTCAAGTCGGGACCCGTCTGCAAACTGCCGCGCCACGCGTGCTCCTCAAATGGTCTTGACAGACGGCATAGACCGAACTAAATGCGTTCAAATTATGTTGTGGCGGCGTCGACATTGTCGCACCACAGATATTTATCGAGTCTGATACTCTTTTCTATAGCATTCAACCACTCTTATTGCGTTGGTGTGGAAGACGTGTTGCAGGCGTTTTGCTATTGTGACTGCACTATCAGTCGTGACACCAACCTGACGGATAGACTGGAAATGAAAGACTGACATCCATGGATATTGTCTGTAGTTGCTTGCTCTGCACCTCAACCTCTTTCAACGATACTGTTCATATCGCCTTACTGTGACTGCTGCTGTAATCTCTACGCTCGGGCATGCTGTACAAAACTGGGCTCGACAAGCGTTTATGATATTTTGCGTGCCGTGGATGCAGCAACAGCTGCAGATTAACACGGTGGCATTTAAGTTGTATGTAAAAGTACATCTGTTTGACCGACCATTGCCAGCTTCCCATATAGTCTAGGTGGTTAGGATGGCTGGCTTTCACCCAGCAGACCCGGGTTCGAGTCCCGGTGTAGGAACATTTTAGCTCGCTTTGAATACCACTCTCCTTTTAGTTATGCCGGTACGTAAACTGATAGACCTGCCGAAATCAGATGCCTTCGTGAATAAGGGCGCGCATGCATTGAGGTCACGACGCAGTTCTCGTCAAAAGCAACCGACGGAAATTTATTCATGAAACTTTGACCCTCCTGACTCGCTCGTTAGCATTGTAATTGCCCAAGTAGGAGATACTGCCGCGTTTGCTTATACTATTCACGTGTGGTACACATGGAGTCAAGACGACTTAGTCGATCTGTTCTGTGGTCTGGCAAACATTGAGCGAAGGTAAGGTGCGGTGCGTGCTACGGATTGTTGTTTCTCGTCGAATATGGTCAAAACGCTTTGATCATTTCTATCCTGTGGTGATGATCAATGTACAATCGCTCCAGCGGTCGATAAAACACGGAACACAACGCGCGTGTTCAAGAAACTGTTAAGCATCCGAATTTATGCACATTAGGATACGTCGTGCTTTTGGTACGTGGTGACGCGCCTTCGTTGCAGCTAGCATAGATCTTGATGTGCTCCGTGCTGTTTATAATTCGATCCCACGTTTTACATATAATCCACTGACACACCTCAGATATGAAAAGTGGTCCTGTGTCATATTAGTCAGCACAACACCAAGGCAAAGCGGACTTGGCTTTGGCGACGTCACAGATTGATAGTCAACATCTCAAGAGCATGTTTGAATGCGAAAGGGTGTCCAGCCACAAGAAGTAGCAACGAAAACAAACGACTTGGAATTCGCGGTATCTTCTAGTACCCCAGCAAGACACTTGGAAAAAGCATACGGGTTGTTGATCGTCACAGCACACACGCCGCGGAGATGCTCGCTCGCCTCTTGACAAGTATAGTGGTGGGATGCAAGATTTCTTTTCGTGGTGAAAAATCCAAGGTTGTATCAAACCTTCCTGACAAAACTTGCCAAGACGTACAGCAGGTGCTAGACCCTTGCATTTGACACCTTACGACACAGAAGCCACCACTTGCCCCTGAGCGACGGACATGGTGGAAACAGACGTACAGACGTCATAAATCTAAGACTTACTAATTCGTGCCCTGGGGGCATGTTCAGTCTGGGCTACACAATGCGGAGGAATTGTGGAAAACGGTACTCCAGCATCACTCGTTCGTACCCTACGGCGGCACGATGTATGAGCTCATCCCTTTTCGTGTACGGATGCATTGATTACGTCTCACATTTCGTTCACGCCGACTTGACTAGAGCTATAAGCCATCTGCCTCGAAACAGCGCAATCGAATACGTTTTGATACTTCGTCGCTGCTAGTCGGACTCGCCAACAATTTGTTCGAAGGAGAAACGATCTTGACTGCTTTGTAGGTAGTGGTGGTAGCAGCGACACTGTCGTTTAAGTTTGCGACGATGACAAGAACGTACCATCCACGTGGCGGTAGCATCATCACAATAAGCAATAAATAACACGTCATGTCAAAGCATCGTCCGCAATTGTGTCAAACCGACGCGCTCTTTGTCCATTAACGCTATGAATCTCAAAGAGCCAACAAGTGACCACCAAGTAAAAACAGGTGAACTCGATGATACACTTGCAACGATTCGAATGCTCTTCGAGCAAGCACTACGATCAAACGAGATCTCTTTCTTCCAATGTATTTGATCAGGCACATGCCTCCAACAATAGGTGTCGCAACTAACGCACTAATCGATCCGTACACGGGTGACGGTCGCCAATTCAATATATTGGTAGCGACATATCGATGGTGAATCCGGAAGGGTTTGCAAACGGAAACAGCGTTCATGTCGCTTGCCATTTGTAGCAGCTACCAGCTGATGCAATTGATCCAATGAAGCTGAACCACTTGTTTACATATCTGTAAATAGAGTACTAAAGTAGCAGCTCCCCGACGTCGAAATAATTGCTGGCGCTGCTTCCTGGTTAGAGAATTTGGTACAATGCAGGAATTTTTTCGACCCGTAAAAATGAGCTTTGCTCTCTTGACTACAAATAACCCAACATTTGTTATAATAAAATGCCATTCGTGCTTGAAATGCCCAAAAGTCTACGCAGGACAGAATACACTTGTCGTGAAGTCGCTCGTATAATGTTGCGCCGGATACGTACCGTATACTTTCATCGAATAATCCCCCACCAGACGCTTCAGTTCACATGCATGTTCGCAGTGTCAACATCTCATGTAAATTAACCTGTCGTCTCACAAGGGGCTACTATTCCAGTGCAAATTCGCGATTTCGTATGCATTATGACAGGACCGACTATACACACTATACACAAAGCAGCCCGCGCTTCCCGCCCACCCACCCACGGCCCAGCCAGTCAGTCGTCAGTCCCTTCCACGATCAGCCCGCGACGCGCAGCCAAGCGTAAACGGGCGAGCACACGTCCCGTGTCCCATTACCAGTTAGGCAGTCAGTCGTGCACAGACCACGAAGAGACGTCGCGGTCGCCGTGAAAAAACTAACGAGAAACGGAGAAAGCACGGAAGCCATCAATCACCCGGCGCGTGTATACAAGTCGTCTTAAAGGTACTTAATAGCACTCTCAATTGCGATGGATGGAGGGTAACGATTGACCGAGCGAACGGACGGATGGCACAAAAAAGAGGGACTTGGAACGGAGCGGGAGAGAGAGGGAGAGACAAAGTGTACCACTTTACAACTTGAAGCGCTGTCCGTCGAACCCATTCTTCCCCTAAACCTCCTGACATACATCCCTCCGTGTCACCCCCTCCCCTCTTTCTCTCTCTGCCGTCAAGTCTGTTTGTATGTTGTCGCAGGAAGCGGTTTCCACTTGACTTGACTATTGACCATTTGATGTTTGTATGGCGATGGTGCTGTAGCTACGTCTCGCGTGACAACATCCCACCGTGGCCAGTGCTTGTGTGTGTGTGTGTATTTCTTTCAATTGACAGACGATGGAGTTCGCCCCTGCTCGTGGATTGGCTACTTCTACTACAGCTGCTGCTGCTGCTACTTCAGCAACTTTGGACGGAGCGGATGCGCTCTCGTACACGGACGAGACAGACGAGACAGACGAGCAGGGCACTCAAGACGGGGGACCGCTGCCAGCGCGTCGCTTGCGGTCGAAATCGTCTGCGCCCCACTCCGGTCTCAGCTTTGAGTCGTCGAATCTCTTTCGCTTTGACAGCGCCAGCGACTTTTTCGCCCCTGTGAAGTACAGCGAAGGCGAGTTGACGGCTGCATCGTCTCCAACGGAAAGTGGCGACGAGAGCTTTAGCAAAGACGCGGGTCTGCTGCTCAGTTCGAATAGCGCGTCGGGCGTTGCGACTCCTTCAGCTGACGTTACTTCAGCTCCTACTCGTGCGACTTCAGATGCTCAAGACCCTGGACTGTCGGTGTCATTAGTGGACCAGAAAAGTAGCACGAAGGACGACAACGACGCGGACGTGGGTATTCAAGATACAGACCAGTCGAGAAACGGGACACGGACAATGGACGGCCGAGTGCGCAAAGTGCGCTCGGAAATGGACATGCTGCCGCTCCCGGCTCTCGGTCGTCGGAAAAACAGCATTGAGATGTTCCTCTCGCAGTCGCCCAGTCAAGCGCTGGGTGGCGACTTTTTGAAGTTGAGTCTGAGTGACCGGCAGAGAAGTGAAGAAGCCAATGAACGAGCAGCTAACGGGGAAAGTGGCGACGCGCACAGTCGACCAGATGCGGCGTCGGGGGTCAATCCTTATGCATCGGGTCAATTTCAGCTCAATCCGGTGCAAAAGATGCCAAATGGGTACACTACAACGGGTGGTCGGTATCGCCACGGCCAGTTGCTGCCACCTGCGGCGTCGCAGCCACAGGAGCGCTATCGATCCAGTAGTCGCAGTGCGCCACCGACTTCGCTTTCGCTTTCGCGATCGAATACGGTGCCGGGGACCACGAGTAGCACTGCTGGTGTGGCCTACAGCTCGGCGTACGCGTTGAGTTCGCAATTACCGTCGGAAGACTCCTGGTCAGGCAGCCAACAAGAGGACAGCAATGCCCCGTACCAAGAACAGATGCCAGAATATTACGACAATGACCAAATGGCGGCTTCGTATGAGCAGCAGCAATTTTGTCAGCAGCAGCAGCAACAGCAGCAACAACAACAGTACCGATCACTACAGGCAGTCAACGTTGCGTACAACTATGGTGGTACTCCGTCTCGGGCACAAATGAATCCAGCTCAATGGAACCCGATGGTTGTGGGACCGCATCCTCCGCCTTCCGGTATGTATGACACCAGTGGGAACATGTACGTGATCCCGCGCTCGAGTTCTACGAGACACCCTTACGCTCAGATGGGATATGGCTCTCAAAAGCAGAGTCCAATGGGGATGCGCGGCGGAACCAGCCGTGCACAAGGACGTAGCATGTATGGACGTATAACGCCACCGCTTCCTGATTCTTCCCCTCCCCATTCACCTCGCAAGGGTATGGTCATGGGAGGAGGCATGCAGTTGGGAATGAAGCAGTGCAAGTTTTTTATGCAAGGATATTGTCGGATGGGCAGTAAGTGTAAGTTTGTGCATCAAAGTGGTGCTTCGACTCCGGAGCACATGGGTGGTGTTCACAACTTGAATCGTCAAAATGGGCCGATGATGTATCAACAAAGCCGAATGATGATGATGTCACCTCCTCCGTCTCACATGATGCAGCAGCAGCAGCGCCATCCAATAAACGGTGACGATTTTGGTAATCAAGTGAATGTTCCGTTTGGAGCGCGCCAGCAGTCTCGTTTGAGTTACCGTTCGGAAAATGCCGCGGCTAGTAGTATGAGTTTAGGACTGATGGACGACATTGTGATGAGTGCGCCGATAATGAGCGGATCGGCTACCGACTTGTCGAGCTTAAGTGCTGCTTTGAGTGTAGAAGACATTCAAAACCGCGTGTTTGCTATGTCAAAGGATCAAAACGGCTGTCGGCTACTACAGGAGCAACTTGACTATGAAGACCGTTCCGACTTGTGCGAGGTGATTTACCAGGAGTCGCTTGAGCACCTCGCTGAGATGATGGTCGACCCTTTTGGCAATTACCTTTTTCAGAAGCTGCTGGAGCGTGTGAACGAGAAGCAACGGCTTGTGATTATTCGCCGCGTCGGCTCAAATCTTGTGGCTGCTGCTCTTAACCTGCACGGCACGAGATCTGTGCAGAAGGTCGTGGAAGTGTGTGCGATTTCGTCGGACGTGATTGAAGAAAAGTGTGATGATGGAGATGATGATGTTGACTTGAACGATGGTGAGGGCCGTCGAGAGGTTAGTGAGCACCGTCGAGCGACAAGTCTATCGGATGTTATTGTTGAGGCGCTGAAGGACGATGCTGTACGTCTATGCATTGATTCAAATGGCAACCATGTGATCCAGCGTGCTTTGCAGTATTTGAAGCCGGAGTACAATCAGTTTGTGTTCGATGCTGTATGTAAGGAATGCACGACGGTTGGAACACACCGTCATGGATGCTGCGTCCTGCAACGTTGTTTGGATGCAGCCAACAAAGCGCAAAAGGCGGAAGTGATTGAGCAGGTGGAACGACAGGCGATGAAGTTGATGCAGGATCCGTATGGCAACTACGTAGTACAGTACGTGCTTGACTCCTGTACGGCTGAAGAGGCTTTTGGGGTCATAACGAAGCCATTGGGTCACATCTACGAGCTTTCGGTGCAGAAGTTTAGTTCGAATGTGATTGAGAAGTGTCTTGAAAAGGCTCCTGAGCGCGTGCGGCAAAAGTATATCGCCGAGATCACAAGTTGTCCCAAGATGAACAAGATGTTGCAGGACCAGTTTGCCAACTACGTGGTTCAGCGTGCCCTGTGTGTGTGCGCCGAGGAGCAGTGTCTGCTACTGGTCAAGGCAATTCGTCCGCATTTGGCAGCCATGAGGAACACGTCAGGTGGTCGTCGTATCACGGCCCGTATCCTCAAGCGATTTCCGAACATGGACATCAGTATGGAAATGGGCATGTCACCTACTGCCGATGGTCTGTTTACTAATGGCGTCAATGGGATGACGATAGGTCATTTGCCATCTTCGTCGATGGGGAACTACATGCCGCAGCAACACTTGCAGTCTAGTCCGATGTACAGCATGCAAGGCGGTCATATGAGTGCTTTTCATTACTATCAGGGAGGCAGCCGTGGTAACCGCATGCCTCCTCTGCACGGTAGTGACGGTAGCATGCTGACGTTGACGGATGTGGGTGGAATGAGTGTGAACGGTACGAGTCGTGCGTAAATCGAGCTAATTCGTCCGGACGGAAGAACAAGAGCAATTAAAAAATTGGTGATGGTGGTGAGAACATGCTCAAGTGGCAGTTTTGAAAGAGTGTATGGTGGGTAAACGACAGAGGAGGTCAGGGTACTAGAACAAGCTGGAAATGCGCCAACGGGATACTGCCAGGAACAGTTGACTGACCGGGTAAGTGAACGAGAAGCAGTGGGGTTAAAAGTTTTGCGCGTTTGTAGATAAGAGAGATACAGAAAGAAGGAATGCATGTGTAGGACTTGTATCAAAGCAAAGAGTCCATGACAGAGGTGACGGTGAGCAGCAAGTGGGGAGTGGACGTCAAGGCAACAAAGTGAGATGACAATTTGCTGTACCAGTAAGCCACCACGCCACCACAAGCTGAAGACGACGATCGTGGTGAAAATAAAGTTGGAAACTGTTAGCACCGTGTCTTCATCTTATCTCCTTGGCTGCGCTGGTGTGAGCTAAGGCAAATGTCTGCTTCATTCCATTCCGATGATGGGTCGATCCAAAGCTTCGTCATTGTTCACACTTTTGACGTGCAATTGATGTGAATGCATATTGAAGTGACCTTACAGATCCAGGCCTGTCTTCGCTTGGTCCGCTTCCACTACGTCTACGTCCCACATTTTGGTCAGACCACACCCAGTGCTGGCACAGATAAAGTCTTTTTGAGGAGCTAAGCTCAGCTTGCAAGATGATGATATCGACCGGGTATTCGTAGTAGCATTACTACAAGTGCTGACCGACTACACTTATGCAATAGTCGGCTTAGATGCTACGCTAAGGGCACAAGTGCATCGACACAAGAGATCTCACGGTACGAAAAGGGTGGACGGCGTATTCGCTCTACAGCGACACGCGTATATTTTGTGGTGCAACACTCACGCTTACCATGGGGATAAAGATGGAAGACTGCCTCGTGCATGTTGAAGCGCCACAAAACCTCCACATGCAACCACATGACGATAGCAAATTTCGAGATGAATACAAAGAATGCGGAAGTACGTTGCGGATGGCTTGTTCTGCTATGCGACAGACAATAAGACTCCTTCAGTTTTTCACACAGATCAATGTAGATCTGCGTGCAAATGGCTGTGGTAAGTAAAAGCTTCTCGTCATTTAAGGAACATGGATCGAAACCGCATTACTCTTTTTCGTCAAGAATTAGTTACGCGATAGCTGATGATTTGAAGGACATGAGCACGGAAGTGTCAAAATGCACCGTGAAGGGTACACTGCGTTTAAGGTACTATGTCTGTACACGTCAATTACGTGGCAATGACAGAAGCTCACATTAACGTTATGTGACTTTACTGTAGTTGAGGTCATGGGCATGATTGCGTCTCTTGACATTGGTATCGCCAGATGACAACCTGTACGTGGTGGCTTCGATATCTACCTATGCATACACAAGATGGTCCCTTCTAGAGCTTGAGCGCGCGACAAAAATCATCAACAAGATGAGCGCACGAACTTGCAGCGTACCAAGACCGAGTCAAAGGTCCACGAAAAGACAGGGGTCTCTACGACGACATTTATGCGTGACACAAGACAAGTCATGGTAGAACTGAATGTTCCACAAAGTTGCATATGCGTACAATGAGATCAAAGTCGATTTGCTTGGACTCGCACTTCGTGTTACATACGCCGCTACTTTCAAGCTCATTCTAGCGTTTCTCTTGCCGCGACGTATACGAGGGTGACGCCTTGCCTCAATCAGGCTGTCGACCATTCTCCTCATATTGTGACGAGAAAGCAAACGTGACCACCCGCGTAATGTTTTAGAGCTAGTCTTTTCACGTCGTCTCAACCGACAAATGTAGTCTCGCACACTCACTTCTCTCGGGTATTTCCCTGTAATTTACAGAATGCGTGACGAGGTATCGGACTCGTTCGCCGTTCCCCAGTACGTCTAATTGATGCCAGTGTTTGTTCTACCCATACGTTTAAATGATGCCATCCAGTCCTTAGAACAACCGCTAAAAAGCAGCAGCAATGTGTCTCTCACATATCCGCCATCTTCGTGACATCTCGTCCACGTCGAGCTGCAGTCGCCTCAACAAACTGGATCATCCTGTGTCGATGAGTCCATGAGCTTGTGCCACCATCTGAACATTCTTTCGGCTGTGACGGGCCGCGCCGCTTCGATGGTTACAGGTAGTCAGCTTCGCAAGTCGGCAAAGCAGCAGGTTGAAGTTATAGTGTTTGCGCTTTATATGGTGCAAGTTGTACAGCTTAAGAAAGGGGTTCCTACACTGTGCGCTCCGAGTTGGACGAGCGCGCAAACGAATAGTCCGTGGCCGAGTGGACTGCAAAGTTACGCAGCGTGTGCAGGTTGTTGCCCGCAACTTGAGCCCGAGCAGCCTCGGCTGGATCAAGTTCAAAGGCTTCTTTAATGCACGACGGACAGAACGCTGTCTTGCGCTCTTCAAACGTCATTGCAAGCGTCACGCAATTCAGCCGCTTCTTGACGCAACACGTGCCGCAAACCAGTCGATGGCAGAGTTTGCACGAGTCGCGCGAGCGACCGAACTTGCCAAAGAGCCGCGAGCTAATGGGGATGCTGCAGTTGACGCACTCGCCTTCGTCAACATACGCCGTGTCTTGCTGCTTGTTGAACGTGTAGCGATATTGCATGAGCCACGTGAGTTTCTTCATCTCGCCACAGTGGGCAAACTTGAGACACGTAAAGAACTTCATCGCCGAAGGCGTGACCAAGAACGCCTCGACGCTCGAGCCGTTGGCCACGACGCCAGACGCAAACATCTCGACGCACTTGTCGTGCTTTTGACGGTAGAGGAAAAAGACATTGACCGTCGCTCGGACGCGGTCTGGCAGCTCGGGTGTCTGCGGGAACCCAATCGAGTACATTAAGCGATACCCGACCCGCTCGCCATTCGCAAGGTGCGTAAAGCCCGTTCCTTCCATAAAGACAAAGTCGCGCTTGCTCGAGTGCATGGGCAAATTGAGCTCCTGCCACTTGAGCGCAAGCGTCTGTAGTGGCTCTTCCGTAGTTGGTTCTAAGACTGTCGCGAGAATCGCAGCACCCGTGAGGTCGTCCACGTACGTGGAATTATGGCACATGTCCTCCGACGTCGTGCTTACCGTGCCAAAGACGACGTCGTCCAGGTTGCCCTGCATCGTGCCAACGCACAAGGACACGGGGGTCCCCGCTTGTTCCGAAGCTTCGTTCATCATGGAGCGATTGCCTCCCGTTGTCGTGAGCACCTCCCTTTCCAGGTACAGCTTTAGGTTTTCCCGTGTCTTGAGGAGTCTCCATCGACTCTCGTCAACACGGCGCTCGTCGACTTTCAAGTACGTCTCGTACGCGTGCATGGCTTCCACAAGGAAGGCAGTGGCCGTCATTTTCAGATGCAGTTTGTCACCTGACGAGAGGTCCATGGACGGAAAGGGGTTCATGACAAACCGTTTGCTGCCGCCCATGGTGTGTATGTGTGAGGGCGTCTATGGATGCTACGCAGGGAGTTGCTACTCTCTTCTCTCTTGCTGTGTGAACGCACAAGTTGAAATGGCTGGCGTTGCAGCGAAAGGGATTGACGACAACTAAAGGGCTGAGGTCGCATCAAGACGACTGCGATTGTTTGCATCACTTGCGCGGCAGCAAAAGGGACACGACAGACACGACTCGTGCCTCAAGAGACGACTCAAAGAGACAGACTGACACCAGTGGAAGGTGCGTTCTTGTTGTTGCATCGGAGAGCACAGAAGTATCACTGACCTCCTGTCTCGATCCAACCAACACAAAAGTCGTGAGCAACACTGAGTGCTATGCACGTCTGACTTGCTTTCGTCGGGCAGACAGACACTGCAAGGGCTTTGTGCCACTTTTATAAGCAGGGAGCGCACGTGTGGTGGCCTTCCCCCAGACGAGTGGAGCACTCGTGCTCGGATGGCATTGCACAGAGAGGACATGCAGAGAGGAATAGAGGCAGCGGCACCAGGAAAAGGCACGCGATGGTGGACGAACTGACGTCGGGGGTCGTGTGGGCCGACTAAAGGGACGGACAAGGTAGTGTGGTGCAAGCTCTGGTCGACAAAAGGGTTGGCACTTTTTCGATAATGCAAAGCTAGACCTTTGCGTCTCAGCAGTCACGCGTGAGGCAAAGAGCTCAGCTTATGTCGAGCCTTGGATACCCTACGGACGTTCTGGACCAGGAGAAAACGCGGGTCGTCTCGGCCACACGACATGAGACTCTGGATGCTTTATGTCCCGATGTTTGCAACGGACGACCACACTGACGATGGCGGTGTCAACTAGTCCCTCCCGGCATTACAAACCCTGGGTTCCACGTAGTTAAAGTCGCAGTGTGCGGCTGCTACGTTCACACACACCGACTAAGTGTATTGAGGCAACAATAACACAAGCGGCAGTACGACTCTACTAGCTCAAGTCTTCGGGATAGAGTGTCGCCCGATGTGGCTTGGCTGGGCGTGTCCCGTTAATACGGGGCGCTTGGATCTCGGTCGGCTTGTCCACTGTGGACTGCCAAGCACCACAAGATAGTGCACTCCTGGTTTCTGTAAGTAGACGTCACGTCTTTAGTCCATTTGCTGCTTATTCTAACAGGCACGTCACGGGTAAAGCAAGGCGGCGTCTTGATGTCGGACACGACCGATTCGGTCGCGCCGATTTGCTGGCGATGCTCTACCATCTTCGACGCGGTTCCTCGAATCGGATGTACCGACGAGGTACACACTCACCTCAACTGTGTGTGTGGATGCTCCCGTCGCAGCGCTTTCTATGCAGTGCGCTTGCGGCCCTGATCGACTGTTAGCGCTAGGCCCACTTGAAGGACGTTCGTTCTTCACTGACAAAACTCACCGTTGCTCAGAGGTGACGCACAATCTCGCGAGCGAGCGGTCGGAAGCTCAATGTAGTGTGTCCTGCACGCATACTTTCGATCGGGATATCTTCAGACCGTACAAATGCGAGGATCTATGACCGGAGAATCGTCGTGTAGTTTTGTACATCAACGCAGTGACTCGCATTAAATCGAGCGTTGAACCGCCGAGTCGAACATGCACGACATTGGTACCAGTCGACAACACACTGACACAGATCCAGCGCATTTGATTCACACAAGCGGTACGTTGATGATGCAAATTATAGTCAACAAGCCAGATCGAGGCATAGCAGCAAAGCTTGTGCGCAGTCGCCATGTGCGTACGGGTAAAACACCTAGGCGTTCCACAATGCCGCTGGATCAATGTGATTGATATTGCAATGTCATCGATTCCTTGTACACATATCCCTGGCAACCACAAGAGACCGAACGATAGTCTTTCCATTGTTTATGTCGCCTAAACCATGAAGAGGCAGACACACGTGTACCGTGAAGGTCCTCGTCGTTGTGCTGTTAGGATCAAGGTAGTCGCTTTAAGGCCAGGAGAGACGTTAGCAGTCCCATTGTCGAATTCGAGACTTAACTACATGCGTGCTGATGAACGATTTGTGACTTACAAGGCCAGTGTTGTGCAAAGTCTGCGCTACACCAACGCAGACCAGGCGGGATACAACGGAGGTGAACCAAACGCATCTTGCAGGCGACACTGGATGCAGATATCCGGCGCTTCATCGTGGCAGTAACGTGAGGAACTCGCTCGCCGCTCTTTGTCGTGTTGCAGAGCACTGCTTGGGTAAGCAACGAGCCTGTCAGGACGCTGGATACTACAGTTCCCCTCAAGACTGCAATTCTCCTGTATATTTTGTCGATGTTGAATGCTCAGAGCTAGTATGTAAACATTATGGTCAGCTGACGAGCATAGCGCTGAAGTGATGTATGGAACGCAACGTGAACGACTAGCATTAACGTGCACTGATTGTAGAACTGAAGTATTCTTGGTGCAGATATAAGAAGTAGAATCTTGGCACTTGGCATAGTGGCGTTTGATGTTGACCAAGCCAACACAACATCTTGCCTTTAGACGAGTTTCCCGGTATGCAAAAGTACGTACATTTTCTCATGCCATTTCCAACATCTAGAATTTTACACTTTTGAGGATCGTAACACATTGTACATACAACCCACGGTTAACCAGCGGTCCCGTACATCTCAACACATGCGTTTCGCTGATGCGAAAATTTAGTAAGCGTGAATGGAGTCTGTCGTATCTTTACGCTGGCATTTGAGGGTATTGACCCGCAAACGTGCACGCAAAAGTCGTTTTAGTTTCATTCAAGGGTTTTGTACAGCATGGCAAAAACTGTGAAGGTAAAGATTGTTTCGTCATCACATGACTATTCAGCACATACCTTCACGTGTGATTGCAGAAAGCAAGGGTTTAATCGTATGACGAGAGCTAAATTGGAAACAGACCCCCTCTAACTTTAAATGTCTGACAGAGCGTCCTCAAAACAACGCGGTATTCGCTGCGCACATATTCTTATGGCCTGCAAATATATCCATCCATGTAAGTAAAATGACACCGACTGATTGTTCTACAAGTCGACAGCCTGTCCAATCAATTTCACTTTGCCGTTCCAATCACTTGATTGCCGGTTTGAATCCCCAAACGACCAACGCAAGATTGTTGAAACAATGTATGACACTTGAGTCTCAGTCGGAACCCCGGTACCACTGAGCTCGGTCTCTCTTGGAAGCATAAAGCCCCCGAAGTCGAATATCCGGGGGTCCTGAACTGGTTGGCCCCAGAGTATCCAGTAAAAGTGTCCATCCGATAGGGGATGTGTAGAACGCTGCCGAAGGGGCATTCTTGGATCGTTACTTGTACTAAATAAATGTAATGCACCACGAAAAATGCACTCGTACCTCTATAGAGGCACATGGATGAGTTGAATGACGCATAGCCGTATAAATAAGGGATACTTACTCGAATGACAAGCATTGTTAGTTGCGGAGGCAGCGCGACAGAGTCATCACGCGTGCTTCATGTTGCCGCCACGACTCCATAAACGATACGCGATCGGAATTAGTAATTATTGCTGCTCAACTTGATCAACTGCGTACGTCATAAGAGCGCAGATGTGTAGCATTTCGGATTTAATGTAAGGTGTTGTCGTAATTTTTGTGCCAAAGTGGATACGTGCTGCGAGAAGCTACGCGTCATTTTTTGCCTTTGGACGTTATCATGAGTGTGAAGACCTGACATCCGACCATAACCTTATTAATCTAGAGGCCCTATTTGTATGCTTCATATCGGAATCTTTCCACAAACGATTAGAGGGACACTTGGGTCGATGATTTGGCTGCAAAAAAGGAACTTGATCCTTCTGATCAACCGAATTTTGCACGTCAGTATCACTAGAACATGATCGTTAGAAAGCACAGTCTAACCGTTCCGGTAAATTAGCGAGAACGTCAAAGTACACGAGCTGTAAGGTAGTTGAATTGAAGAAGCTGCCGTCAAGCTGATTTAAGATACTGACATCGGTAGTAGATTACTGTGAAGCTTCGTGATTTATGAATATGAAACCCCTGTTTGTTGTATTTCACTCAAAGCGATTGATGCTGAAGATACCGCATAAATGTGATCTACTAATGCTCAAGTTTACCGACACTACTCGGTGTTTGTAACGGGGTAGCCCGTTACATGATATTGACACCAAACGGTGTCGACAGGGAGATTGCATAGCGTGACAATCGCCTGTCAATATTATCCGAGATGGGTAACATTGACGTATTATCATCCCCTTTGGATAAAATTCATGTGCTACTCAAACACTGATTGATAAAAGACGTATCGACCCAAGATTACCACCAATCGCTGCTAGACGCGCGTAATGGGTGGTGAGCAGGTTGTATCGATATGACAATGTAGTTTAATGTAGTTAGACAAAGACTGAAGTCATACTGTTAGCTTAATTATACTGAATGCAGTTCTCTTTTTACCTTTACTCAAACTAGCAATTCGAATCGATTAGCTACCTCTGCACGTACGAGTGTGCGTAAATTTTTGTGGCACCCCACACAAAGGGTGCCCTGTTACAATCGACGCCTTTATATTCCGGTGTGAGCGTTCTTTGATGACGTGAAAATGGATGGGAGAATTCAAGTCCAAGTGTAACTACTTTACACTTGGTGCAACCACAGGAAGTTTGCGTGGAGGTCTTCGTTGCACAGGTATTCCACGTTGTACTGCTGGCTCCTTGCGAGCTATCTGCTAACAGTATGACACAGTCGTGCTTAAGCGCTCCTTTTGAGGCGAGGTTTAAGGCTGAGAATCTCGTCAGCAACCGGTCGAAATAAAGGGCTGGTGCGCGCATTGCGAATGTAGATCCTTATCTTCTACAAAGTGACTAGTGTTTTCCCTATAGCACAAATATTTCCATCGATTTTAGAAGTTTCACCCAGTCCGGTTACTCTACGTAGAGAGAACCTGCTTTGTGGAGCTGTACTGATACCTGTATAACTGTCAAAAGTTGTTCGAAACCAAATTAATTGGTGGAAATATTAAAAGCTGCTAACATGGTAAAAAGCTTTAATAGCGTTAAAATATGTTATAAAGTGCTAATAGCTGGTAGAAAAAATCATGGGCTTTTTACCTTACCTCCCACTGTGGGTACGACCATAACGTTGTCGAGTTGACGAAGTGTAAAAAGGACTATCGGTGATACCATGGCCGTCGTAGTATCGCTCTAGTACGACTTTCGTGCTGCTTTCGACGCGACTTCTAGGTTCCGACTCGGACAACTACCTCTGTCGAGCTCAAATTACGCGTTCTAATGCGGTTATACCCGATGTTGTTTGATGTTGTGAGATTGGAGCTTGAGTGGCACGAATGTTTACGAGCTCGACTCAGTGTGTGTATAATACTGAGAATGCGCAACTCCTTACGTGCGCTGTCCTGTGCACGGCCGTTATCTCTTAGATTGTGTCGTACTATCAGGGTGCCCAAGCCTATCACATTCACATAAACTATCCCAAGGAGCGGCTTGGCGCGGAACGACGTTGTCCTGATAACCTGGACGATAGTAAATGCTCGCATAAGTTTACAAGGGCGCGACTCGCTGGAATCCCGACAGCAGCAGTCAAATAAGCTGGACATATGTGGTGCTTTATTTGAGTGCGCCCGCTGCTTCGGTAGTGCAGCGTCAAGAGATCGCAACTCTTGCTCTCTGATGATGAGCGTCGCTCGAGCGCGATTCTACGGCGTTGCGGATACAGTACGTCACTACGATCAGTTTCGAGACATTCGGAGCGGACCTTCGTCATTGTGCCGAGCGTAGCCCGTCTGGTAAGCGTGGCCGCAATCGCCTTGCTGTCGCTATATCTTGCTTAAGCTCAAATACCTCGGAGAGCGTAATCTTTTGCGAGGACGAGGAAATGATCGGATAGATGAAAGTATCTCACAGCCAAGTGACGCGTCCCTCGTAGAGTGTGGTCCGTCTAAAGTCCCGCTACGTGGAACTCATATGTTTATTCGAAAAACAGCATCCAGACCAGATGATTTCGGGTAAACTAATTTCATCAATTGTTGGTGTCAAACAAAGATCGAGTCAGTCCGATTTGACAAAAGCGTCACGATCTGTATTGGTGTGGACATGTTGTTGGTGCCCATCTCAATCGAAAAGACCCACCAGGTGCCTTTACATTCAACAATCAAGTATCAGCAGCACTGTCTTCCACAACGTGCAGTCACATCAGTTTTGTACTCGCTGCGAGCGGATTCTCATCCGTTACTTTGACAGTGCAATGAAGCAAGCTGCGAGCCCATTCGCCCCACTTCAATTGTCACCACATGATGTAATGTATTTGAAGGAAGCAGCTTACGTTCTTGTCCAGCGCCAAGTGGAAGCTTACGAGCGGTACCTGCATGAAGATGGCGAGCGAGTCAACGATAAACAATGGCGACAGGTGCTGCAGCGCGACAATGTGATGGTCTTCTCAGAAGCGCAGAGCTGCAAGAGCTCAGACTGGACTACAGATTTGGGTAACTCTAAGCACCAACAGGGTTCTGCCACGACAGGCTTGCCGGAATTATTGACAGTCGGTCACATCGAGGGCTCTTTGGACGACGTGATGCTAGGCGTAATGACCCCCACGGTCACTTCGTTGAGGCTTAAACACTTCTACGAAGGGATTGAGCTTGGTGATGATGCTGTGTTGGCGACGATCGACTATCCGTCAGCTCACGACCCCTTTCAATCGCTCAATATCAAGTGGGTCAAAGGCTACCAGCCTCCAATGATCCGCTCGATAGTCAACGACCGCGACTTTGTTTATATGGAGGCAACGGGCTTAACGAAGCTCAGTGACGGTGAAGTGGTTAGTTACCATCTTGTGCACTCTGTGGACCTTCCTCAGACGCCCAAGGTGGGCAGCAACATTCGAGGAACCATGTCGATGTGTGGGGTGTACAGACAACGCAACTACAGCTCCGTAGATCTATACTCCCAAGCAAAGTTGAGTTTCGGGGGACGGCTTCCTCGATCTTTCGCAGTCAAGTGTACGTCGATAGCACTGCTTTCAGCTAGGCAAAGGGTACACTGCGCCCGTTTAAAAAAGCTCGCGTGGCTACTGAGACTGAGCGATACAAACGTGATCCGGGACGATCACAATTGCATTGGCTGTGGCCGTAAACCCGGTATTTTCGTTACCGAGATCAGGTCATGCTCTCTTTGCAGACATGCATTGTGCTTGTCCTGTCGATTGAAGATTGAGCTGGGATCTGTAGGACCTACAGGAAGCCTGATAAAGAGAAAGTTGTGGTGCTGCAAGCACTGTTGGGATAAAGCGGTTCGGACAAGCTCGCGAGTTGTTGCGATGGAAGAATATGGAGATACGAGTCGGGTGGAATCGAGCCGGTGGAGCAGTTATTCGACATCTTCTTTTCACTGTCCAGGTCGGGACGCTTTTGGCAACCGGTAGACTCGAAGTGGTACCCGTAACTAGCTGATACTCAGATAGTTGCGAGCCCGAAGGGTGACGCTATCAGTGAGTGTGCGCAAGGTTGCATGCCGAGCTTTTAAATCGTACTAAACTGTGTGTGTGTGATGTCTGGGTGTCTGTCTGTGTAAATAGCGCGATATTAGGTGTACCTAAAATGCACTAAGTACGATTTAGTCTGCCCCCTCATAAGAATATAGACATATCCAAAGTCACTCTTCGGGCAAGTCAATATTGTGATGCATCCACGTGATTAGCTTAAAATCGATCATAGATGAACATGATCACATTAGCAAATGCTAGACGCCTATAAGCAAAGGCTGATCACTTTGCCTGAGTATACTGTACTTAGTTCATACAAACATAACATCACCACTACTCATTGTTCAGTTAATGCTGTTGTATAGTGTTTTGCAACCTGATTCAGTTCTATGAACTGGATTACTTCTATCACAGGGCGAGCTCTAGAGCTTGCTCCCCTCTGTACATACTGACAGACATAGTCAGTAACTGAAAAATAAGTGGTGGTATCTCTATAATTGTGCTAATCAACCTCTAAAGAGCAATTGCACATAATTTTTTGCAGCCGCACGCCCGTAGAGAAAGCATGTGCGCATAAATTAAACCTTACCGTCGGACATAAACAAGGCTTCATGCTAAAGCTTACATGATAGCCAAACTTTCTTGTAGGTGTGCATTCGTGCGAAGCAACTCGACAACACTCGAGAAACTTTATCAAACACCTAGCTGATGTTAAGTAGCAGAGAAAAAATAGGGTAACATGGTGTTCTTTGTCGAAGAAACAGAAGTAAGCAGACTGCTGTATGTCAAAAGCACATGGAAGTGAGCAGCAATGTAACAATCAATAAAATTCCTCATTTATATATTATATTGAGCCAAACTAAAATAGATCAAGCTGTTTAGTTTTTACGTATTATTGCGCACTTAATGTAATACGTCCTAAATAAATCGTCCGCCCCAAGATGCGTAGTAATCTCCTAAAAAGATAAACAGTGACCAAGCATCTCAGCGCACAAGGACAAATTTGTAGCTATTCACACCTGACGTAATAAAAGCAATACAATTGAGACATGCAAACAGAAATAGTTAATTAGCTCTGATCAAAGATAGTCATTATGCGATTATATAAATCTTGTCGCACATAAGCCTAGCCAGCAGAGTTCCAAATCGGCGCTTCTTGGACCCATCCATAGACTAAACACATTGAAAGTGGTTGGGCAGAGCCCACGCATGCCCACCCACTCCTTGATCTAGATTTAGCGCACCCACCCACGCCCACCCAAATTCTTTGCAGAGGTGTTCACCAGATTTCAATTGTAGAAAAAGGCCCCTTACACCGTTTTTTTAAAATATAGAGTCATAAAACATCAGTGTCACATAAATTTGAGCTGGCAACATCGCGCCCACCCACCAATTGTCCATTGCACCCATGACCACTGGCGTGTGTGGGCGTGGGTGTGGGCTCCCGATTTGAAACTCTGCTAGACAGCCACTGCTATCACTTGCACAACACTAGACTTTTGATGGCTAACATGCATGGTGGATCAAAGACTCCACTGTTTTGACGGACGAACAAGCAAAGTTTACAATCTTATGATCGGTCGCTAATGCACCAAACTACACACGATTAGAAAACGTAAAGCTCTCCCATGAAACATAGTAAGCTTTACCAACAAAACTTAGGACGCACGTGTACCTCATTCATCGGATCAAGACGTGGCCAAGAAATGGCTACTAGAACGGTACGCGCGAGGTTTCGTCCTAGACAAGGTCTGGTCTTTTGCTACATGCAACGCACTGATCTCAAGCGCGTCCTTGGTGCAAACCGGGAAGGTTGTGACCTCGCGCGGATCACACTCCAAGCCGGGTTGCATGAATGTGACCAGCTTGCGCACGCGACATGAGCGACACACGGTGTTGAAGCAAAGTTTGCACGACCTACGAGTAGAACTCAATTTTCCGATGCGGCTGTGACCAACGGACAACGAATAGCTCACACGTCCGTCGTCACACCCATCTGCTTCTTCTGCTCGTTACGATGTTGCATAATTTACGCCAAATGCTTCATCTCATCGCAGTGTACGAGTTTCGCGCAGGACTGAAATAGTGAGCTGATCAGAGCATCATCAGCGACGTCAGCACGTATCCTCCAGGATCGCAGACGCCGGTCGCATATGTTTCCACGGACAAATCTTGGGCCTGACGATAGAAAGCACAGACGTGACAACTGCCACGAACGTGATATGGCAACTCGGGCAATTCCGGAAGATTGATGTATGTGGGACATTGTAGCCAATGCGTTCCCCGTCCTTCATCCTTCAATTGCCCGTGGCGTCCGTGTACACGTAGTCTCGATTTTCACTAATTTCATCGACTGCAGCGGCATATGTATCTGCGTCCGCTTGAGTACGATTGAGTGCAGCGGATCCCCAGGTGTTGGTTTGACGACTGAGGAAAGAACTGCAGCGTTAGCGATGTCATCAATGTACGACGATTTGACACGTACAAACTCGAGTGTGGGACTCATCATGCCGAACATGACATCCTCGAGCTTGCCGGGGATCGAGCCCTCGCACAGAGCAACGAACAACTTGGACGCCACGTTCTCCTTGAGGTTTGCTGTTAGAGTTTTGGTCCCGGCGTTTCTGTCAGAATACACACGGATGTGATCGTAGGCCTTGAACAGCTTTTAGAGACACGGGTACACGTGACGGCTTTGACTAGCGACGTATTCGGTAAGAGTCGGCAGGTGTTCATCAATGAAAGTCATCACGAGAGCCTGGAGTTCGACTTTGGCGGCCATGGTCAACTCAAAGCTTGGGAAAAGGTTCTGCGTCAGAGTGATGATTTGCCATTGCCTTGAGCTCTCGGCAGATGAAGGGCAATTGTATGTGAAGCTATGCCGTAGACATTGCCCATTCCACTCCTATTGAAGTCGTCGTGTTTCTCAAGGCCAGAAACGCGCCTATCAGATGATTTATGGTACCTACAGATAGGGCGTATCACCATCAATAGGATCTCAAACGCAACTCTGCCTACAGTCGACTCTCGTATCAGTCTTCCTGTTATAGTCGCTTCAAAGCGACAATGTTCAAAACATGCCAAGACTCAATAGACGTGCAGTGTGGGTGTTGAAGCTGTCGCACATCTGTAGATACGTTAGCGGGCTTAGATGAAGTACGAGCACAAACAGTGCGAAGCTTATCCGAGTTTGAATAAGCCGGCTATCAATTTTTCGGCTCAGACAAAATGGGCTGTCGGCCCTTCACTACGTTCCCTAGCGCAGCCTCCACAAATTCTTGGCTTGTGCAATGACCAAGGATCTCGACTGACACGACACAGGACATCCATGTGGCGATCGTACTTCGAATGGACTAAATTTGTTTCACGACGCGTCAAAACAACTATGTGGTTGAGAACGATTGTAATCAGCGACCGGCTCTGAAGAGTCGCACGGGCTTTTAAGTGACGGTGATGCGTTGTCATGTCGTGTGGATCGCTGCAGGAGAATAAAAAGACCTGTTCTGTCGCACGATTTCCATCTGCCTGTCCAACGAGAAGTCGAGCAGCAGTCCGCAGTTCATGGTCAGGGTCTTGACCAAAAAACAGTCTTGCTTATTCCTGCACGCAAATGTAGCAAGCTTCACATGTCATGAATAACAAGGCAGTATCTTGTGGTCATGGCTGTCAATACTGGACTGAGGCGTTAAGTGAAAAGCTAACAGTCACATAAGGCTTACCATTACTGCAGCTTGCGGTTAGGTTGATCTGACTGTCATTCGTATACTATGAGGCTAATTTGTTTTGTGTGGCCGGTATGTAGCATCCTCTGTACAATGGTAGGATGTGATACCGTTTCATCTTTAAATGGAACAATGAAAGCCTGTAAAATCACACTTTTGGAAACACTAGATAAAGTCGGCCACAAGCCCTAACACCTTTGCCATTGTTCGGGACGGCAAACCGCCCTTCATGATTGGAAGACGATACCATTAAATTGGCAGAATGGAAGCATTTGATTCGTCAATATGTTGTTTTTCATCGACACACAACAGGTGTCAGCGACCGAAATATCACAACATCACGCTTAATCTCCCCCTGAATGCCTACAAGTAAACCTTTGTAGCCAACAAATACGGAAGGAGAGTCCGTGTAAATATTGGAATGCTTACACGTCATTTCAGATAAATTCGAGCAAGACTGATTAGGTGGGTCAGGAATTTTTGACTTGCACCTCAGCTAGACCAATTTACCTGCGATAGTCATCAGATTATTGGCAGACGCAACGCAAACAGCATGTCCTTTCGAAAAAGAGAGAGAGCAACGATAGCTTGACGCTTTCTCAGTTATATAAAATCGCTATTATCCGTCACTCTTATAAAATGTGAAGCTACAATCGAATGTAAACCAAATAGCTTTGGCTGCTTCATCTTGATGTTTGTGCCGACCTTAACAAATAAGCATTCAATGCAGAGCTTACGGGCATTTTTATGCTTACTTCACTCATACAAACTCGTTTCTACCTTCTCCGCAATACCGCGTCAAGACATTATATTACTATTTTCATTACATGCCGTCGGTCATAGATTTTGTATGATATTTTTGTATTCCACTCAAGCCACGAATAAGCCATTATAGCATCTTCAGTTTAATCTACAACTAATTATAATAACTACGCAATATGACAGAACGTGAAGCGAAAAGGATAAACATGCAGCCAGTTTTTCATGACGGCTAAAATGTTTCAGAAATGACTTTGACAACTCTCGTCCTCATTAATCACGCATTGAGAGGGAATCAGCCTTAACATACGGTATTTTGTTAATGTCATGACTTTGATGAAGGACCACTCTTATGAAAAGTAAATCACAAAACAATGTGATCCTTGACATGCCACTGGTGGTTGCCCCCAAAAATTGTTCGATGATTTACTTGTTGACTTTTCACTACCTTACTTCTTTGAGTGCACGTTTCTCTTTGTAAATGATCCCTTTCCACTGAATCTGAATCTTGGGTACATACATTGACCGATATTTTCATTACGTATTCGTCCAAGCTCGTTTTACAATGTCGTTGGATCATTGAGATGTGTGATCGGTATCTGCCGCACCTACAAAAGAAGGTTCGTGCCTTTCAGTCGAGGCAAAACTCTGCAGGTTTGTACACGTATATGTACGCGACCATTTATGATAAAATTACGTCTCTGAACATTACAAGGGTGATTATGAACAGCATGGACGGCTCATTTGAATTGTAGGAACGAACGTCTGATTTGCTAAATGGCTATGGAATGTGAGAAGACGATTCGAGAAGAACAAGGATGGCATATTGTTCAACTGAAAGTAGTTTTAGTAGCTCAACTTTATTTAAATTTCGGCGTTTGCCACTAACTTCATAAATCGGTTAACAGTCACAGGTCCGACCTCTGCAACAAGATCAAGATCACCTCGTCACACCCGGAACGCTCACGAGAAGTACCAGGCGCGCCAAAGTCCATCTGGTAGGTGGGGACTACATCCGCTAGAATTCGAATTTGAGGATGACTATATGACCGCCTTAGAAGAGCTCGTTGTCGGGCTTCAGGCGCTTGGAGAGCCTTAAAACGATATACGGCAGCTCGTAGTGCTGTAATAAAGCGGATCGAAGCAATCGAGGGCGATCGCAGAGTGGAATGATCTCAAACCGCGACAATTTGTTGAAAAAGATCGATTGGCTGTTAAGGCTACGCAACATCAAGATCGAATATCGCAATATCAAGATCGAACACCAAGAAACCGGGAGTGAATATTGCAATACCGCGATCAAATGACATATCAACGGAATACTAAATCACGTTGCCAAGATCGAGTCAAGATACCAAGATCGTGAAAGCATGAGGTGTTCAAAGTCAGGAGATTGGCCGACACATCGACAGAGATCACGGTCGTAAAGAATGATCGACGATAGGTCAGGGAGATCGACGATCTACTAGAAGTAAACCACATACGCGAAGGAAAATTCAACGAAATGTAAAAGATTCGTGGTAGCAAATCCTGTATCATATGTAAGCATATTATAAGTTTTTTTTTGTTGATTGACGTTATATAAAATTTTACTGCTTTTAAGTACACGTGTTGACTTCTCTTCCTGGCTGTTGTGTTGGCATTTCGACGTCAAGAAAGTCGCCTATACTTAAATCAAGTTGTAACCGCAGATAATTGGCTGGGGCAAGTATTCTTACCTCCCCTAACTGCGATTGGACGCAGCAATAACGTAAATGACAAGGCGAAAGATAGCGAGACGGCTTAAGTGGTCAGAAGGATCGCGTATCAAGCATGCACATAGTGGACAAGGCGATCTCGTTGAGATCTGGGTAGCTTATGTCACGTAACCTACAAGTACACCCGCGATCGAGTGAAGGTTTTCGCGCGATCACAAACCCCATTCTTAATACGGTCAAATTTTATCTCGACACGAGTCCAATAAGAATAGTGAGGCCCGCCCTACGACAGGTACACAAGAAGAGGAAGAAAATACAAGACACGAAAATGGAGCACCCACACCGATTTTCATTCTTCTTGGGCATCAGTGAAAAATTGGTTTCGCCTCGCGAGATGAGCGATTGCCACTCCATCACACGTTTTAGAGCTCGTCCTTGTGGATGTGATGGAACACTTACAAAATACTTCAAAATGTGGCGCTTAGTATGTCCTGGCGTTTGTAGAGAACTACTCGCGCTACGCAATAGCCCATTTTAAGATACAAAAAGTTAGATGATCGCCAAGCTAAAAGGTTTCAAGACATCTAGTGAGAAACAATGGAGTGAACGCATCGATTCCTCACAATAGGACAATGGACCAAAGTTCGTGAAGTAAGCCATGGCGAAGATTTGTACTCTGAATGGTATCGTGCACCTATGGACCCTCCTGTATGGCCCTCAGCAGAATAGAGTGGCAAAACGGATGAGCAGTACCATTATGAAGAAAGATTACTGTGTAACACACTATTAGAACCTTTTAACCGATTTGTGGGATGAAGCAGTGAGTACTGCGATTGTTCTGATAAACCGTTCCACGAGCACGCAATACGCAACCGTGACCTTGTTTGGGCTTGTTTTCAAGGTGAATCCTACGCTAGATCACCTACGCATGTTTATTTTTCGTGGATGAATTCACATAGACAAATCGAAGAGAAATAAGATTGAGATAAGAACTTTATGTGTATGATGCTCGGATACCCAGAAAACGTGAAGTGTTACCGTGTCAATGACTTGTACGCTTTAAAGGTAAAGGTATCCTGCTCTGTGAAGATGTATGAGCGTTAGATGGACGGTATCTACTATACACAACTGCTCAGAACGGAACGTTCATTCATGTTACCTTGGACGTCCAATCCAGAAGACACGGCAGCTCTATTATAAATTCAGCACGTCGTAGCGAAAGTCATGGAAAAGTGATGGGTTGCCCTCTTCGAAGTGTGCCAGGACCAATGAGGACTGTATCATCGCGGAAGTCATTTTCGCGTACGATGCAAGCAGTGACGCATTAAACCCTTCGACAACGTACGCTCAAGCATTTTTCAGTTGAAATGTTATACAATGACATGAAGCCATGATTTTGGAACTGCTCACCAAAACAGGACGGTACCCGGTCCATAAATTTTACGAGATACCGCTTGGTTTTGTCGGCATATAACGCATCGTTTGTATGACGCCTCGGCTATTGCTGAGATCCAAAATTTGAATGTAAGGTGTGCTTTACGGGCTGAGCTTTCTCAAAGCAGTCCTTCTTATGTTCTTTACAGAGACCTTGGTAGTCCTGCCACCTTTCGGGGTGCTGATGTTTCAAATGCTGAGCGTAGTTGTCATTTCGGAATGGGGCCGAGCAGTACTTGGTGTTAGTTGTTCTCGCACGTTTTGCGCCTGGCTTGCTCTCGCGACCGAAGTAGAGAAGGCATTTCGCTGAGACAACGGTGCGGCCCTTGGTGCTTCTCGGAAAGACTCGAACACCATCGAATGGTCAATAGAAAAGGAAGTCTTTCAGTTGTTTTTCGAGAGCATTTGGTATGTACAAGCTTTTCTCACGAATTGTTGCGGGTACAAGGGCTTTGGGTTCGGTACGGCTGTTAGTCGCGAAGGATGCAGTCTTTTATAATTATAGGGAAGTCAATGTTGGGTCCCCGTTTCACTTGTCCATTGCATTTTTTTCACACATTTTTCACGGACTCGTTCACTCGCCAAATAACTCACAACGATCTCCCGATAACATTTTTTCTATGTTTATTTGCCTGTTCCAAATCAGGTTATAAACGACTCGCCAGACATATTAAATGCGGCTCGCCAGATATTTTATATACGGCGGTTAATCCGTAAATATTTTAAACGTTCTCGCAAAATATCATACAACAAAATTTGCACCACGACAAGCACTCACAAAAAACTTGTTTACCTTTAGGTAACTTTAGGTCTTAAGGGATCAAGACTCGGCTATACAGATTTGGTTCTTGCTCCGCTATGATCTTTCTAGAAATGTGCCTCTTCGCGCTCACTTCTTTTTAGATATGTTCGTCCTGTCGCTTCGTTTTCCTTTCCCACTCCAGTAATATTAACGTCTTCAATTTGCCCCTAGAAGAAGGTGCGGTTTCAATATTATTTTCGGCCCACCAGATATTTTTACTTGCGGCGTTTAATCCGTAAATAATCCTGATGTCTGTATGTAAAGAGGCCTGGCCATGTGCGTTCAACACACATATTCGATAATTCTATAGCGAGCGCGTCTGGCTCATAATAGGCCTTTTGTCGTCGTAGAAATGTGTGGCCAATCCAGAATCCAGTTTTGGACTGTGTAGGGCTTCTGTAACACCGGAGACAACACGCCAGTAGTACTTTATGCCGTGACACTAAGTTAAATTGCTATTTCTTTGCTGGTTTTGGAAAAAGGCAAACCCGTTCATGCTATTTGGCATTTATTGTCTTGGATTATAATATGCTGTTGCTCAATTATTACAATAGCGGTTCGAATCTGTTGTATTTATGTCAATCTTGTTGGCAAAGGGCTTGGTGATTTTACCAAATGCGACACTGGTCGAGCCTTCTACCATTTTTTTCGTCAGTCTATACATAACGCACGTTTGTTCAGTATGTGTATCCGATCCTGAGCCTCTAGAGTTCTTGTATCAACGCAGACAAATTCGCTTCAAGCTTTCATCATGGACGACTTGACCTTTTGAGAACAGTAGACACTAGATTGCCTCTAGAAAACTCATCCTGTCCGACGACCTTGCTCATCCGTACAGCCTCGGCGAATTCGGCTATAGGATACACGGTCCACATATTGGATTCGCAATTGCTTCCAGTCTTGAGGGAGCTCTCGTAAAAGGCCAAGTGACCACCCGACTTGGTTGTGCATAAAATCACATATGGATTGGCTTCCACTACGTCGATTGTCGGCAGAGCTCGGCTGACGCTTATCGGGTCGTCCTCTGCGTTGATACACAGCAACGGCACACGAACACCGCCAAGCTTTTTTACGGACCCCGCGTCGCTGTAATAGTCATCAACCGTGTCGTAATGGAACACATGTTTAGTGAGAGTGTCATCAAAGTCCCGTACTGTGCGTGTGGCTTTTATTGCCTCCAAGTCCACACCTGGGAAGTCCGTAAACTGCTCAGCCGCATTACACTGACATGAAAGCGTGCAGTGACGTTAGCACGGTCAACACCAATATCATCTGCGTCACGCACAGCTTACCTTGTCAAAAAAGAGTTCGCGAAGATTGCTGTTCAGGGCTTTATCATACGTCATCCGATTAAACAGCGAGCCACCAAAGTTTGCCGAGCATATCGCCAGGTCAAAAGGGTTTCCGATTGAGATCGCCCCCGTTAATGGCGTTCGATCACCATCTTCACCCAAATACTTGACCAGAACATTCGATCCCATCGAAAAGCCAACTCCGACAAATGCTTCACAAGCAAAATCATACTGCTCGCTCAATTGCTGCAGCACAAAGCGAAGATCGTCCGTGTACGCACTACAAAAGAGTTGAGCAGTAGTCACCGGTGTGTCAGCGCATCCTCGAGCGTTCAACACCACACATTGCCAGCCCGATCCGAGCAATCGCGCAATAGTGATACGAATGTAATTCTCCGAACTACCGCCTGTCAGACCAGGCAACAAAATCACTGTACGACGTGTTGGCTGTACCTCGGGTAGCCAAGCCCTTGACGCTACTTCCGTTGTCCCAGTCGAGGTATCTTTCCAGTCCGACAACAGTGCCCAATCTAGGGAAACGACACCGTCATCCGGTAATTTGAGTAACTGACGTCTATACTTGATCTGCGGTCCTCGATTGTCGTATGCAAATCGAACGGTCTGAAGGTGTCCGTTGAATAGATGCCACGGCGGATGGTACTTGCGTTTTGCTACAAAAAGCCGTTCAGAAAGTCAGCGAAAAGTTAGTCCATCAAAACATACGAGCTATTTCACAGCTGCGGGAAAAAAGCAAAACCCGTTATCTCGCTTACTAATAGAAGGACAGAGGGACAGCAGTTTCGTGTTTGTTGGTGTGGCTCGGAACACAAGTTTAGGCGTTTCAGCCGCACGCAACAAGTACCAGCGCACGAACGCTGCGAGAAGGGAGCGGCCAAAAGTCTTTTGGGCACAGTACAGTAGCACTAACGCCAACGCATGTCGAGCGTGGCGCGGCAAAAGTCGCGTGTTCGTCATTCTCATAAACTGATTCTTTTGCGGCCCTTGATGGGGGGAAGGGTCTTGACGATGACGCAAGCTAGATTAGACGACGTGATTGCATGCGTCTAATGTAGTGTACGTAAAGTAATTTTTCCAGCACTTGCCTTCGACGCTGTGAGGAACGGAGCGCCGCAGTCTATTTACAACGTACGCTGATGTTGCATTCGGTGAAAATCTAAGCAATCAGTCTCGACATCCGTATGGAATTGGATTGGACTGGTATCGACACGAACGACAGCCTCTTTTCTGCGTCCATGCAGTCACTAGTCAAAGCCGTTTGCGACATCAAGCTGAGAATAGATGGGGGACGGGGTAAGCGAGGTACTGGCAGATTGAGGGCTAGCGTATTCGACTCTACTCACAACACTTGCCGCTATCGTGCGTGCTATCGTCCAATATGCAGCTCAACGCAACTTGCTTCACAACTATCCTACGTGTGGTCTTTAACTAATCGTATGACGTTCTGGAAAACAAATGTAGCTGACTAGGATCTGACGCCGTAATCCTGACGACTCCATTCTTTTCCTAGACAAGCAAACATATCGAAGTATATTACTAGAATAAACACAACGTCGCGAAGCAAGAAGGCCTGTCCTGTCTTAGAAATTTGCGCGGTCCAGCCACTGATCCACGTCGTTTCGGTGGTTAATCTTGCAGTACTGACGGTGGTCTAGCGTGAACACATTACTCACCATCGCCTAAATGAGAGAATCTACTCTATCGCTCATCACGTCGTGTATTCATACTTGCACGCGGTAAAAAATCCATGGCCTCGACAAGTCGATCAGCAATAAGCGACCGATATTCTGGCGCTTGTGACCAGCAGCTTTAATGTTGCCGTAAGACCAGTCGTTTTCAGATGACAATCTACCGGCTAAGATGAGCACGCGCCGCGTCCTTTCGGTATCAATTCGACAATCGCTAGGCGACACCTTTCGAATGCTGTAAACCAAGGAGAGGAAAGGCTGTGCCACGAGTCTATCGGGTGAGTCAAAGGCGAACTGACTACTTTTGCGGCACTCTCATTGGCCCGCACCGTCCCACCATCGCTTTGTCCGTAGTGATCATTGGCCACCACGTCTTCCCCTTTTCCACGTCACCTGGCAAAGTCCAGTCCAGTCCCGTCGTCCGCTCGTCCCTCCCGCTCTCTCTCTCTCTCTCTCTCTATCGCCGCCGTTCGCTCCACGACGCTTCACACTCGAAAGCCCCACTCACCCACCCACTCACCCACGCGGCGCTCGACTCCTCGACAGCTGCTGCGTGCAAGCAACGAACAGACGAGCGGGTGGGCGTGTCTTACGTGAGTGAGTCACTTTTGCTTTTCCTCGGTCCGTCCCGCACTCCTTCTCGTCCTTCCATCACCCCTTGACAATGGCCACCGCTGCCACCCATCACCATCGCTCGACCACGACACCTTCGAGCCAGAGCAAATACGGGTATCCGCTCAACTTTGACTGGAAACATCCGTGGCCACGGGCGCCCACGCCTTTGAACGAAGACGCGCGTCTCGCTGAGCTCGCGCGCTACCGCATCCTCGAGTCGGAGCCTGACGAGAAGTTTGACAAACTCTGTCGCATCGCGTGCAAGGAGATGAAGTGTCCCATCGCTGCTGTGAGCTTCATTGACAAGCAGAAGCAGTGGTTCAAGGCCAATAGCGGCCTCACGCAGCGCCAGATCCCGCGCGACGTCGCGCTCTGTGCCCACACGATCATGCACGCCAAGCGCGCGCTTGTGGTCGAAGACACGTCGCTCGACGAGCGGTTCCAGCACAACCCGCTCGTCACGCGCGCTTCGGCCGTGCGGTTCTACGCGGGTGTACCCATTACTACGCCCAGTGGCTTTTGCATTGGCTCGGTCTTTGTCTTTGACGTCAAGGGCCATCACAATGTCGATGCGAAGATCTTGCACAAAATCGCGGCCAAGGTGCTCAAGTATATGGACGAGCGGCTGAAGCTGTTGAAAGGAGCGACGTCGGACGACGACGACGACAACCTCAATCACAACATCAACGTCAACAACAACGCGGCGACGCTTGCGTCATCCACGTCCCTGTCGTCGTCCTCTTCCCTGTCTTTGTCCCACACAGACGGGCCATCGTCGGTGAAACGGAAACTTGTCTCACCGCCCCTGTCGCAGAAACACAGCACAGAACACCAGCCCGCGGGAGAGACGGCGATGCGGGAGCAGCAGCCCCTGTCGCCCACGCTGGTGAAACCCGAACCCGCGGCCGAACCCGTGCCGGATGTGGAGACCACTAGCAGCGCGATCGTGCAGGCTGCACAAGCTACTGCTACAGCTTCGAGCACGGCCATTGAGGCCCAGACTCAGGGGCAGCAGGGTGGACTGGGCAATATGGGCTCGATGCTCATGAACTTGCTGGCCCGCACGACGGAGACCCAGCAGCAGCTTGCGGCCCAGCAGGGCGTGATGTTTGAGACACTGGGTGAGCACTCGAACCAACTGGACCAGCTGGGCCAGTCCATGAGCAATTTGGAGAAGCGCTTTGAACAGGTGCGACTCAAGAAGGAGCAGCAGCGAAATGCCGCGACTGGCACTCGTCGGTCGAAACGGGTGTAAAAGGAGACGGTGGGAGCAAGTGTGTGTGCGTGTTTTTGTGTGTGGTTTATTTTTTAATGAAAGAATAAGAACGAGAGGCTGCTTGAGTCGAAAGGTTTCGGCTGAATTGGAGCTCGGTAGAGTGAGCGGGGCAACATGCAGGTAGTCCTGTGTCGTAAAGTATGGTGAAGTCTGTTGTTCACCTACTTCTCTCGGGTACCTATTTCTCTCGAGCACCTACTTCTCTCGGGTACCTACTTTTATCGTGCATATTAGCTGGGACAGGTCTACGCTTAATTTATCTATCCGTGGCCCAGTTTTGTTCGCAAAGTACTTGATTTTAACTTGTGGGATGCGGCACGTTGAAGTTGCTGTCAACTTAAGGAAGGTCTTGTTCATCGTATCTGCTGACGCCGCAATTTAAAAAGGCGATGTCGTAATGAAAAGCGTGTTCAAGGTAGGCAAGCAAGCTATGCAGTGACCCTTTGATAGAAGTAATCATATAACTGAATTAAGTTGCAAACCACTATGCAACAGCAGCAGTCACTGAAGAAAGGTGTCGAATTAACCCAGAAGTATACTCTTGCAACGCGATCGGCCTCTGCTTATGGTCGATCATCCAGTATTTGTGATGTGATCATGTGTACCTTTGATCGAGTTTAAGCCAATCACAAGTGTGCACCACAAATAGTGACCTAATCAAAGAGTGACTTCGGACATGCTTGTGTACTAATGACGGAGAACAATAGATTGTACTTACTGCGTGTAACGTGCACCTAGCCGCGTTATTTACAGATAAACAGACAGACGCACGGACAGACAAACACACGTAACATCACGCAAACTTTCAGTTTTACGCACACGACCAGATCAGTGCACTCAAATGTTCTTGTCCAATCCTTTTAGCAAGATAAATTTGTGTTTCGATCAATTAAAGTATAGATGTAGATGATAACGCTCATCCTTCGATGACTTATACCCCTTGACGAATTAATGTAGGCCGTTCAACTCGCAGTTGACTTTTCACTGTCACTGGTCTGCTCACACCATAAAAAAACAATATGACGTACCCACGACAATATACCGATTGATAGATGGCCTCGATTCAAACTTACCTGCAAATTATGAGGGAAATTGAATTGCTCAATATTGATGGAGCAGGAAGGGTAGCGTAGAGAGCGAAATGGCTTCTTTACCGTCCAACGATGGTATTACAGGTGATAGCACTTCTAGTAAAGTAGAAGACAGGGCAAGAAAAGAAGAGGAAGACAATTGCTGTTGCTGAACGCTCCTGAAGCACGAAGAATTGCGACAGATCACCGCGGTACCATCAAAGCGCACGAGTGTTGACTGTGTCGAGCAGCAAGTGTGTGAGTGTGTTGCTCGACACCTCTATCATTAATAATCTAAATCTATTAACACATTTTTGGTTTTTTTCACAAATCTGGGTTTCCAGCGGCAAAGGGGTAGGGTACGACGTGCATACGCGAAAAAACGATCACCCGACCTTTTTAGCATTCAAATGGTACGAATAAATAGTGTCCAAAACTAGTAAAAAATATGATTTATGTCTTTTAGGAATGTATGTGGGTAGGCGTCCGCAAAGCAAGGTAAGAGGTGTCCAGGCAATACTTTTTGTTCAACCTCTACCTTGCCTCTAATTTACCCTATTGGTCCTTGTCTACCTTTGCCCATACCCCACTTAACCCTTTTACCTAGGTAACAACCCAGTAAATCATGTTTTAAATGATTGATTAAAACATTAGAGTTGCAGCTGAAATTAACGATATGACGACATCACCGGTCTATCAAATTAGACTGGATGGGTGGGTTGCGTGAGATCAAGATGTGTACGCCAGGTGGTACAGAGAGCACAATTCACGATTGCAGTTATTTGTCCGTATCACATTCGGTCTTGAATACCATTCTTATCAATTGAAGTGACGCAACTTAGCAACTCCATTGTCAAGAAGCCCCCTCTTCAACTTTCCAGACCCGTCTCCAGATACTAGACTACGGATCGCGAGATAGTTGTGTCGGACTGAACGAGTGCGGCTGCCGCTGCAATCATTCTCCGGCACGTACATGATACCAGCTCCCATCCATGAGCGCAGACAACATTTAAAAATGTGAATATAAACTTTAATACAAAACGAAGCACCTTTGCATGCATAAAGCAAATTAACAACTAGTTATTTGTAGCTCGTGTAATATGTTCAACACTTGTGTGAGACTCATTTTTAGATATTTTGTAGCTGGAACCGCGGTGCGGACGTCAGCGTCGTTGTCGTCGCCGCGGCAGTCGGATTCCTCCACGAATATATAGGCATAGGTATGCGGTCGCGCGTGAAGCCGTCTGCTAAGACTTTAATGAACTTTATTCTGCGCTCGGGGGGGGTCAGACTTCAGCAAAACTCCATGGTGCACTCCGTTCTACACTCTGTGACTATTAGGAAACTCACAGCTCGCAAAATGCTACACAGGAGCCCTTATGTCATGCTTAAACGCTTTAGCCTGTTAGTTATGTGTAATCGGGTAATACGGACGGCTTAACCCTAACTCTACCCGCTACGTTACCCCTCACTTACCGTTTTATATACTACACTGGAATTTACCGTTTTACCGAATAACGAAGGGTGCCTTACCTTGCCAAGGCCTGTATGTAGGCTGATTTTTATGTCAAAAGCTCGATTAAATCAGTCAAGAGAGCCCTAATTCTGCCGATTCGATTTACAAATTTTCCTTTTCGATCAGCTAAAATGCTGAGCTGCAAGGATCAATCCACTTAAGCATCTATTAAGCTGCACAAAGCTGAAGATCGAGGTCACACAAATAAGTACAATCTGAAAAGTTCAGACATTCACCTTGCGCACAGTCACTAATAGCTTCACCCTTCGAACTCACAATAAACTTGACTCATTTTGACAATCGCTTAATTTTTAAATTATAACAAAATGCTACCTAAATAACCTAATTGGGCAATGATATTTTCCACACCCCACTACTTTTTTCCACACACTAAAACTAAGAAGGGTGTTTTTTACGGCTTGTATAGAATCAATATATAGCAAATGTCTAGATCGGTCCAACGCACCGCCACTCACACCACGACAATGCAACTATTAAAATGATCACTACAAAAATTGCTGGAGTCCGGAAAGTCCCTCGAAGTCAATGTGAGTTAGCAAAGGTGATGTCGCGGCTATTCAGTAAAAAGCACACGCCTGATTTTCACACTTTAACTACAGTTCTGACACAAAAAGATAATTAGTAGTTGTGTGCGATCAAATAAGATCATACGAATCCATTGTTGTAAGCTGCAGAGCTAACTTGACACAGTAATCGAACGACCATAAAAATTATGGTAGAGAGAGCAGCTGGGCGGCCAAAAGCAGATCGCTTCCGTATAATAGGAGTATACGGACTTCTATAACGTAAGTCGCGACTTATGCTATTACAACCAAAAGGGACGCACGAGTACGTAAAATTGGGGTAAGCCACTTCAGCGCTGTACAACGACCTTCAAATGAGAAGACGTCGCTACGATCTTAGGCATGACGCGAAAGGCCATATCTACAACCTAATGATTGCAAATCCTCAATCCATTAATTAGAGCCATGCTCGTCATCAGCTTACTCTTTCTCAGAAACTTCAATCTCACATTGATCAGCTCTAACATGTAGCATTATCCATCTCCTTAACAGTTTTTGCGTTTTCAATCATGCGGAATGTGACCTTGCACACTACGCTGTTTTTGAAAAAAGGTCAATACAACCATATTTTGGTTTTAACGGGGATTAGAATAGTAAAAATGGGGGTGGAAATATCGGTGCTCACAAAAAAGGGAAACGTTGAACCTACCAAATTTATGCACTAAATCCACCACCTTATTTTCCTTAACACGACATCAATTTTACTGTCTGATCAATCATAGGAATAATTCCCCAGATGCTTCACGTCCTAATACGCTCTTATTAAAGTGGCATACACATACCGACATTGTGTTTCAATGTAAAATTGACCTACTATGATCCTTTTTCATAAGCAGTATGCAAATATGACTGGCTTTCCAAAGCGGATGAGTTTGATACCAGTCATGTGAATTTCCACCGCTACAGATTCGATGTATGCTACACTCGTATATCGATTCTATATTACGTCGATTGGCATCTGCAAGAGCAAAAAGCTGCAAGGTAGGTTCCATAGAGAATACCTGTGTCATCTCGAGCGTTTTTGCAGGCCCCTAAATATCCAGAAGCGCCATTGCTTGCTACCGGATAGCTTTATAAGTAGCTCATAGTAGTTATGCAGCACATCGTAATAATGTAGTACCTATTGTGGGTCCGTATGTGACCTTCAGAGAGTCGCAAGCCAAGTAATGACAATTCCGCTCGAAAAAATCTTTTAAAAACTTTTTTTAGTCCTTACTGCACGTTTTAATGCAAAATTAATTCATTTCCCAAACACTAGGATGTGTTTGCTGGGGTGATCAAACATTTACATAATCAATTGTCTATCGAGTGTTATCATTACCTCCGTAACTGTCTACCGTCTAGCGTGCTCTCCCTGGAGTTTAATACCGTAATCAATGATTTTGAGCAAATATAGATCATGAAACTAAACAAATACATTAAAAGTACTTGTGTGCCACCAAAATTAAAAGTGGTAACACTTAGAACACTAACAGCCATAGCACGAAAGCAGCAGCAGCAGATTTAAAATCAGCAATAGCAGCAGCGACAAACCGCATATAGCATCAGTAAAGCAATTTTTTTTAACAACATACCAACTGCATCAGCAGCATACTAAAAGCAGCAACAGTGATAAAAGCAACGGAAACAACATAATAAGCAGCAACAACGACATCTACAATATCCGTAGAAAAAACGGCCACACCAGCAGCAAAACCAGGAGCAACTGATACTTTAAAAACAACGTTGACATAATAACTATACCAGAATTTTATAGTGGTATTTACAAAACAAAAACAATGATGGAAAATAGAATAAAAAAATTAACACTGACTGTTCATGTCTGCCTTTTCGCTCGACGATATGAGGAAGCGTTCACGTCTACTATTAGCCGTCGTTCCCACACCCAATAGCTTCCAACTCCGCGCGCCCGCGCCAGATCAAATCTTCGGTTCATCCTATGGGGTCGGTATTGAGCACAGTCGTAAAATTGAACATTGCAATTAAAAATTTTCATTTCGAATTCGTTTTAGTTAAATAAAATATTTTGTTTTACCCAATCGCTGCAGACAATGACGTGCCAATTATATTTTCAGCAATACTATGTAGTTTCAAATCAATAAGCCAATGACAAGCAGCATAAAAATTTATTTTCAAGCGTCGCAAACCTACAAAATGTAAGCTTCATGATTAATAACCTTATCTTTAACTATTCTACAAATCATTTTACTGCTGTGGTACACACTGTTAACAAACGGCATTGCTACCCGTGATGGTTGAAGTAACGATCGAAGTAACGGCTGACGATTTAGAGAGATGTAGGAAGATTAGTGATCGAGTGGAAAGCATAGTGAATGGCTGATTGAGTGAATGGGAGTGATGGAGAGCAAGAACAACTAGTCCATCATGGCAGCAAGAAACGATAACACTAAAAACAATGACAGAACCCTTTTATCACAGCGCTACAGATTTCTTCGTCTCGACTACCATATAGGAACAGGTTATGAGCCCAAGCGGGTCGTCTCACGAGAATAAAACGGCACAGGAGCCGCTGATGTAACGGGGTGAGAGCCCGTTACCGTCTTACACTAATAATTAAGCTGAGGAAGCGCTGTGATTTATAAGGTAAATTTAACTCTGTATTTTTGTGTTTTTATAATTCGCAGTAAGTGCGAATATGTTCCCTAGCTCATGGGAACCACTCAAATACAGAACTAATTATTATTGGCTAATTTTTGGGTCTGGCACCCCAATAATAAACCAATAATAAATAGACGCGCAGTATCCGCTATTCGGATACTGCCTACACTTAATGTATGTAATTATGTAATAAAACCTATAACTACTTAATATAATGGGTTGCCCCATTACATCACCCCCCTCTTTAAGTTGCGCTTACCGTGACGTAAGCGCCATACACAAAAAGTTTTTTTTTAACGAATAGTCCAACGAAAAGCCCAACGAGAACTCCAACGACACGTCATCTTGGTCTTCGAATCTGCTCAGCCACAAACAACTGAGCAGCATGAATCCTGAACACCCACGCGACTCGACCCCAAACGACGGTTGGGGTCATCAGACACTTCGAAGAGAGCGTGCACCGCAGACCATGGATGAAGACTTGAAACCGTGGGGCTTGTACAGCCTTGAAGGCGCGCACCAACCTGAATCACTTGAGACCATGAAGAATCTCTTCACACGATACCGTAACGTTCGAGGCAAGGGAACGAATCACACATACACTGAAGACGCACTGCAAAGATCTTGTTGTGCCTTCATCAGACACTGAAACGCGAGCCGACGTGAAGGGGGCATCCTTCACGTCCTGGATCGAGGGACGCGAAAGTACTCATGGCGACCACGCTATTGGCGACTTACGACGACGCGTATGTCATTTGACTCGTGACGAGTTCCACATGTGTTACGTCCATGTCCGTGAAGGGTGTCCACGGTGTCACATGGAGAGACCGCGACCAATGCGGCAGGAATGGGACGACATGGTGTGTGCACGGAGAATGCCCCAGCACTTCCGACCATGGATTGGCCGCTATGAGAGAAGCCTCATAGAGCTCCGAGTATCTGCGTTGCGTCACATGAGGGAACGCCCTGTCGATCAATGGAGGCGTTCACGTAGTCGAGATCGTTTGTCTTACGACCACCGAGGTCGTTCTCGTAGTCGCTCTCGACCGTCAAGGTATCCAAATGCTCCCGAGCCTCGTAGAAGACGTCGGAGTCGCTCGGGAGATCGTCGTCGATCGCCAATTCACGCACGTTACGGTTCGCGGGATCGTGGAAGGAGTCAGCAGCGTCGGTCGCGTTCGCCGACCTCTTACTGGTCTCGTACTCCTCAACGACGTCAGGAACATCGTGAGCCAGCATACTTCGAGGCTCCCACGTGTCTTCCGTTGGTGAATAACCCAACCATCGGACCTTGTAATGCGTTTCTGAACGACTCTTCGATGCGCCGAGCCACTACTCGGCGCAAGAGGCGTGGGGTCTTCATGACCGACGATACGGTCCACAATCCAGCGTTGCACACCTGATGCATCCACCAAGGGAGGAGGAGCGTCACGACGGAAGGCCTCTTGTGATGAGCGCCGATACACATAATCATACGCCTGTGCCGTCGAACGAAAAGCTGCGGATTCTTCGTGCTGATTCTGAAGAAGAGAAGAATGGCCTACTGGATGCTCGTGAGATGGCCGAGAGTGCCCAAGATTGTGCGGCGGCTGCAACGGAGGCTGCCGAGAGGACTCGACGGGATTAGCAGGGGTTGGTGGAGCGACTTCGCCAACTCGAGACTGCAACGTTTGGAGGTCCTCAGCAGAACGAGTCTGTACGCGCTCAGCAGGACTTGATCCCAATCGTCATCAGCGTCGTCGACTGGGGGGTGTCGGACTTTGAGCCGATACAGACGAGTGAGGAAGGACCAAAGGGAGATCCGCCGGCAGGTAAGCCTTAAGGCGCCCGACATAGAATGTTGGGTGCAAGCGCATAGTGGTAGGTATGTCTAGCGTGTAGGCATCTCCATGGACTTCAACAATCCGAAAGGGCCCAATATATCTTGGCGCTAATTTATTAGCGCCCAAATTCGTTACTGACGTGTCTGGTAATCCGCTTGTCGATAGTAAGACTCTGTCACCTTCTTTGAACGTCAGCAAGTTCTTTCGACCTCGCTTGGCCTCGTTCTCTTTTTGTTTGTCGACGGTTTGTTGAAGAGCATCACGTACAAAACGTGTGATGCCTTGTCGCAGAAATAGAAATTCGGTCACAGCAGCCGAACTTACAGGAGAAGTGGACTCTTTAGGAGAAAAATTACCGACGGGAGACGCTTGGGATGCATCGTGTCGGGACTTGATATGCCGTTGGCCACAAAATTAACAGCATGAGATTCATCGGTAGCCACCTTGTCGTCAACATTACCAATCATCAAAATTTTTCGCGTAGTGTCATCGGAAGATACTCCCCCACCAAGCGTAGAGCTTGTGTGTGGTGAAGCTGAGAGAGCAAGATGCGCTGAAACGCGAGGGTGCCTCGCGGTGCTCACGAAAAATGGCGTCAATCCTGTTGACGCATCGATTGCATTGTTGATTGCAAATTCGGCGAGTGGAAGGAATAAGCTCCACGACGTGAACGATGTCGCATAACTGCGCAGTACATCTTCAAGCACTCAATTGACGCGCTCCGTTTGCCCATCCGTTTCTGAATGGGCCGCCGTAGACATAAGCAAACGCGTGCCCAGTAGTTGAAACAACGTTGCCCAAAAAAGCTGATGTAAAGCGCGGGTCACGGTTCGAGACGATGTATTCTGGCAAGCCCTGGTGTCTAAATATGAGATCAATAAAGATCTTCGCGGTTGTCTCCGCTGTAATGTGCGCGGAGACTGGAGCAAAGTGCACCATCTTGCTAAATCGATCCGCAAAAACCAAGACGCCCGTGCGGTTCTTCTCATCCGGAGGGAGACCAAAGATGAAATCCATACTGACTGAACGCCAGGCTTCCGTAGGAATCAGAAGCGGTCGTAATGGGGCTTGTGAAGACGGCGCAGGCTTCACACGCTGGCATATTTCGCAAGAGCGTACCCATTTCTGGATGTATTTGTACATGCGCGGCCAGAAAAACACTCGAGAAATGGCCGCGAACGTCTTTTCGCGACCCACATGACCACCAGCTGGGGTGTCATGAAATTCATGCACCAATCGTGCTCGAAGGTCGTCATCAGCAGGGATGACGACGCGCGGTGGGTCAAAAACGTCCATCGTGTACGTCAGCAGCGGACCATCAAGCGCGTAACGCTTGATGTTGTCACGCGTTGGTTTCGTCAGCTTCGCGAGTGATCCTTCACTAGGGTGTCGAAGATAGTTGATTATTTCTGAGTAGAAGGAATCATTCGCATTAGACTCAGCAATCTGAGCCCAGATTGACAGCAGGTGCCGAGACCATTGCATTGAGCCCCAGCTCAATACAGCATAAACAAATGTCATCGTCTTCGTCATCAGCACTACCTGGCTGATGGCCCATGTCGCGTCGAGGATTGTAATCGGGACGCCGAGAAAGCGCGTCAGCAAGAATGTTATTCTTGCCGGGCTTGTAAAACACCACGAAATTATACTCTGAGAAGAAAGACAACCAACGAGCCATACGCTGAGACAAGTGAGGGGTCTTGACGGCGGTACGCAGTGATGCGTGATCTGTATATACTGAAAACATCTTCTCGACGAGTAAATATGCCCTGAACTTGATCAGAGCATAACGCATAGCCAGAGGTTCTTTATCTTGTGCCGGATAGTTTCTCTCGGCAGGTTTCATCGGCCGCTGAGAACTCACGACGCGCTCTCGGCTCCCGTCGTCACATTGCATGAGGGCACATCCAATCGCAAAGTTGCTTGCGTCACAAACAACGTGAAATGGCTTGGAGGCATCAGGCAGCATTAGCACTGGTACTTCAGACAAGCTCTTTTTCACAGAGTCGAAGGCAGATTGATGCTCTGCCTTTCATGACCAAACTGCGTCTTTCTTCAGCAAAGTCGACTATGTTTGGATTAGCTCGGCATAATTCTTCGTATACTTATGTAAGTAATTAGCCAGGCCGAGCCATTGTCGTAATTCAGATTGGTTCCTGGGAGTAGGCCATGAGTATATCGATGACACTTTCTCGGGATCAGCACGGACACCTTCGTTGCTGCCATAACAGCCAAGTACTGGAATCTCGGGAGCACAGAAGACACACTTCTTCGAATTGGCATACAACTTGTTCTCACGCATCACTTGAAACACCTTTTTAAAGTGCCGAATGTGAGCCTCCGTGGCGCTAAGATGTTGCTCAGCTCGGCTGTGTACAAAAATGCAGTCGAAGTAGCTTGGAGCAAAACCACGTAGTGGCCGAAGCACTTGTGTCACTATCCGGTTGAACGTCGCTGGAGCGTTCTTAAGCCCTTGTGACATGACTAGCCACTCCCACAGCATCCCACTCGGTGTGCTGACAGCGGTGAACGGGATATCACTCTCCCTCATTAAAATCTGGTAAAACCCGTCTGTCAGGTCGATGGCACTGAAAATCTCGCTGCTGGACATGGTATCATATACCATGTCTTTGCGCAGAATTGGCGTTTGAGCCGGGATCGTAGCTTCATTCAACTTGTTGAAAGCATGTACAATGCGCCAACAGCCGGTGGCTTTCTTCACACAGAAAGTAGGGCTCGAATGTGGCGATATGCTTTCGCGGACGTGTCCAGCCTTACGGCGGCCCTCAAAGAATTAATCAATGCGATGACTTGGTCACGGAGAAGCGGCCACTGCCGCGTAACACAATGCTTAGAGCCTGGCACGAGATCGATCTCGTGTCGTACACCACGATCCGCTGGAAGCTTAGCGGGGATATTCTCCGGAAAGACATCGGCATTCTCGCGAGCGATAGCTTAGGCAGGGTTGCCCGAAGCACAAAGAGCTTCCCAGGACTGTGTTGCGAAACGATCTTTGCGCGCTGGTCGAGCCTCCAAAACTTCTTCTGTAGCTATTCGGCGGTAGATAAGATGCACACTTGCTCGATGTCACCGACTTTGAGGGCATGGAAAAAATCTTTCCATGCTAGGGCTGAGAGAGATGTGATTACAGCAGCAGTGCACGGAGGGCTCGCTACCTCAACGTAGCGGCCACGATGTGAAGACCCTTCCACAAATTCAAGCGCACAAACGGATTCCGTCAATACAGTATCATCGTCAACGGCGCTTGAGCGAGAATTTCGTCGTCTTGGTGATCGGCGTGCACCTTTCTTGCGTTTACGCTTTCTCTTGCGTCTTGAGCCACTGCTCGAGACTGGTACGTCGCTGACGCTGGAGGATGAAGTACCCCCCCGCTAGACGTGGGAGCTCTGTCTCCACCACGTCGTTCACATTTAAGTCCACAGCTTGTTCATTCTCGTCCATAAGTGACGGGGCCTCTTCGTTGACCACCTTAGATGTATGTGGGAGCCCCTGCTCGACCACCTCGGTTACAATCGGGAGCCTCTGCTCGGCCGTTGTGTGTGTATGCGGGAGCCCCTGCTCGACCGCCTCGCTAGAACTCGGGAACCCCTGCTCGACCGAAGTCCGTGTGTGCGGGAACCCCTGTTCGACCGCCTCATTATGAATCGGGAATTACTGCTCGTCCAATGTAGTAGTGTGCGGATGCCCCTGATTGACCGCCTCGATTAGAATCGGGAACCGCTGCTCGGCCGACGTCTGAGTGTGCGGGAACCTTGGTTCGACCGCCTCGTCATAAATCGGGAGCCTCTGCTCGACTGATGTCTGAGTTCGCAAGAAACTCTGTATGACTGACTCGTGTTGTAATTCTATCAGTGTGACTGAACATATCGGACACAGAGGGCCATCTTCCTCTCTGAGCTGACTCCTAGTCGTGGTGAGTTCGTCCACGACCCTGACATCGGGCCAATCAGATGACGCAACCAACAAATTAGCGAACACTTCACTTACATCGTATACGCTTCGCCGTTTGACGGATCGAGATAGCCAATCTAACTTCGGCTGATATCGTGACAGCCACAGTATCCTCAAGATGAATCGAATGCGTAGTTCATCTCGTACACCAGAAATTCATCATCGCTTTGAAACCCGTCAAACGTATATGGTAAAACCACTGTTTTGCGCGGGACACGCTGCGGTTTCCATCAGCAAGTTTGACAACGATGTCACCCGCACCTTCTCGAACCGTAATCTTAGACAGGAGAACGATCAAACATGATGCTCGAAAGCATTTGTTGGATGCAACTGAATCCAACAACGCTCGGAGTGGTTGAGTCACTCCAGCAACGATGAGACTGATGATGATCAGTCTCGAATCGTCACGCGTGGTGGTGGCGTTGAAGTGAGTATGAATCACTTTAAGGCTTGGAGATCGAGTCGCCACCGGATTATTCGTGCTCCATTCCTGCCTGTAGGGCGCCCCAAGCCTACTGGAACCTCTCGTTTTTTGGCGGGACCACCGACGACACCGTATCTCCACGGGAGACAGCTGTGTTCATGGACACCGGCGCAGGTGCTCGGCAAACGGTCGCACGATGGCCTGTCTTGCCGCACCGAAAACACTTTATCGTGTTTTGACTTAGAATGTCGCGGCCAAATTGCTTGCCGCGACCACGAGATGCATCGATAACGTCAATTTTCATGGGCTCTGGGCCAGACATACGCGGAAGTTGTGACGCTGCATGCAAGTATGACGACGCGACCGTGTAATCTTCACGAAGCGCGAGGGCAAAGACCTCCTCGAGAGTCTTCGGTTCGGCACGTGAGGCAGTAGCGTGTCATGCCCTCCTGCATACCGAAGACAAAGACATGTACTTGTGAAGCCATGTCGATCGGCTGTGTGGTAATACACGACACAAGATGTCGTGTTTTCTGCACGTAGTCACGCACCGACAGCTTGCTCTGTCGAAGTTTGAAGAAGTCTGCACGCAATCGTGACTCATCTTGAGGGGGGCTCGAACGCCAGTCGTAAGTTGCGCTGGATCTCGTCCAACGTGAGGAACGCCAACTCGTCAACAACGAGTTTCCCAAGGGCCCATTCTTTGGCTTTGCCGACAAGCCGTGATAGCAGGAAATTAACCTTGGCCGTCGGAGCGTCAATCAACCTTGACGCGATCGCGATATCAATCTCCCGAAGCCAGCGATTAAGGGGGAGACGATCTGGTCCATCACCCGAGTACGTGAACGTCTCCATTTTGATCGCCTCATGTTGGGAGGTTCGCGAGGGAGTCTGTACTTGCCGATTTACTTCGGCGAGCTCGCGAACCATGTAGTCTTGGATGGCGGCACAGTGTTGTTCGAGCGTCGCTGTGCGCACAGAGACGTTACGAACATTTCATTAGACACCACCGCAAGGCGGTGTAATGCGTGCCATTCTTCCGTAGTGAGATGGGGAAAATCTGCATGCTCCAGCGAAACTGCTGGAGCCATCGAAGATTCACTCATATCCATCTCGAACTTGGTCATGGGAAGGACTACAAAGTGCTACCAGGTGTAACGGGGTGAGAGCCCGTTACCGTCTTACACTAATAATTAAGCTGAGGAAGCGCTGTGATTTATAAGGTAAATTTAACTCTGTATTTTTGTGTTTTTATAATTCGCAGTAAGTGCGAATATGTTCCCTAGCTCATGGGAACCACTCAAATACAGAACTAATTATTATTGGCTAATTTTTGGGTCTGGCACCCCAATAATAAACCAATAATAAATAGACGCGCAGTATCCGCTATCCGGATACTGCCTACACTTAATGTATGTAATTATGTAATAAAACTATGACTACTTAATATAATGGGTTGCCCCATTACAGCTGATAACCAGTCACACAAGGGCTTCGTCGGAGCCTGCCGTAGTCGTACCTTCGCACGCTCACGCAAGGAGCGCGGACAACGATGCGCTGCAGACGATTCTTACGATGCTGAGCGGCACGGACGAGACCGTGCAGAATATGGAGCTGTTCCAGGCGAGAATTGACCAAGACGAGCGCATGCGTGTACCAGTGAACAGAATATTGGCGCGGACTTTGCGGACAAGCTTCACCGTAACGCGCTCGACTGTTCGTACTTGCCAAGCCACCATGCGCGATTTTGTGTCGATCGTCAGCGTGCGTAGCGCGTACAACAGCCGCCTGTCCAGATACCAGCGTACCAGCCTCCTCCTCTGCCACATCGACAGGAATCACCAGCTGCGCCGATGCAATCACCTCCTCCAAACCAGTTTCGGACGCCTGACGCGAGGCAGTGCAAGCTCGAGATTCGGAAGTTCGATGGGACTAAAGTGTACTTCGAACTCGGGTCCGATTTCTTAGACTTGGGCAAGACTTTCTGGAGACAAGTAGACATGGCTCAAGAGTCGCGTGTATTCATGTGAGCCGAGAACGTCAAGACTTATGTTCTTGGCCAGCACCTGACCGGCACATCAAAGCGCTACTTCAGCCAGTAGGTCGACACGTGGTGGCCGTGATACCGACTCTCCAGTACGTGATGCAGCGCATGCTTGATGCATTCACGACGATAATCACTGCAGCTCAAGCAATAAATCTGTTCACGACAAGGAAGGAGGCAAGCGCTCGAGGCCGGACCACTACCTGCACCTAGCCGCATTCAGCAATGCGGATGGCGGCGCCGAGCATTAGGTGCTTGATAATATCGTGCGGAATGCATCGCCCGAGCTGTCGACGATTCTGATGGCAAAGTACGAGACACATCGTGTCAGCTACGTAGTGCACGTCGAATAGCTCGCACATTTTGCGCAGGAAATCGAGATGGAAGCTCGACCGGGACGCTTCTTCGGAAAGGAGGTTGTCGCACACGTGGATGAGTCCACGCCGCAAAAGGAAACACGTACCTGATACGGATGTGGCAAGATTGGACACGTTGAAGCCTACCGTCTTGACAGGAGGACTAGCGACAAGAACAGCAGTCGTCGCGGTAGGCAACATTGTGCTTGCGATTGTCGAAGGCACCAGCAAGAAGGGCAAGCGTCGTGCCAATTATAATCTGAACCTGGCAATTTGCAACGGCAGTGACGGAGAAAGCGACGACTGGATTCTGGACAGTGTATCCAGCCGCCATCTCGTCAACAACGCTTCTCTCGTACAAGTTGTGCGATACTGCGAGCTCGAGTGCCACCTAGCCGACGGTGAGGGTATCAAGCTGTCGCGTTCAATAGCGTTTTACTGACAGTGAAAGCAGAAGACAATGAGCGAGATGTTACGCTGACGGAGGTCTACCTCGCACCTGATCTATCTATAAATATCATATCATAAGGCAAGCTAGATCGCAAGGGTTTTGGAATCACCTACGACGGCACGAAGCACGCACTTGCGAGATGAAGCAATGGAGAAGTCGTGTTTGACATCCAGATGGAAAAAATGTTCTATACGTCGAGACAGTGGCACTGACACGCGCAGGGACACCACGCGATGTGCTGATGGCGATCCTAATGCAAGATTCGACAGATTTATCAGCCTGAATGCCCAGAGTGGCTTGCTTTACCACTGTCACCAGCGTCTGGGTCACTTGGCGTACGAAACGGTCGAACGCATGGCAAGCGATCCAGAGTCCGGCATTACACTCTTGAATCGTGCGAGGCCGACGTGCATTTTGTGCGTCCAAGGCAAGCAGACGAAGAATGCACATTCACGCAAGGACACGGGTGCCAACTAACCTATTAACCGCATTGGTGGCGTCATTTGTTTGGACCTCAAGGGTCCAATAACCCCAAAGGACCGGCTCGTAAATCGGTACCTCGTCAATTTCGTGGACCATAAGTCCAATTACTGTCGCGTCTTCCTCGCTCCAAAGAAGAACAAGGCCGCGAAGAAGTTTGAACGCTTTTTGGCATCCTTTGAGCTCGAGTTTGAGTGCCGCATCCACGTGTAAAGGACGGACGTTGGTGTCAAGTACGCGAATGCCGGCCTCTTTTGTAAGTCGACTGGTGTCGTACTAATGGTCAGCGAGGCACGCAATAGGCATCGAACGGCAAAGCCGAGCGCATGCACGAAACGGCGTTAACATGGCGCGGTCGATGATCTTTAAGAGCCGACTTCCCGTTTCATTCTGTGATGATGCGGTTAAATATGCGGCATACATTCTCAACCGCAGCTCGACAAGTGCGAATGCGAAGCGAGCGTGACCATTGGAAGTGCTGACAAAGCACGCGCCTGACTTGCGATGCAGAGTAGCATTCGGCTCTGTTTGCTCTGTCTACCGCGACCCACGCAAGGACTCGCTGAGAAGTGATCGCAAGTCGATGTCATCATCGGACGCAGCGATGAACCCAAGGGCTACAGAGTGATCCTTCAGAAGGAAAACAAGGTCACGGTCACGCAGCACGTGAAGAATATTGATTCACTCAGCTAGGCGCAGAACAATCAGTTACAGAGAGCGCTCAACTACGAGGATCAAGCAGAAGCGACAGAGACAGCAACAGCGACGGCGATCCAGACGCCGGCAGACCCAGTTCCGGCTTTGAAGATCCAAGGTGGAAAAAAATTGAAGTCATGGACGCGTGCTGCACACAGGATGCGCAGTGCGGCGAAGAGTTCGCAGGCATATGGATACAGAAAGAGCCAGCACGTGACGAAAGTGTGGTGGCTCACGTATATGAGCGCGACGCTAACAATTAAGGGGAACAGATACGCAGCAGCTGCCGCGAAGGATGGGAAAAAGCTTTATGCGTGAAGAGCTTGAAGCGCTCGAAGACAACGGCTTGTGGAGCTTCATTAAGCGGCCACCCAGCAGCAACGAGCTACAGACCGTGTGTGTATTCAAGACAAAGACTGAAGCGCACGGCGACCTCGAGCGACTCAAGGCTCGACTTATTGCGTGTGAAAACGAGCAGGTCTATGGTATCGACTACCAGCTCACCTCCGCGGCAGTCATGGACATGTCCACGGTGAAGGTGCTTTTGGCTCTGTAGGCGACGTGTAGCGTACCCGCTAAACACGGTGACATACCGAAGGCGTATGTGGAGGCGGACAAGGAGTCTAACCTCGAGATACTGCTACAGGTATCACAAGCCATGGAAGTCGACGAGGCGAAACTGTAGAAGCTAGGTGTGGCAAGTAAGAAGGAACTGGAAATCGAGCTTCGCAAGACTTTGTACGGCCTAAAGCAAGCCAGACAACTCTGAAGCCAGCTCCTGCATGCAAATCTATGCAGCGCGTAATTTGCACAGCTTGTGGTAGACATGTGCTTCTACTAGAAGAGTGACGGAAAGGAAACCGTCGTGGTAGGCGTCTACGTCGACGACCTGCTTGCAACTGGCACCGGAGCAGCTGCAGTCGATCGTTTTTTTGCCAGCCTCGCGAGCATGTCGACCAAGGACCTCTGCCGTGTGAGTAAGTAGCTCGGTATGAGAGTGGCGCTCGATGGCGACGGCGGCTGCGTTCTGTATCAGGAGGAGGCGATCAGCGACTTGCTGCTAGAACATGGCTTCATGGACGCAAAATCGACATTTACACAGATCGGCGCCGACTGCTATCAAATGCAGTCGATCGACAGCGTGCAACTCAAGGCCACGAGCACGAATGGAGCGCCTATAAATAGAGAATTCCAGTCGCTCGTCGGATCTCTGCTTTGGGTCGCGCGGTGTACGATATTCGACATTGCGTTCGCCGTTCACAAGACGAAGCGACAGACGCGTGAACCGTGGCTTCACGATTGGAAGCCCGCGAAGCGTGTGGATCACTACCTTGAGGGAACGAAGACGATGAAGATCAACATGAAGCCAAGAAATGTCGGGTGCGCGTCTATCAAGATCTTTCATTTAACGACGCCGACTTTGCCCCAGATAAAAGCGACAGGAAGTCGTTGACCGGCGGCGCAATCCTCCTCAACAACATGGCGATCAGCTGGAGCGCCAAGAAACAAGGTGGCGTGTCCCTCTCGACAATGGAAGCCGAGTTCGTAGCGGCGTCAGAGATCGCTCTTGAGCTGCTGGGCGTGCGCGAGATGCTTGGCGAGATCGGAATGGCGCAGAGCTACCGATGCTGATGCACTTCGACGACCAAGCGGCAATTATACAGCTCGAGGGTGAGGCGTCGTCACTTAAGGCAAAGCGTATTGACGTAAGAGTCAAGTTTGTTTGCGACTTTGCTCGGCACGGAATCGTGCGCGCGCAGTAGGAGAGATCGGATATAATGCTCGCCAATATTCTCACGAAGGCACTTGACCCGCACAAGCTGGCGACGATACTCACTTTGGTGCACCTCGGTTAAAACGGTAAGTCGTAGCGAGGAAGAAAGTTAAAAAAAGGGCATTACTACCCGTGATGGTTGAAGTAACGATCGAAGTAATGGCTGACGATTTAGAGAGATGTAGGAAGATTAGTGATCGAGTGGAAAGCATAGTGAATGGCTAATTGAGTGAATGGGAGTGATGGAGAGCAAGAACAACTAGTCCATCATGGTAGCAAGAAACGATAACGCTAAAAACAATGACAGAACCCTTTTATCACAGCGCTACAGACTTCTTCGTCTCGACTACCATGAAAGAATAGTGCTACCTTACACGCCGTGCCGAGTACGCTGTAGCGTGTTTCCTTCTTACGGATAGATGCATTAGATAGGGGAGAAAAACCTGGAGCTCGCTTTTTCATACAGTTGTTTAAGTCCGTTGAACTGAATCAAGTTCTACATATATGTACCTTAAACTTGGTCACTTTTAGCTTCACCCTTTGGCCTCGCAATATCGCTAATCGATTGCACTCTGATTGTCAGTCGAATGAAAATCCAAAAAAATCGACAATCAACACGTAAGAGTGCAAACCCGATGCCGTATTCTGATTGAAAATGACTTCCTTACTTATTTTGTCGTGTCGAACAAGCATGCGGGTATTTTCTTAGTTGCAGAGATTATGGCAATGTCCAGTGGCTGTATCAAGTGTGTTGCATCCACAGGTAGGCATACAATGATCATTACGAGTCTTTCTCCTAGAGTAACCTGTCCGACAGATAAATGAGACAATCATCCATCGAATATGAGCAATTAGGGACAAGTTGCTGTTGTCGTTTGCAAGTCGATGAACATCTCAACGCAGCACATATTATTAAGCGGCTTATGAAATCACTGATTGTGCAGGTAACCCGCGTCGCAACCGAATGAGCATTCATCGATCATGTTAAGGCTCACACGCTCACTGGGTACGATAAAGAGTGGAGGCTTGAAGTAATTTGAAGCACTGGCGCATGCAACGACAGTGAGATTAAAGTTGTTGGAAATGGAGAAAGACCACACATTTCGTGAGCCACGAAGGACGACCACCTATGTCTTTGTCGGCGTTCAGAAATGCTTGTTTCATCCATGTTATAGATGTGGCTTGCTTCGAGACGATTCTCGATCATAAGTTTTTCACGGGTTGAAAAAGAAAGCCGAGACTGACTTCAGTGCACGATTTTTATGCTCGCGATATTATTTTTGCCTGCCTGTTTGTCGTCGTAGGGTGTCGCTGCATAAAGCAGTGTACCACCCGTCAGACAGGGCGCACACAAAACCGTGGAGACGAAACAAAATATCGCTTACTCTAGAGAAGATTTCTTTGCGCGTAGCTGGCATGCCGTGGGCTACGTTTCGATTGCCCATTCAACGAGATGTTTCTCGCCGTTTTCAGTTAAGATTGGAGTGAGGCCACGTCGACAGGGGTACTCACATTATTGCCCTGCTTCATTTTGACATACTTGTAGAGAGTGCGCAACACAAAACGCGTACGCTAGGGTACAATAGCTGCAGATGTAGCGTTGCATACCCGCTGGAAGGCTCCCTGGAGAGCTGCAACGGTGTTTTGTCGGCGTAAAGTCATCTTGTTTGGTAATGCACGCGGGATAGCAGCAGTGAAGTACAACTGCGTATTCTGCGGTCTACATTCGTTCGTTAAGTTCCATAAACTACTAAAGAAAGAGCATTATTATGCACGGCCTATTACTTATCCAATCAAAACACTTATTTTTTTTACCTGCTTAAAGCATTGGACAATAAGATTTGAACGTATTAAACTAGTCGTGTGCATTTAAATGCAAGTATACGGTATACAACGTTATTGTAGGGTTATTCATTTGATCTTCGCTTTCTTGTAGTTCCGTCGCCGGCGGTTTACACAACTATGCAACATTATTTGCCCTTTGAAAAACCAAGTTATGAATCAATAAGTCGCCGCAACGTCGAATTAGACACGTCTGCGACTATAAATGTTTGGTTTTACATTTTCCACCACCTATATCGTTAGGATTGATTTTCTTCTTCCTTCTGAGCTGCAATTACATATCTTACTATTAGGTAAATTTCTTTATTTTATATACGTCCCCATCGTCGCAGCATGAGTCAGTTAGCATTGTGTGGCCCAAAGAAACGCTTTCAAGTTATGCGTCCAGCGTGAAGACGTATGCGATAACGCCTTGGTGATGTCCTTTTAAGCAAAGGTGATGTTTCATCGTGTAAACTTCATTCTAACCTTGATTGGATATGCGAGCGAGTATTATGACGAGCATACTCCGGGATTGGCATTTAAACGTAGAAGGCAATACTTGGTAATGTGAACTATCGATAGCGCGCAGCAGTAGATGTGAATTGACATTTGTTGCCGATACAGCTCTTGTTCGAAGACTGATTGTCCCACGAATCGTAAACGCATCGGCATATTTAAACCCAGTCACAAATTTCTTGAATTCGCCACGAGCGTTCGCTGCAATTGAAATAGTCACTACTATCTTTATTGATGTTAAAGAATTATTTGGACGACACAGCCATGTAATCGTATGCTCAGGATGCATCAACTCCGTGTTCCGACAATTTACCAGCATATTTATCGATAATGAGCTACTAAAACTAAAAAAAGGTATATAGATACAAGGGTAAAGACTTTACTTACTTTAGTCAGGAGAAATGTTTGGTTGAGAGCATGGACAAAGGTGGCGCGTTCCTAATCCTCTTGACCTCAACCTTTCTTATAGTGATCTTGTACATGTATTTTACGAGGAGCATTACACTCGATCACTTGGTGACGTCTCATTTCCACAGTATTTGAGGCCCGTATTTTTTTAACTGATTTCAATTGCGTTTCGTTCGAGTTCTTATAAGTATTATTACCGCTCATAGTCTCCGCGTCAAAACTGGATGGCGGCAGTCATCGATGCTAGTAGCATAATTTTTTGCTTATCACGCTTCTTTTCGGCTCCTTTGGCTACACATCCCCTTTGAAGACGCACACAAGAAGCGTAAATATGAAACGATTTAGGTCCATGAACAAATTTAAAGCAGAGTTTGCCAATGAAACATCTGCTTTGGGAACCAATTAATTTCCAATTTTGGTACATTTTAAACTGTTGCTTAATCGGGGTAAAACTGCTGGCGAAAACACATCATTTTAAGCCTTGATCAAGTATTTCTCCATCATAATACTATTCTAATTACTCTGGGTATTTTTATATCCATTTTCTTTATGGCTAAGTCGACTTGCATCATTTACCAAAAACTATACACTCTGAATACTATCGCAGATCCTTTTGGTTTGGAAACTGACTTCCTTTCTGTCTTATTTGCATAAAATCATTGAAGTAAAAATCGAAGTTGATCCGCACCTCCTATCTAGTCCCTTGGCTATGGAACGCAGTGAAAAAACTTCGGTAGCAAGTCAAATGGGTAATGAACATGAAACTGTGAAGGTGCAACTGCCGTCCCAAGATACGAAGCGAAAGTGTCCGGCACGACTTTGACAAATATATATAGGTGCGACAACGGCCACGGCGTTGCGAGCTGTGATAGCTGGAAGAAGGCAAAATGAAAGTGGATTCAGTGCTAGAGAGGTCCTAAGTTCGATACGTTGTGCTACCCTAAGCTTATAAATATATACTTTTACGATACTACCAACCAACGGTGAATCGATACCCATCGTTACTCAAAATACCGTGATGACGTATCGGCTATATTTGTGCTGTCTCTGCGATGTTGTACCGTCTCATCCGTTTATGTGCATGAGTGATGATGATCCAAAATAGAAATACCATCAATTCCTGTGGAACATACGCTTCAAACATCTAAACGAATATCAATGTCAACGGTTTAGTTAGGGAGTCCGAAATTAGCAACTTCGTGTCACTATAATGCAGTTTGATAATTCGTCCTTTACTTGATCACGCACAAAATGTAAATCATGTCGATGTGCTACAAACTACTATTTAACGTCGTTATTCGCGATGATGGACATGAATCCCGGGATTTATCGGTAATTCTACTTGCTACTAGTCCGGTCGGCTTCCATACATGCATTCTACTATTACTCCTCTAGATCTCCTTCAAAGTGCATTTTTTCTTCTTCGTCTTACTATGCGACAATACTCGTATGACCGTATTCTAGTGCTCTCCATGCAAAAAATGTAGGTGCTGACCCGACTGGAATACCGAATGTGCGATATCCGGTATCTTGACCGTTGCCACATACCCTAATGACCCCACAAACAACCGATACAGTCGATTTTTCATTAATCGGTCCGTCTTGTCTATCTTGATCACTAAGTAGACACCAATATTGAGTCAATGTTGAGAACGTTTCCATCATTCTTTCAATGCATAATCCATGAATGATCTTCAGCCGCCGACCATCGAGCAGGTACTTAGTTCAGTTCCTGTAACAAAGCGAACACCCCTAGTGAATTCATCTTGATATGAACCTAAAGTTAAGCTGCAGCATCATTATCTCACTGATCGATTCACATCCGATCATCAGATCGTAAACATGCAATATAATGCAAATCCGCGAACTTCCATCCGTCCGACAAAGATGCACGATCCTGGCACATATAGGATACATCTCATAACCACGAACAAACTCGAAATGGTCATGTTACTGCCTCTTTCTTCAATCCATATAAGCTCCAGATTAGCTTGAGTACTTGAACACGTTCCGTTTTCACTTCCAATGGAGGGTATACGCACAACTTTTCTTCCAGAAACCTAAATAAGAATGTGTGTGTATGTTGTCCTTTTGGACCAATATCCCTTTTTGGCGAAACAGCACCAAATCCAAATTTATGTTACCACACGTCCGTGCACAGTCATCCTTCAACAGATTCCCTAACTTAACGTGTACCACACAACTCTCTCGCGTCCGCTGCGAACCACCAATTCCTCCGTCAGTCACTGTCGTATCTCCCCGAAGATCTTATTCCAGTAAGAAGCTACAGACGAAAGTCCTCCTTGCGTTATCGGTCTCCTCTTACGCCCTTTGGAAACGACCGTCAGTTCAGTGACATGACACTCGGTGCTCGGGATCCTGCATGACGCCCTCATCGCCAAGAAGATCCGCACATGGCAACCGACATATGAAGAGCCCATGGTCTTGTATCTGGGCCTTTGCGTGAAGCTCCAAATGGAGCGCGTGGCAAAGGACGGACTCCACCAGTACCGCAACTTGTGTATCCAGCACAATCCCGCGTCGCTCGAGACGGTCATCAAGCACTTTGCTCTCCAAGCGGAGCGCAAGCTCGCAGCTGCCAAGCAGCAAAGCAATGAACTGCATCTATTGGCTGGTGCCATGGTGGACTTGGATGCTGGCCAGACGCCAGAGGCGTGATGCTGTCCATGACGACGTTTGAGGGCTCGAACGACCGCTCGGACCGTGAAGTCGTCGTCCCGTGGCTATGGTTCATGTGGGAAACGTATTGCACGGTGCTGGACATACTCAAGAGCAACTCGAAGCTGGAGGTGCTGTACAAGGTGACAGCTATGCAGACGTTTGACTTTCGTGCTGAGTACCAGCGCAAGATTGTGTTCCGGCGATTGTGTGAGATCATGCGCAACCACACGAGTGCCTTGCAGAAGCATGTAGCAACACAAGCCAGTCGACGCGCCAGATGTGCAGCTGAGATGGTTGTGCGCCCGAAAGTGTGGAGATTATGCTTGAAGTGCGCTACCGTCAGCTTCAAGTTGCCACGGACCTTGAGCTCTTGTCGGAAGCTTTTCGCACTATTGACGACATTAACGACAATTTAAATGTGGTGGAGCAAACCCCGCGCGTCAATCTGCTCGTCACGTACTACTAGAAACTCGCGCAAATCTTTCAGGTGTCCAAGAACCATTTGCTCCACGCTTATGCAGTGTACAAGTGGTACTCGCTACGGGTGGCTAGTCTTCTGGACTTGGTGGCGCCCAGGTGCTGCGGAAGCTTTCGATGCTTCTGTCGGAAAAAGAGCACAAAGAGATTGCTACGCGTGTGATACTCGCTGCTTTGTCAATCCTGCTGCTGGACTTTGAATCGGCCTCATCCGTTTTGAGCAGCAACGAGCCTTATTCGATGACGCAAGTCGCGGGCAATTTCGCTCTCTGCTGCTGCTCGTGACGAGAACGCATGGATGGCTTCCCTACTGGGCTTTGCCACAACACCGACGCGTGCCAATTTGCTTGAGAATATTGAAGCCGCTGGTTTGCTAACCAAGGCCTCGAATGCAGCCACCGAGATCTTTCTGCGTCTAGAGCTGCAGGAGTTGCACCCTCTGCAGATTGTGAAGCAGCTCAATCCAGCGCGGCAGCAACAATGCCGCGACTTCGTCGGCAGACGTTGTATCGTCGGCACAGGCGCGTACTAAAACTCGCATCGATCACGTGGAGCAGTGTATTCGCTTCCGCGATGCGTTGGATTTGGAGGCGACTGCTGCTCAGCTTACTACTCTAGGCGAGCGTCTTTTACATGCCATGAGCAAGGTGCCTACTACCGCCTCGTTTACTAAAGCCGCTCGCCACGAAGAGAAGCGGAAGCATTTTGCAGCCACTTGTGCCAGCTTGAGCAAGCAGCATCATGAGATGGTGGCTCGTCGTGAAAACATCGAAAGGAAGACAGAAGAGCTCGAGAAGCTGCAGCACGAGAAGCTTCAGTCTCTGAAAAAAAGCGAACGAGTTTGTGAAACAACGCACGAAGCTCGAGAGGGAGCGACTGAGTCAGGATGTTTGTCGTCGCGAGGCTGAGAAGAAGCAGAAGATTCAGGATGAGATTAAGCTGAGGGAATTTGTCAGATGTTGGACAAGCTTAGCCACACTGACCTGACCGATCTTAAGATCGTCTACGATCAACACGGAAAGGTACTAAACGAAGCCAAGGAAAAGGCTCGCAAGGCAAAAGAGCTTTCTTAACAAAAGCTGCGCGAAAAAATGCTCGTCGTCTGAACTATATTGTGCGTGCGACACGCGAGGAAAATCAGTCTATCTTGCAAGTCCGGGTTGCTGAGGCTCTGAAGCACTACGAGCAAGACACGGCCGCCAAGCTAAAACGTGCCGAAGAAGAACATGAACATGATTTGAAAGAGAAGACCCGTCTGGCTGTGGCTGCCCGGGTGAGTGCTAAGTTTGTAGAGACTTACAAAGCCGGGCGGATCGAACTGTACAAGAAGGCGTCCGAGATGCAGAAGAAGGAGGCTATGCTGGACCGTCCAAGCATTCGCGTGGCACACGCAAAGGAGCGCTATGAGGAGGAGCTGCGCCGGTTGCGTGAGGAAGAAGAAGAGGAGAAACGCATTCATCGCGAGGAGGTGGCCGAACGTGAACGTCAGCGCCAGTAGGAGGTTGCGAAATAGCTGCGCCGTCAGATAGAGGAAAAAGCCGTGAGGTCTCGTATTGCTGAAGAAGAGGAGCGGAGGCAGAAGGAGCAGCTTGAAAGTGAGGAGGAAAGAATAGAGTTGAGCAGCGCAGCGAGGATCGTTTTGGTAGCGCTGGGGCTCGTGGACTATCTGGAGGATTCCGCGACTCGTACTGTAGCCGGGATGATGATCTCCGTGGCAGTGACACGGATGATGGCGAGTGGCTTCAGGCTACTCGTGGCGGCTCGTCCAGTCGTACCCAAGTTGCAGCCCCTGAATGTCGGTGGGAGCGCCGCGGACCTTCGACTAGCGAAAGCTTTGGTGAGCGTGATAGACGTGAAGGTGGCAGTCTGCGTCGTCTGTTTGACGGCGACCGTATTGGGAACGATGGTGGATTGCGCCGAGCCTTCGGTGCCGATCGCGAAAGAGCAGTTCACGCTGGAGTGACCGCCGTAAGGGTGGCGGCCGTGATGGTCAAAGTACGTTTCGTCGTGGTGGTGGTGACCGTGATGGCTGTGAAAGCGCTATTCGTCGTGGTGGGGACCGTAAGGGAGAAGGCATGGGTGGTTGTACCGGTGAAGGCGACGTCTCTGTATGTCCCGGTGGGGACCGTGATGGTGACGATCGCTTCAGTACCCGTTTCCAGCGTGACAGACCTTACCGCCCGCAACGCACTGTAGACCGTGAGAGGTCGTCTTGTGAGTCTGCTGCGCTCCTGAGTCTGGTCGCTGGAGGTGGTTTTGCAACATGTCGGTGCTTGTGTTTGTATTGCAATACCTACCCTTTAAGCTAGCACCTGAGAAGTGAAGGCATCAAGTGCGTCGGCATTATTTGTTGCAACTTTTTTACGATCCCTTTGCTGCCAGACGTGCTACTACTATATGAAATTTGAGTTCTTTGACGATGGTCGTCTTTCAGATCGTTCAACTTGTTGCTCAAAGCTATCTTGTGGAATTGAGGGCTAGAAGAAATACACATTCATGTCGTCGCAATATAAGCAGCAGATCCCTGATCATTGTGGCACTTACCAGCTGCGGGTGTCCCGTCCTCCCTTTGAGGCACCTATGAAACGCATTGTTTACGTATCACCAGCTTCCGAGGAGAACAAAATTGCACAAAAGCGTCCGTCGGAATACTTGGTACGATACAAGTTAAAGGAGAGAAATGTCCAATACCGCGTCATGTCCTTGTCGGAGTCTAATACTTCGTAGAACGAAATGCCTGGTAGACAAAGCTACGCCTCAGTGCAAACACTAGCACGGATCAACGTATTCTCGTCGCCACTTCGGTAGGCAAACGCCCGCGTTTTCACTCAGAGTTTATTTCACTAACATTACCTCCAACCGTCAACTCTTCACCGCTGTAGGTCTGGAGCTGTACAAACTGTTCTTCACCAATTCAGACTCGTGTCACCCCCTACATCAGTACAGTGAACATCCGATGCTCAACACTCCGCTCTTGGCGTACGATACGCCACGATGGTCCTAAACGATTGGTGTGTCATATAATTATAAGCATCGCTGCGTTAACTATCGTAACTACAGATTAACTGTTTGATACATTAGCTCATGCAACAAAACTCGCAAACTGTAATTATCATGTCGATCTTCGTGCTATTTATTTAAATTGGGAAGAAAAGTGCCCCAGATCAACTGAAAATATAAATAATGCTCTCGATAAGTGGACAATAAAAAAGTGTCCCATCTAATTACGAAATAAAAACTGGCCCGCGTCCTTATTTACTCAAGTAAGAGTGGTACACATAAATCGTACCGGAGCTTTGATGAAGGACTTAACCTCTCATAATCACCCATCACACGCAATATGCAAAAACGATCGACCTTCTTTACCTCTTATAGTCTCCATGTCCACCGTGCTGCCCTTGTTTATAACTATTAAAAGTACTAGCAATTAATGCAACAGCACTGAAATGTCGCCATCAGCACTGGTTTAGCCGTCAAATAAGTAAATGAGAGTCAATCAGATAGAATGGATACATCATAGTCTATTTCGCGGTTAAGTATGCTTAAGTGACTGTAGCGTACAGGTAGGAAGCGCATTCCTGTCCTGCAACTATAACAGCAGGCCTGTGCTATCAACAACAACACCACACAACGGTAGTAAAACCTAGAACACTCACAGCAGTAGTAAGAGCAGCCGTAGAAAAAGGAGCAATAACAGTAACAAAAACAGCAGCCACACCAGCACCGACAACAGCCACATCAGCAGCAACAACATTAATGATTATGACATCAGTAGCGGTCACAGCAAAAACAACGACATGAACGACTGACACAAAATAATAATAGAATCAATTATAACATTTGAAGACAATAATAAAAAAATACTCGACCAATATCGAAATAACGCGTCCGTAAATATCAGCACCGTTGCCTACGTTTACGGCTGTGGCTGACGAAACAAAGATGCGTTACATCTTCTCGATGCTTTTCACGCCCACAAATACGTAGCACAGCGGGCATTATTTTATTTTCTGTTCATCTGATGCATTATTTATTTTCTGTTTATCTAATGCATTTTTCGATTTCCGTGATGATCCAAATTTTCGGCGAGAGTGGTGCCTGGACTTCGGGCTGCAATGGCTCGCTATGAGCCTTACGATGTTTAATCTTGACAAAAACTACTATTTAAGGACCAAGGAATCGTACTCCAGGCTGGTGTTGACAATGGCCGTGTCCAATTCGGAGCAATCCCGAACGTCTCCGCCACTCAACGCCCCTGCTCGGCGTCGCTTCCGTCGTCATGGCGTCGGACCTCGTCTCGTCCGTCTCCACGCGGCTGCCAAGCGCCAATCTCGCGGACGTGATCGATGGACTCAGCAATCGCTTTTCCTAGCAAATGAATGCGCTCAGCTGAAGCCGCTAATGGCGCTCGAGACCGACACCGACATCGAAAAGCCCTTTCACTGCTATTTGACGTGGCGGTGGTCACTTTCAAGTCCGAGCACGGGTTTTTGATCGCGTGTACCAGGATTTACAAGCCGAGAAGAAGGTCAGTAGTTTCCACGTCTTCGGCTGGTAGCTGCACCGTGTAATAAGGTCAACTGGCCGATGAAGTACAGCTTTGGAAGCTTCTAGAGACCCTATCGCTTGTTAAGAGCTCGGATAAAGGGAACTTCAGGGTCTACACTCAGATTAAGTGGAGACATTGGTGACTGCTGAAAACGAGAGCTCAGCTGATGGTCGAGTGTTGCGGCTAGCAATGGCAAATTCACTGGACCAGAGTCCGGACAAGAAAGTCAAGGTGCTCGGGGTACTTGGCAACGTACAAAGAGAAAGAGAGCGATACGGACAAGGAGCAGCCGCTGCGCACGTGTAAGGTGGTGTTGGAGAGCTTGGTAGTGAGCTTCGTTGCGTGCGTGGACTTGGCTGCTTTGCCAGTCGTCAAGACCTTGTTACTCAGTGATCCCGTGTTTGACCTGCTGGACATCGTGTCGACCAAGACGTTCAGACAGTTCGCGCCGTCTTGGATCTGCGCGAAGAGTGTACTTCTGGACAACGGACTAGAAGAAGCCAACGTGGCTGTTATCTTGCGTTTGTTCACGCTGTGCACGTTATCTACGGGTTTCCAGGCGAATCCTTATGCTGGCGTGGCGATGGCCCTCGATATGGGCGAAGAGGCTGTGGATCAAATGGGTGGTGCTTGCCATTACGGCGGGGCTCGTGAATGCGAAGATTGACCAAGTTGTTCGTATCGTGACGACCTCGCTCGCTACAAAGTCGTTATGGAGATGATCAGTGGAAAAAGAAGCACGCAAAGCTGCAATTATACAAGGCAAACGACGGTGCTTGCTGGATGTTATTAGGAACGCCCGCCCGTGCTCAGGAGCTACAGTGAGGGCCACGGAAGGTGTCCGGGTGAATGCAGAACTGATAGATCAGTGTCATCGACGCCATTCACGAGCTTGTGTTTGATGTTCTCAATTGATTGTTGTGGCGTCATGAAAAGTGTCAGGTTCAAGACGGGAGATAGGCAGCGGCAAAGGCAGATGTCTCGAAACGAGTGTCATTTTCACCAATATTGAATCCTAGACCCCGTAGTCGTGTGAGAAAGACTTCTGCATATTCAATGAACCGATTGCATTACTGGAGGATCGCGTCTCGATCTACGACTGTGGAGGCAAGTGACTTTTTTCGCACAATCAGCGCATAAGTAATGAAGGAAGCAAGGAAGAACGGAGCCAATGATGTTAACGCTACCATTTACCAGAATGGTAGCCAGTAAGTGCATCAACCCATATCGCATGTCAAGAACAAGCGTACGCATTTTAAATTGCTTAGCTACTTGACGAATATCAATTTGACGAAACCGAAGAAGATGCAGTGTATCAAACTGGAACATAGAAACATTGACGCAGGTTTGCTCCTAAGACACACGGCACACCCTCACGTTGTAATGTCCCAAACCAATTTGTCACAACAGCTCGTAAAAATGAAAGCAGTTGTATTATTGTTCTGGTGCAGCTACCACCCACACGGAGGCACAACCAAACGAAATTTGCACACGCGTCACTTAACCTGCCACTTCCCTTTAAGGTACGTCTTTCGGATTGCCGCGGTATCCTCAGCGGCGAACTTTTCTTGGGACAACACGCGCTCCAAATAGCCCGGACTGTTCTTCTCCGTTTCAAACAGGTCACACAGCACCAATTTTGCTTGCAGTTGATCGGCTTCGACATCATTCGCTGCCTTCATAGCCATGATGGCAAGTTTCCCTTCTTCTCCAGCAAACTCTTCTATCAAGAGTTGACTCAATGTCTTCTCGTTCTTGACTACTGATTCCTCTTCATAGATACCCTTGAGCTTCTGCAACCATGTCATCCGACGATGAACGAAAATGCCGGCTCCCAACTCTTCGATCTTAAACAGTGCTAGCACGTCTTCCATCCGTTTCTCATCCGCTACGCACTTACGTAACAAGCCCAGAAACAAATGTTCCGCTAGTGTAGGTTTATCGCTGGCGGATACGGACTGAAACACAATCGGTGCAAGCTCAGCCTCACCAGCAGGGCTGCCCCAGCTGCCCACCACTGCGTCCAGCAACGTCATCTCGGTCTCTCCCTCTGGACGAAGGAAAAGGAGGTACCGTTGCAGCAGGTCCAGTTTCCGGCTGGCAAAAAGTCTCGTGTCTTTTGAAATGTTCAGTAATGGTTTCCCGGCACGCTGCCTCTTCGTAATCAATGCTTCCAGCAATGCGTTTGATGTCCTACGGTACATATTGTCGAAAGCAAAATCGACCAAAACTCGTTCAAACTCGACCTCGTCACCAAAATTAGCCACCACCAAGTCCAGCAACGTATACTTCGTCTTTTCCTTCCGAGGAAGGTTATCGACATAATCTTCCAATATAAGTAGCTCCGTGCTTTAAAAAAACTCTTGTCTTTGGGAATCTCTAATGACGGTACCCCAGCAACTCGCCACTTGGCATACAGTGCACTCAACAGTGCTTTCAAGTGTAGGCCGTTTTGAGGAGATTGAGCGAGCTTGTACAAAGCCATTGCCGGCTTAGCATCGATGCCAAACCTGTCCACCATTTCGTCAAACGACTTCGCAGCCGTCACCGACTTGGCTATCAATGCGTCCAGCAATTCCTGCGCTTTGAGGTCATGATTGTGAGTTGCGGACGTAATCAACACCGACACCAACTCAGCCTCATTACTATATTGTCCCAGTAACGCGTCCAGCAGCAGTGTTGTCTTAGCCTGTTTCTCTCCTGGCTGGAGATCGATGTATCTTTCCAGTAGCCTGAGTTCCCAGCTTTCAAAAAGGGCGTGACCTTTGGGAAGCTTGAGGAAGTTGGCAAGATCGGAAGGGTCGCGACCCATTATTGCCCAGGACCGGAGATGCAATGTCGACACGAGCCAGGCAAAAGCACGCTCAACTAGACCCGCAGGGTCGGCCGTCTTCGAGTACAGTCCACGCACGGCGTTTCCAAACCACGAAGAAATCGGGCCAGCGAATCTCTCCTCCTCTGTCGTCGTCTTGTTGATTGCTCTGGGAGTCAGCTGAGCGACCAGGCTGCTACCGGCGTCCGCATTGGAAGAAAAGAGCTCATCCGAGTACTCAGTCACGATAGGCTCTGTCTTATTCCCGATGTTGGAGGAACTCTCAACGCGTGCCAAGACGGCGGCACACACGACGCCTTGAAGGAAGCGTTTCGCACGCGTAATTCCAGGAGGTTCGACCCCGAGGGAGCAAATCGGTATGTGACAAAGAAGTCAGAAGAACGGAGGTGAGAGGCTAAAGAGCCAGAAAGACATTCGACTCAGCCGGTCTCGATGATTGGTAGGGAGGTTTTGGCCAACAATGATCCCTGCTTTGAGTTTCAGCCAATAGAAAAGCAAATTGCGTTACCGGTTACACGTTTGTGCAAAAGTGTCAAACGTCGCTGTACTCTACTCAACGCAAGTCTAAATTTGATACATTATGAGTGTCAACCGCATGATACCCAAACATCCTCCTTTGATAGACAGACCTATCATCTCTTGTATCCTCCCGTACACAATTGCAGATAACGGCAAATGCTGAACGGCTGGGTTCATTTCTGATTCAGCTAAGTCACTTTTTTAGGTATAAGGTAACATAGTCGCTGTTTAAATCCCTTAATTGTTGAATATCGTCAACTTACCAGTTTTTTTTCGCAATTTGACAATGGGGAACCATCTCGCCAAATGGGAATTCTTGTGATTGCTCTTGCGTTTCGGCTACGATGTCCGATTTGCTACAAGTGCGTTCTGGGATGTTGGATAGTCGCTCGACACGTACTTACAAACACGTAGGATAGGCTTGCCAAGGCAGCAAACATAACAACTAACGACTTCGTGTCTGCAGGTTTAATTGCTGCGGTCAGCTTTGGCTGCGGACGTTAGCTGATACGGACATAAGCAATAGGAGGGGTGACATATAACTCAGGCGCAGCAAATTAAGCCGAATCCTGCTACCACACCACTGTAAACTCTATTCTCTTTGGCCGGTGTTACGGCTTTTGAACAAGATTGCCTTCTGTTTGGTGAAGTGTTGGTGTTCTAGTCGGTGCGTTCACTCCCGACACTAGCGGGGACATTTGTAACGGAGTTACACAAATAATTGTGATACCCAGGTTCATGGGTGTGGTACATACAGAGAGGTATCAGTGTCACTGGTGAGGCATGCTTTTGTATCACATACGATGAGCGATGAAACCGTACCCTGTAGGTCCAAGTGAGGTTATCTATCGAACTACGATATTCCAAGTACGTCGTAGTTTTGCTGTGGTAAGACCAAAGAACCTATCTTGGACTCCTTAATTAGGTAGCAGAGTTTCAAGGATAAATACGTAAGTGATACCTATCATCGCGACAAATCAATGAGTACAGTCAGTTCCCCTTCAGACAAGTGTCTTGGTAAGGCGTATTTGGTTGTAAAAGTTACCAGTCTGTATTAAAACTAGTACTCATGGGCATGAGTGCCACGTGATTCCTTGTAGTCATTGGTCCCTGGACCAGGGATAGGATATTGCGAGCTTGTACAAATACTTAGAGTTCACTAAGACTATACGGACTTGAAACACTTTGAATTAATCCCCGTTTAGTCTTACACACTAAGGGCTCTACGAGTCTAGAATTCTTCCTCTAGGAAAAAAGTAAGTGTAACTCCGCTACACTTGAAAACACTTCCTGTTGATTTTGCACCTGAGTCTGTTAAAACGGTTTTTCTGTAAGGATGGAAACAAATGTCAGCCTCTCCTAAGCCCAACGAGTAGCGCTGGAGAAAATCAGACAACCAGTCGGGTACGAACAAGTGATTGAATCCCTCGCACAAGGTATGACGTAATTCGGTCCTCGCGCAAGTTGCTGACGTGGTTAGTTCCCCGCGCAAGGTCCTAACGTGATTCGTGCCCGTCTTTTTGCTTTCACACACATCAGATACACTTAATTGGCCAAGTACACGACCATTTGGCATCGGCTATGCCACTAAAGAGTACATTTTCATTTATTCCAATCCGTATGTCTGTATGTAGCCAACGTGTACAAGACGTGCCTTGAACACCTTAGCAAGACGATGTACATTCCGCGTACTTGCTTTGTTTCAATCATATTTTTGGTTTGGACGTTGTGCTTCAACCTTCCATGTGATCGTTTCTTTCGGCTTACTGAATTTATTTAGATAGCTTTGTTCTACTCATGGGTATCCGGGTATTGATTGTCATCAAATTTTGGTGGGGTATCAAACGATGTACAAGCCTGTTCATATCCGCCTCAGTGGTTTTCAATTCTCGGTTTTGACGATCCTTAACATCATGATATAATCCCTCTCACGGTATGTCCCCGGTAGTAGTGCTTTCAATAATGCACTTGGTATCGATTCAAAATTAGCCAGTGCGGTATCCTGAGATGGCCCATTTACCATGTTTCAACTTGATCTTATCATAATATGACCTATTTGCGAAACGTCCTCGCTCACCGCTGGATCACCATCTTTGCTCATCATAACATCACCGATCTCGAATAATGGGTCTGTTTCCTCTGCCTCTACTTGTCCATTCATTGAAATAATGCTTCTCTCTGGCCGATCTTCGATATTCGCTTTTCTGTCTTGCATGCAAACACCTGGCCAAGCACCCTTCGTCTTCCACTTCTATTTATTACCTATCGTCAAACCTTCTTGGTCAGAATATATTATAGCAAAGGTAGCTAAGCACTAGATGGTAATATGCAATCCAATCACATTTAGGTCTTGATTTCGCAGTGTCTTTTGCTACTCTAAGCCTACTGTCTTCTTCGTCCACGCCTTCCTAAAGCTATAAAACACATTAATGATCGTATAGTCACATAAAATTATTTTTCATGTTGCACATGACTGAACGCCACATCAAGCATTACGAATTGTCTGATCATAAATATTGGTTTCCAGTATCTGGCGGAGGAGCTTCTTTTAAAACATACATAAAATCATCATCTTGTTGTGTGCGAAACCATGATCATTTGATCTCATTTATGCTTGTGCATACTATGTGTAACGGGGTGAACCGTTACATAACTATTTATAAGAAATTGTTGGTAGAAGATAACTTTAAGAGTTATATTCTCAGAATATTGTCATATGGACAAATCTCCTGCAGCACCTACGAGTAGTTCCTAATTGGTTGATATAGACCATTTTGTCAACCAACGAAGACGCGCCACGACAGACGCACGCAATGAGTGGTGAGTAGATAGTTGATTTACGCATTTGTAGTTAGACATAGTTAGATGAGGATAAACAGTGGTTTATTGCAGACATTAACTATTATAAATACAGTTCTACTTTTTACTTTAACCAAGTACTCGCTTCTTCTTACCGTCTTACTCTGCACGTATGAGTGTACGTGAAGTTCCGAGGCACCGCCTTATTCTGTCATCAGAATAAGTAGCTTGTACTGTCATCATTACAAGCTTCAGGGTGCCCCGTTACACCTGGTAGCACTTCGTAGTCCGTCCAAGGACCACGTTCACATCTAACATGAATATGTTGGATGATGAAGATGACCAAAGCTTTCACGCTACGCGTGACGGCTACTCCCATTTGAGCGATGTCGAATGGGATGCGGTTGAACGAATGGGTTCGACCATGGGCATCCATGCTGTTAGCGTCATGCTAGAGGCTCTCAATAGAGATGCCCAACATGCTACTATCGCCAAGTTCATTCAAAATGAACTTGACGCTGAACGCGAAAAAGTAGCCTTGCTTCACCAACAAGGTTCTCAACAATCAGAGTTGTTGAGAGAACAGGGTGCTCAACAGTTTGAACTGTTGAGACAGCAGCAGGCTGCTGCTGGTGGGTCGATGCACTCGCGTCGACCCGAGACCTTGAAGATTGACATATCCAAGTATAGGGGAGTCGAAGAGGACTCCCTCTTGAGATGGTTCGTCGAATTGGATGACGCCATAAGGGCGCGTCGCATCGACGACGGGGGTATGCAAGCTGCATTTGCCCAATCAAATCTGGCAGGACGTGTCAAGACTTGGGCTTTGGGGCTCAAGTTGCACGACCCATACGCGTTTGGGTCGTTAGAAGTCTTCAAGTCGCGGCTCAGAAAAACGTTTGAACCGCCTGGAGCTGAGTTCAGAGCTCGAACTGAACTCTAGAAGCTCAGACAAGGTAAGCGTGATGTGCACGCTTACGCGCAACATATACGACATCTCACGAGTTGTATAAGTTCCAATCCGGTGGATAAACACACGTTGGTTTCGGTGTTCATGCAGGGTTTTGCGGATGGTCCCGTCAAGACTCACCTGTTCCGGCTTGAACTAGATTCACTAGAACAATCCATTTCCATTGCGGAGCAGGAAGACTTCAGTCTGAGACAGGCTCGCGCCAGCTCGACATCATATCGTCAACCGAGACGATATTACAGCGTAGGTCTAGAGCCGATGGAACTCTGTTATGTAGAGAGCGAGAAGGCTCGCTCTACAGGCTACAAGAAGTTGCAGAGATGCAACAGATGTCAAAAGACAGGACACTACGCTTACGAGTGTAGTGCCCCTCGTCCAGTGTCTCGCGACACTGGGCGTAGTGACCCTCCACCCATGAGAAAGGGGCAGGGACGAGGGTCCGAAGTTGGTGCAAAGACGCAACAACGGGATGGACCGTCAAAAAACGGACAGGATCAGTAGGTGCGGAGCACCCTACTGGTCCAGCAACGTCAAGAGAATTTGTAGGCCTCTTGATGAAGGTTGCTCTTAACACACAAACATTGTGCGTTGCTGCTCTAGGTAAAGCGATCTCACTCATAACCTTGAAACTCGAAGTGACAAATAAGTTGTCCCTTCGAGCTCTAGTCGATTGTGGGGCGTCCAACAATTTTGTGTGACGCCAATCGCTAGAGATGGTCATTTTAAGTTCAGTGAATGTGACACACCTCGTACGAGGATGACGGTACGTCTTGCGACAGGCGCATCCGTAACCGTCATGAAGCGTATAGTGAAGATTCACTATACGCTAGAATATGCCCAATATGACGATGACTCTATCGTATTGAATTTGGATGACAAATTTGATGTCATCCTTGGAATACAGTGACTTAGAAGGTACGAACCACGAGTAAAATGGCAACATCGAACAGTAACGATGCCTGCCGCTTGTTCATCAGATGGCCATCTGATGAACGTTTTGCATCGTCCACAAGCGTGTGGATGTACTACGAGTGAGTGCGATGGCCTCACTTGTGGTACGGTCGTTAGCACGACTGCACAAAACCTTAGTGTACCAAACGGTTACACTTCGGAGCAAAGTTCCGGCGGCTGTGAGGAAACACAGGCTGCGCCGAAGGTCCACCACTCGAATAAGTCGAGTGGACCGGGACAAAGATGTATCCCTAGCAGGGAACATCTAGAAGTGAAACCATCGATCGCTCAGGTTAAGCGAAACGATAATCCTAGATCGACTGGAGAGTCTTTCGTAGAGGATCTCGCTGTGGTTGCGCAACCACAGCTAGAGGAAGTAAAGGGAATAAGTCCCAATATTACAGATACGGCGGAAATAAGTTCCCCGAAACCCGAGGGAATAAGTCCCCGGGAAGCCGAAGGAATAAGTCCTTCGAGGCATGAGGTAATAAGTTTCCAGGATATGACAGAGACATTGAATGTCATAGTCAATAACGGATCAAGTGTAGGCGCTTATACACTTGATCTGATTGCGCCTCCGAAGTTGACTTCGGAGATCACTCGGTTGCCAACGCTCGAACATAAAAGGTTCTTGCGTGATCTGCGTAGTGGCAAAGTCAAGCAGGTCTGCGTACTCGTCGCTGACGTCGAGTGCGTAGCCGAAATAAGGTCAGCAACAGTGTTTACTGAGAACGAGAGAGTTCTCAGTAGTTCATCTATGGGCGAGAGCGTCCTTGATGAAAAGACACGAGTTGAGCGATATGACTTTCAATTGTGTGAATCGCTCAAGACAAATCCTCTCTATGAAGATTTGGTTGAATTCAAGGATGTATTCCCTGAAACTGTTCCGTGCGAATTACCGAAGGATAAGGGTATTCGACACGAGGTCGAGCTTAAACCAGGCTCGAAGTACTGTGCCATGAAGCAGTGGCCACTTCCTCGTAAACAAGTACTTGCGATCGACAAGTTCTTTGCCGATCGTTTAGCTGCGGGCCATGTGAGGGAATCAACTTCCCCACATAGCTCTCCGACCTTCTGTGTGCGAAAAGCAACAGGAGAGTGGCGTATAGTGCACGCGTTCAACAAATTGAACGCTGCAACGGTACCGGATCAGACGCCGATACCAAGGAAGGACGTAATCATTGATGGTATGTCAAAGAGTACCATCTTTTCGTACATGGATTTAATGGATGGATTCTATCAAATCCTTATGCGGGAACGGGATATACCCTATACCGCAGTTAGCACGCCTAGCGGCATGCTCTGGGAATGGCTAGTAATGCCACAAGGGCTTAGTAATGCCCCATCCACGTTCAACAGATGTGTATCACATCTGTTGAGACCAGTACGAGAATTCGCGCCGAGTTATTTCGATGACGTATTCATCCATAGTCGAGCTATGGATGGAAAGTCGGACGTTGAGGTTCACAGGTACCACGTCCGACAGGTTCTTACAATCATGCGAAAGCATCAATTGTATGCAAACCTCAAGAAGTGTATATTTGCAGCAAGCAAAATACCACTTCTTGGGTGCATCGTTGGTAAGAACGGAGTACGTCCTGATCCCGAAAAGATCAAGGCGATCACCGACTGGCCTGTGCCGGCTGATGTCAAAGGTCTTCGAAAATTCCTTGGGATAGCGGCGTACTTGCACATATACTCGCGCAACTATGCCGAGATGGCTGTGCACCTCTCTCGTTTGTTGAAAAAGAACGAGAGGTGGTTATGGAACGCTGAATGTCAACGCTCCTTTGATGGTATCAAGCAGAGCTTGATACAATCCCCAGTCCTAGCAATAGCCGATCAGGACAGACCATTTCATGTGGTCTGTGATGCCAGCGATTTCGCAATCGGCTGTGCATTAATGCAGTACGATCTTGAAGGCGTTGAACGCGTCGTCTGCTATCAGTCGCTTCAGCTGCAACCAGCTGAGCGGAACTATCCAGTGCATGACAAGGAACTCCTTGCCATGAAGTATGCACTCGCGAAGTTCAGAGTCGATCTATTAGGAGATAGACCCTTCGTTGTTTACACTGACCATGCGTCATTACGCACGGCAGTGAACAGCCCGCACCTTTCACAACGAATGGCGCGGTGGTTGTCATTCTTTGCGGAATACAAATTTACGGTAGAGTAAAAACCAGGACGACTTAATGTCGTCGCTGATGCACTCTCAAGTCGGCCCGACTTAGAAACAGTCGCGAAACCCAACAGTGCGACAGTCACCGTTGCGGTTATGACGTCCTCAGTACCATCTTTAACGTTGCATGATGATGTGAGGCGGGCGTATAACCAAGATGGTGAGATTGTGAAGTTGTTGACACATCTCTCACATCCATCTCGAGAATCGTTGAAACGTTTATCGCCTGCGTATCGATCTGCATCAGATCGATGCACTGCTCGCAACGGGTTACTGTATTATACAGCCGTTACTGGTGACACACCACATGTTGTCATTCCAGATGATACTGATCTGCGTTTGCGGATCATGTTCGATTATCACGATGCTCCTATAGGAGGAAATCGTGGCCGGGAGAAAACATATCTCACGGTGAGTCGAGACTTTTACTGGCCCCGCCAGTATCAGTTTGTGCGAAAGTATGTTCGCGCATGCGAAGTCTGTCAACGAGTGAAGTCAAGTCCTTCAATGCGTGCACCTTTACAGCCTCTACCGGTTCCGGCTGAGTGCTGGGAATCCATCTCAATGGATTTTGTCTTTGGGTTACCCAAAGACGTACGCAAGAATAAGGGTATTCTTGTATTTGTTGACAGATTCAGCAAAATGGTACACCTTGTGGCTGTACCAGAGTCAATCACGGCAAGTGGCTGTGCTTGTGTCTTTATCGACACCATCTTCCGACTTTATGGGTTGCCCCGTGAACTCGTATCAGACAGAGATCCACGCTATACTGCTGATTTCTGGCGTTCCGTGCTCAAATCACTCGGAACGCGCTTGAAGATGTCGACATCTGATCATCCAGAGTCAGATGGTCAGACGGAACGTGCCAATCGTGTACTCGAAGAGATACTTCGAGGATACGTACACTCCTTTAAGAGTTGGAGTGAGTTTTTGCCAATGGTAGAGTTTGCCATCAACAACTCGGTGCATGCGTCCACGACACATACACCGTTTTACGTGAATGGCTTGCGCCATCCGCGTGTACCCACCTTACTAGATTGTAACTCTGGTTTAAGGGGGGGAGGGACTCGCGCGAGCAAAAACCGATTTGGTTCACGCTCATCACGCTCTGACGAAGAAGTCATTGCGTTTGATGCCGATATCGATAACATCGATATCGAAGAAGATGATGCCAGTGAGAGTGCGGAAGCTCTCACTGAAGTAGATGATCCCAGTGAGAGTGCGGAAGCCCTCACTGAAGAAAAGATTGATGTTGCTGCAGTGCGCTCACAGCACACTGAAGCTAACGAGTCATCAGATGAGTTCATACTGGCTCGTGAAACGGTAGTCCGTTTTGTGCAAGACTCCATCGCCGAAGCGGTGGATAAGCAAAAGCAAAACGCTGACAAGAATGGAAGGGCAAACACTCTTTTATTTAATAAAGGTGACTTAGTCCTACTGTCTACGGTTAATCTACCGAAGCATGTAGTGACTAACTTGGGTAGTAGTAAACTTCTACCCAAGTACATCGGCCCATTTCGTGTATTGCATCGCCTAGGCAACGCATACACGATCGAACTGTCACGTAAGATGCAAACGCATCCCACGTTTTACGTTGGTCGGCTTAAGCCGTACCATCAGTACGCTGCTTCTTCCGATGAAGAACGCCCTTGCGCTCAAGCATCTCACAGAGAGCCTTGTGCTCCCGATGGTGGGCATCGACAAGGGTCTGAAGAGCAGCTATCTCATCCCGAGACCGATCAGCAATCCCCACGAGCTACCCTTAGCTCGTCACGCAGAGACGTAAAAACTCTCTCGTTCTCAAGCTGAGCAAAGGCAAACTCAGCTCGATGCTTCGAGACAG